GGCCATTTTGTAAAATGGCCGCCACGGAACTTTCCCCCACCAGGATTCCTTAAGACTTTTGATATGTTATAGAGGACATATTTCTGGGTATAAAACAGTTGACAGACTTTCTGTTGCAATTAGTGGGAGGTTGACCCCTTTTTTTTCACGAAATGCCTGGACTAATATAGCCAATAAGCCTTTTGCTCGCCAGCCACTGAATTCTTCAACATTAAACAAAAGTTTAGCTTTTAAAAATCCAATCTATCCAAATCTATATATCAAAAAAAGTAAATCTAATTTTAAAGGAATAAAAATCCTAAGAGAAGAGGCGTAAATATTCACTTCTGAATGACAAACGCCTATAAACTAAAACAACAACAATAACAACAACAACAACTAGTGGTCGTTATTTTCCCAGTTAAAGGGATAGACCCGCTTTGGAAACGCCCCCTCTCAAAAAATAAAATGGAAGCTCTTATTACCAATCATGTGAAAGAATATGTTTGGACTAATACATGATGATAAAGAAAGATGCCGAGAAACCGCCTACTAATTGATATTTTTGGAAAATTATTATATCTATCCGGACTGGATAGATATAGGGTAGTCCCATATAGATCTTTCTGTGAACAGTGATTGTAACTTTACCAAGACTGGGCCAAGTTTCTTATTATTTTGATGATTCCAGAAACTTTTAGTACACACCAATACTTATGTGCTAGATGATCACACTTTTCTGATCGATTCCATAAAGTTTCTTTCACAATGTAATCGCATGACCAGAACTGGTCTATGACTTTAAAGACATTTTCAAACCCTTTCGTTTTGAGGGAAGTTCTAAATTAGTATTATCTTTCAAATGCCGTTGGAATATAACCTTCCATTTTTTTTTAGCCTGTAAATTGGGACATAGTGCCTTAAAGTGAATGTGTACAACGATCATAACTGAAGGATTTTATGTCCTTTCTTGCCAGCCATTATAGTCTGCCCAATAAATGACATGTGGTGGCGCTGCGCATCGATGACAACGATAAGACACGGTAGGAAGCGTCATCTCCTTCGTCAGGATGTTGTTCTTGCACGAACGGTTTTTAGATCATCTACTCTACATTGCAACATGAATGGATTGAGTTATGACATATTATGAAACTTATCCCAGATCTGATTCTGAGCATGAAAACATAACGAAAATGCAAACATTAGAACCACATAGAATATGTGTACACAACATTGCCATCGAGGGCACTGTCGGGCATATTTCATCACGAGAGGGCGCTCTACAAATAATGGCAAAAGTGTTTTATTGATCGCGCGAGTCACCTCTGATTCATATGTCTTCGTCTGTTTGTCTCTTTCTCCCTCTCGCTCTCTCTCTCTCTCTTTTCTTTCTCCCTCTTTCTCTCTCTCCCTTATTTTTCTTGAAAAGAAAAGAAACCCCATTTAGAATGAGCAGTACCCGTGCATTCATGAATTGAACCTTAGGGGAAAATAATCTTTGCTGCATTTAATAGACAATATTGATTATACATTATGTATTTCATAACATGAAGGTTCTTTGCACATTTATGAATTGGAACTCCTTATTTGCCCTTAAAAGTTTTATGTATCATTCGTATAATAGAATGAAAAAGTACCATGGTAACCATGGTTTTTTGTCCAAATTACCATCCACCATGGTAACCATGGTTTTTTGTCCAAATTACCATCCACCATGGTAACCATGGTTATCATGGTACCAAAACAATGAAAGACATAGGGTCATTAAACAATGTATTTCATTGTTTTGGTACCATGATAACCATGGTTACCATGGTGGATGGTAATTTGGACAAAAAAACCATGCTTACCATGGTACTTTTTGTAAGGGATAATAACAAAATAAATTTTAAAATCGTGTCTGTGAAAAACTTATACCTTAAACTTATACCTTATAACTTATATATCTTATACCTCAGTCACACCAAGGCGACCGACCTCAACCCATCTGTAACCAAAGAAAGGGCATTCCTATATGTAGTGTGACGAGGTCCTAGAATTACTTCCAAAGATCGTTTTTTAATTCTTCATTTGTTAGTACATTGTTGATCAGTAAAGGCTGGGTGCCACACGGGATAGCATACTCCCTCAAAGGCCTTACTTAGCCAGTGTAGTCAATAAATCCTCACAGGGAAGCTGGAAAGGTTTGAGTTGTCGAAACATGTAAATTATCCTGTTAGCCTTGTAAAACATAGTGCTCGCTTCAGCTAGTGTAATGTTAGGGAATGTTTATTAGTACAAGGAAGAGTGTCGGACCAAGAAGTTACCAGCAACTTCTTGGTCGGACCGAGCCGTTTACCTTGTGGAATCAGGGGCGGATCTAGCTTTTTGCTAAGGGGGGGGGGGTGACCAAAATAATGACGATGCGGAGCATCGTCCACGAGCCGCAAAGCGGCGAGCCGATTTTTTTGGGGGGGTTTATTTGAACCCCGTAAGTGATGTTTTCCTGGCATCTATTAACACAATGGAGACCATAAAAAGCAGTGCATGATAACGTCTTTTTAAATCAAGTAACAGTTAAATACACAGTTATATCCAGAGTTATCATGTGTTTGGTTAAGTTACCAGATGAGTTGAATATCTTCTCACAATATTTGCACTTGAAAGGGTTTCTCTCCAGCGTGCGTTCTTTTTTCTTTCTTTTTTTTCCCTTTTTTTCCCCCCTTTTTTGTTTGTTTGTTTTTATGGGCCGCCCAAGGGGGGGTTTAAACCCCCTAAACCCCCCCCCCCCCCGTAGATCCGCGCCTGGCAAGGGACTCTGTGACATTTGTTCGCCCAACCCCCCCCCCCTCCCCCAAAAAAGAAATAGTAATAATAATAATAATAATAATAATAATAATAATAATAATAATAATAATAATAATAATAATAATAATAATAATAATAAATGAAATAAATACATAGAAATAGAATAAAATAAAATTACAAGTTTAAAAAAAAAAATAAGATTTTAAAAAATGGTCCCCGGATTTTTTTTATTTTTTTTTTGGGGGGGGGGTTGCAACCCCCCCAACCCCCCCCCCTCTAGATCCGCTTCTGGGAATACCGTCTGGTCCGGCGTTGATAGGAGCTAGGTCAGACATGACTCACTATGAATATGACGGACAAAGAAAGAGGACAAAATATACAGTTCCTCAGGTAGACAAAGGAACATCCCTTCACTGCTATTATGTAAAAAGGTGAATGTGCATGTGACACCTGTTTTACACATTTTACATGATAGAAGTGAAGGGACGTTCCTTTATCTACCAGAGGAACTGTATATTTTGTCTTCTTTCTTTGTCCGTCATATTCATAGTGCCTGCTAGCGAACACACTTAGTTCGGGAGGAATCTAAACTGTATGACTAGCCTGATAAATAGAGATCACAGCACACCTACCGGGGCTTGCACATGTCATTCGGGCTCCATTTCATTCGTGTGTTTCAATCAATTCAATTTCATTTTCATTGTCCAATAGAAATTAGCTTTTCTGACTTTTTACATAAAAATTTACATATCATAATATTATGATACACAAAGACACATGGCATAGAGAGGTAGAGGGGAAAGGTGGCTTGACATTGATAATATATATTTTTTTTTTGAGAAGTTCGTTTTGGAGTCCTTTTTGGACATATTTATATACCATTAATAAATAATAATAATAACGACATATATAATGCGCACATATCCACCCCAAGGGACGCTCAAAACGCCTTAACAAATTTGGAGATTATTACCCCGGCTTTAGCTTTGCTACCATTACGGCCCTTTAGCATTTCAATGAACTAATTCCTGCCATGTACCCGTTTACCTCTTCTGGGTTGAGTGTGGCAAATGTAGATCAATAAATCATTCAATCATTAAATAACACTTTTTATACAACACCTACGTGGATCCTTGTCTTTTGATTGGACGGTTGTTGATCACATGATATTCAATAGATGGTATATTGCACGGTCGTGCATTTTTGGTTATATGCGCCGTGCATTTTTGGTTATATGCAGACTGCGTACCTCTCTGCTGCATGTGCGCGCGCGTATCCCTGCGTGTATCTGACGCGAAGGCAATCTGAATGTAATCGAGAAGGCTTGACTCGAACTTTAATTTATCTTTATAAGGAGTAAAGCATAATTTGTTGATTAACGTTCTATTAGGTCTTCTTCGATGTTGTATAAAACAAATAATGAACTATTGAACTCAAAACCATTCATTATTTGTATAGTATCGATATCAGAATATGATGTAGAGAAATATTGTGTACTTTGACCCTTTGATTGCTATGTACGAACTAGGTCAGACTCAATATTAATGATCCTGTGGGTCAGAATTATTTTCTTCTTAATGTTATCATATACAAAGTGAACCTTTTTTTCATCATTATTAATAATGCGAGACCAACTCAGATAACAAGTACCAGTTCTATATTGTACAGCTTATTAACGTCAATGAAATAGGAGAATTCACTCTTTGCCAGGAACGTGCTATCGTGCAAACCTAGGTAATAACAGAAATAAATTTTATTCCTCAATCGGATCACTAAGCAAAGTAATACACCAAACTCGCACGACGCGTATTTTTTTTTGTAATGTAGGATGAACAAGTTTTTTATACAGTTACGCCCCTAACATGCCCGCGGTGATCATCTATATTTATTTTGGCAAGCTGAAGCCGATTGTTAAAAAAGCAGGTCGCAATTAAAGGGATCGGGTAACTTTGCCTCAGATTCTGAAACAAAATCCTGGATTTAGGTCATGCTGCAATCATAAGTATAAACCTTAATTTAGGTCATACATGAATCCCATGACTTTTACAAGCCAATCGCCTGTCTGATTATCAAGATATCTTTGATAGGAATTAGATATTTCAGAATTCGTTTTCCTAACCGTTTTTATAATACTTCAGTCTATTGGGAAAAGTGAGTATAGTAAATCTGTGTAGGGCTTCAATATTACACCATTTACGACACTGATAACACGTCGTTTGGCCATGCATCTCAGATTTAACAATTTTAAACGATGCCTTTAAGCCGTTCGAAGTTCACTTGAAGTCCCGCATGTTTGATGAATTACTTCGGTTATTCCGAAACTGGGATGAACTCGAGATCCGAAGTTTCAGTTGGTGATCCAGTAAAGGAATAAACTTTTTTTGCAGCCATTACCTACCGTGCAGACAAGGAATACATATTAAACCATTTTGAGATTTGCTCGACTGCATGTTCCTGGCAAAGTGTATCTTCTCTTATTTCATTTAGAGATATTCAATCAGCAACATGACGTTACATGAAGATGTTGACAACAGAGGTAAGACACAACAGACGCAATGATTTGGAAATGTACACTGTATATAGACCTACACTGTTACCCATACAGTTAGAATAATTTGTTTTTATCTAGTTTCTGAACAGTATGATATATTCCTGATAGATAAAGATTATATCTTATCAGAACTGCATTAATCATTAACTTTTATCTCTCAAAAATAAAATGTATCATCTCAATCATTTCATGAAATGAGGTTAAAAATGAATATTCAAATAATATATTTGTTTTTCTTATACACTAGTTTCCAAGATGTCCTAGTACTGCGTGTATGTTAACTTGTTCGCGTTCATGACGTGAAAGCAATTTCACGACACCCACCACAACATCCAGTATTATAAATAAAGATTATTTCAGTTACGAAATAATCATATTTTTCAACGCGATGAAAAGTTCGACTTACTCCACGCTCTCTTCGTCATTTGATAACAAACTTTATTCTTTCACCCTCGAACGAGAATCAAATTCTGCACCTTTAAATTTGCTTATATACATGTATGCTACTTCATAGAAATGTAGACTTTGACTCTGACCATGCAGGTCCATGCTCTGACAGACTAATGAAATGCAGATAAGTTTGTTTTAAACAAAGACGCTTAGTTGTAACAATAATGGTCTAAAGGTCGTTAATGTACTATACACAATGAGGTGGAATGTCGTACCTATAGGTCAACAAACAGTGCTCGATTGCTAAAGGAAATCAAATACATCAAGTTTATTGTGGAGATAAACTTGAGTTCTGGTAAAAAAAATTAAAAATGAATTCTTACAGAATCAAACGAAACTTACACTGAATGTTGAAGATTACAAATAAATGTCATTTGCCAAACAATTCTGGTAGAAAATATATACAGGCTGAGTAATGAGCATAGAAAGATAAGGAAATCAAGGTAGGTAGCCCCGACACCATTTGTGTAGTCCCATATACACCTCTCTGTATACAGTGCTTGTTAGTTTACCAAGACTGGGCCAAATTTATTATGATTTTGGTGACTCCGGAACCTTGCAGTACACACCAATACTCACATGCTACATGATCAACTTTTTCTGATCCATTCCAAACCTTTTCTTTCACAATGCAATCGCATGACCAGAACTGAACTGTATCTTTAATTATTATGCATGTATCTAATCGTCTTGAACTGTTTATGTATGCAATCATTTTTACCTTTATTTATTTGTATCTATCTATTTGTTTATCTGTTTATTTATTTATTTATTTAATCATGCATTCGTTCATTTCTTTTGTTTACGTTTACTGTATTTGTTTATGTTAGAAGAATACGATGGAAAACAGTTTGTGGCCGTGGAGGGGCACTGATACGGGGGTCCAGAATTGAATTCAGATTGATGAACTTTTTCATTCTCCCCTTTCTTCTTTTTATTCAGCGTCCAGTAACGGGTACCGCAGGTATCCCTAATCAAATATCAAGAATATCTTCATTTTTCTTGTAATATTGAATCATATTAATGATGAGCTTATGTGTTGACCAAATATTGTTTGTCCCCCCCCCCCCCCCCCCCAAAGTTTATATTTTTTGGACGTGTATTGTATTTAAAACTCAGGAGATTTTAACTTGAACTCATATTTTGTAAGACATTTTTTTTGTTCCATAGTATGCTTCCCAATGATTAAAGAAAGGCCAGGTAGTCATTTTTATTTAATTTTGTGTACAGTGCATTATTTGTTTTATAAGACGGGACGGCAATACAGTCTTACAATATAATGTAGATCTAGAGTATAGATACATAGATCTAGATCTCCCCTTGAAAACACCCCTTAAGTCCGGTTTGTAAAGTCAATACGGACCGATTTTTAGTGTATTACGAGCCGGACTTTGTTGCGTGAAAAGTACCCCTTTACCGGAGAGTTTGGGAACATGAATGCGGTCCCTCCGTTCCCGGGGTGGGGGGGGGGGGGGGGGGGGGGGGGGCATTTCAAAGGTCTGGAGGGAGGGGGTAGGGTAAAAGTTCTGAACCACTATCCTCCATTTTCAGCACAATATCTTTATGGTAGTTCACCTGGAAATAATGCAGGGAGGTCCAATGAACACGTTGATACTCTTTCACAATATGGGCTTTTATACAGTATTTTGTATGTCATTGTAATTCTCTTTTAATTCTCTGAACCGTGATACTGACCTACTCGAAAGCAAGTATTGGTATTGAGTTACAGTGGATATACTAAATATACCTGCATTACCAACAAGGTGCCAATTACGATATTCAATGCGAATGCATGAACTGTGCTGTACAACACTTAAGTAGCATAAACGCTGGAAAATATGGCTGCTACAGGGAACAGCAAAAGACTAAAAAAGCATCTACTTAGATCAGGTGATGATAATGGCGGTGAGGGTGGTGGTAATGGGATGGCAGTGATACTGGTGGTGGTGTTTGAGGTAAGGTGGTGATTTTGATGGTAGTGCTGTTGGTAGCCGTGGTAGTGGTAGTGGTAGTGGTAGTGCCTTGCTGGTGGAGATGATTATGATGTCGATGATTGTAGTGGTGGTTGTGGGGTAGTGGTCATGATAATGATGGTGGTGGTGGTGATGATATGGTGCATGGCGGGGGTGATGCAAGGTGATGGAGATGGCAGTGATGATGGTGATTATAATGGTGATGGTGGTAGCGGTGATGATTGTGATGAATGATGGTGATGGTGATGGCGATGGTGATGGTGATGGTGATGGTGATGATGACGATGATTGTGATGGTGATGGTGATGGTGATTGTGATGGTGATGGTGATGGTGATGGTGATGGTGATGGTGATGGTGATGGTGAGGGTGGTGGTGGTGGTGATGGTGATGGTGATGGTGATGGTGATGGCGGTGACGATTGTGATGATGATGGTGATGGTGATGGTGATGGTGATGGTAATGGTGATGGCGATGGTGATGGTGATTGTGATGATGATGGTGATGGTGATGGTGATGGTGATGGTGATGGTGATGGTGATGGTGATGGTGATGGTGATGGTGATGGCGATGGTGATGGTGGTCATGATGGTGGTCATGATGGTGGTCATGATGGTGATGGTGATGGTGATGATGATGATGGTGATGGTGATGGTGATGGTGGTCATGATGGTGATGGTGATGGTGATGATGGTGATGGTGATGGTGATGGTGATGGTGATGGTGATGGTGATGGTGAGGATGATGATGATGGTGATCGATTGTGATGGTGATGGTGATGATGGTGATGGTAATGTGATGGTGATGATGGTGGTGGTGATGGTGGTGGTGATGGGGTTGGTTTGAGTGTTGGTGGGGGTGGAGATGATTGTGATAGTGATGGTTGTGATGGTGATTGTTGTGGTGACGTTGGTTATGTGGTTTCATGAAAGTGTAGGTAACGTTGGTATTTGTATCCCTTATGGTGGTGGTAATGAAGGCTGTTCCGTGGTGGTGGGACTCATCGTGATAGTGGTTGGGCGGTGGTGTTACTGGTAGTACTACTCGGGGTTGTTGTGGGGTTTGTGTGCTGCTAATGGTTGTGATGGTTTTGTTGATTTCGTGGTGTTAACTAACTTGTTGATTAGGTTCCTGTTCGGAGTAGCTTTTACACAGCCAGTAATAAATCTACCCTATCTAACCTACACCAAAACCTTTCAACTGGATTAATCAATATAATTTCGTGTCTTATTTTACATTACAAGTAGATTTTGTTGGCTCCCTACTATTATGCAAAGAATATTATTTTGTATGCACAACTTTATTATTTTATTTATTTTTCCAGAAGACCCACAACTAAAGAAAGAGATGGCGGCGGCAGAGTTTTCCGTCATCGGGGACGACCAACAGGAGGATGATGAAAATCTTGCGTCATCGTGGACGACAAGGAAGATCTACAAAAATCTTCTCCTGATCAGCAGTGCCTTCCTCTTCGTCTTCACAGCCTTCCAAGCGTTGTCTAACCTTCAGAGCAGCATTAACTGTGTTGATGGTTTGGGCCTTGCCTCGCTTAGTACCATCTATGCTTCTCTGATTGTATCAGGTGGGCTGACTCACATGAAACATGTCGGTTGTTGTTTATTGTTATGTGTTTGTTTGTTATGTCTGTTTGTTTATTTGTTTATTTGTTTATATTTGTAATCACTATAAAAGCGAACGTTCACCTAATAGGTTCAACTATTTAGGTAAAACTGTATATGGGATATAATGATGTTACAGTAGATCTACGTTAGTATTTTTTTTTATGTCATGTTATATTATGCAATTTATGTAAAGTGCACTGATATGTCTTAGGACAGGAATTGCGCTATATAAGTGGTACGTATTATTATTATTATTTTTATATACTAGTGATGACAATTAAAGAAATATAGAATGGATACCAAGGGCCTACATTAAGTTCTTGAATCGCTTTATCGTGTTTCAGGCTAAATAGTGATTATGCTGTGTACGTCTTATTAATATGTATAAAGCCCTATGGCGTATCTATGGATGGTGGCATCCCGAGCAAACAGTAAAATTGCCGTTCCCCTGCCCAAACCTATCTACGTACCTGTACAAGCGACAGGGAAAAGCGTTCGAGCGGTACATTGTTCTTTCATTCTTCACCCTCAGATGCCCATTTCTAACGTTCTTAACCCTGCGTATCGGAGACGCATAATCTTTTAAGGGTAGTATTTTTAGGAATTCTGTTCTCCCCTTTTCCTGCGCTCTGTTGTGGTTTTGTTGTACCCCTCAAGTGCCGATCCGTATATACACCACTGATCAAATATCATCTTAATTATCTTCGGATAAATTGTTTTTTCATATTAAAAAAAGATCAATTAATATATTGTTTTTAGTTTGAATATCCTAAACAGGCTATATTATTTCTAAAGACTCAATAGCAGAAGTGTGTGTCTGATAATTTGGAACCGTGCCATTCTTATAATGTTTTTTTTTCCTTCATTTTTGTTGTACTGTGCTTGTTTTGTTTGATGTTATTGAAATGTTTTTGTTTAATCTATTTAAATGTCAGCCATGTTAATCCCCTCGGTGATGATCCGCCATCTTGGATTAAAATGGACGTTGGTGTTGAGCGAGGCGTGCTACGCAATTTACACAGCAGCAAACTTTTACCCCTCCTGGGCTACTCTTATACCAGCTTCAGTGCTCCTGGGGTTCGGTGCCGCACCCCTGTGGACAGCTAAGAGCACCTACCTCACTACCATGGCAGGGGCCTACTCCAAGCTGACAGGTAACTATCATGTCATAATAATAATAATTTTTTTCACCAGCTACAATGCTGTTCTTCCTGAGGGACCCGTTTATACTTAGCAAATGTGGATTAATGTCTTGCCGAAGGACGTTAGTGCCTTGCTGGCATTCGAACCCTCAACCCTTGGATTAAGAGTCAAGCGAATGAACCACTATACCACACCCTGATGAAAAAATGGAAACCAAATATTAAACTTTCGTCCTGATTTTCGAATACATTGCGATGAAACCAGTACATGATTAACCGTCGTATGAAACAACTCCGTTTTTAATGTTTCACACTGATCTATTTTTCTTTTTTGTTTTGTTAGGAGAGACTGTTCCGTCCATTGTGTCTCGATTTTGGGGTATCTTCTTCTTCTTCTTCCAGTCATCTCAGATTCTAGGAAACCTCATCTCATCGCTTGTTTTTAGACAAGAAACCTCCTTTGTAAACAGCACCCAATACAAATGTGGTTCGCAAGACTGCTACGTGGGTAAATATAATCATAGCTAGACCAATAAACCTGTCGTTACTTAAAGGTACTATGTCCCTTTTGCAGCCAACCTCAAATTATGTAGAACTTTGCAGGAATTATGAATATGTCATGTATGTCCTATCTGTGAAATTTAAACGTTAGCAGTGTCCTAATATTCAAATTATGCAAGGAAACCCGTTTACTTGCTAGACTTCACTGTCAGACACTATTGAGTGACTGACTGGCTCTTTTTCTTCTTTGGCAATAACATACATAAAATGAGCTGTAAAGGGTACATGAGCAATTATCACTTCTTGTGATGGCCAAAATTAAATTGATTGAATCTTTGCGCAGCATAAAATGTATGACCATTCGATACAATGGTCTGAAAATCAAGACTATTACTTATTGGCTCTATAGCTCCTAAGTCGATATGTCAACTAATAGTTGTTATTTTCCCACTTGAAGACATTTTCAAGCCCCACCTTTTTTTAGGGAAGTTCTAAATTAATATTATCTTTCAAATGCCGTTGGAATTTAACTTTTTCATTTGTTTGGCCTGCAAATGGGACATAGTACCTTTAAACCATTTTTTGCTTAGTACAGCGGTTTAGTACACGTGTGTATGAAGCGCGACGAGTCAGGCTCTTTATTCTGATAAAAAGATATTGTTACATTAATTCTGTAATAACATGACGAAACGAAATGCATAAAATGAAAAGGAGGATATAGTATTATTTCGACTTGATCAAATATCAAATACATTGTTAAACTGCAAAATATTGTCAGTGTCATGCATGTATTAGTACATAGTTCTTATTACAGTTTGGACCCTTTGGTAGAACAGCAGTGTTGTAGCGACACAACTGAGCAGAAACCAACCATACTGAATACTCGGACGAAATGTATGTCAAGGATGCGCCAATTTGTGTTTGATCAAATAAGAAAGTCAAACCTTTCTTATTTCTATATCGAATCTTTCTCAAAATTTCAATGATTTGATAATTGCTCTGTTTTCTTTTACAGAACGCCCTTTTAATGACTCATTTTGTAATTTTGTTCATATGCAATCATAAGGTCTAACTTCAATTCAAATCAATCTAGCGTTGGTGACTTAAACTTAAACTTCGATTTCTACAGAGACCGGGGATGAAAATGGAACATATTGTGATCCTCCCGAAGAGAGTCTAACCTACACTTTACTCAGTATCTATCTCGTCTCCGGTGTCATCGCCGTGGTCATCGTCGTCGTCTTCGTCGACAACCTTGGTGCAAGTCGAAAGATCAAAGACCAAGGAACGTTTGATTTATTCTGCGCGACGGCACGCTTAATGAAGGATAAGAAGTTGATTCTCATCATACCTCTCACAATTTACAGCGGATTAGAGCAAGCCTTCATTACAGGCGATTTTACAAAGGTTTGTTTCGTAGCATAAATGCGCAATATCCAATAATCCTGTTTAATAATTTTGGCTCGAAGTGAGGGCTGAGTTTCTTAACCAAGCTTGCTCAGTAGTCTTACATTTATGTGAAAGAATATCATTTTAGAAATGTTTCCTGAAAAATCTGTCGCTCTTCATACGACCACAAATAGCGGGGGAAAGGTAGAAAAGCCTTATTCCACAATGTGGCAAAGAGTCCACCTGGCCCTTACGAAGATCAATACAACTTCTCAGTGCACAGAATCATACCTTCCAATGTTGTCCAAGTTAATTGCTTTCATATCATTTTTTTCACAATGCAGTTGCTTGTAAAGAATTCAAATTTATTTGTAATAGTTACAAGTGTACCGATGATAATAAACCCAATAAAATACAATGTGAACATAACTTCTTGGACTATGATAAAAATGTTGAACCTCCTTATTTTTTTAACCTGCTCTCCTTCCCGCACTCCAAATCTAACCAATTTTTTCCGCCTTCTTTTCCACCTTTCTCTATCATCCTCTTGCCATTTATCCTCTTCTTCCTCCCTTTTTTTATCCTCTCATTTTTATTTTCACCCTCATCTATATCTCCCCTCTTTCTTCTCCCCATCATTTCCCGTCCAGTCATACGTGACCTGCAGCCTTGGGGTTGGTTGGGTGGGGTACATCATGATCTGTTACGGGGTGGCTGACGCTCTCTGCTCCGTGCTGTTCGGTCGCTTCGTCAAGTACACTGGACAGGTTCCTTTATTCTGCCTCGGTGCCATCATCAACCTCTCACTCATCATCGCTCTCTTCATCTGGGAGCCGCGCTATGAAGAACTCCCCGTTTTCTTCGTGATCGCTGCCGCCTGGGGTGTAGCTGACGCCATCTGGCAGACACAGCTAAATGGTAATTACTGGTATCGTATCCGGACACCTACCCCCTGGACATCCACCCCCGGATAACCACCCCTAGTCAATACTACCCCATAGGGCAACCGCACTCTAGGACGACTACCCCCTAAGACAAATACCCCTTGGACAACTACCCCCTAAGATAGCTGTCCGGGGGTAGTTGTCCTAGAGGATGGTTGCCCTAGGGGGTAGTTGACTTGGAGTGGTTATCCGGGGGTGAATGTCCAGGGGGTAGGTGTCCGAGAACCACCGATAGAAAAGGGGGGTGTTTCACAAAGATCCTAAGTAGAACTTAACACTAAGTTGGACTTAAAAATTATGGACAGCCATTGGAGCCTTAAAATGAAATATATTCAAAAGCAGAAATTCAAGTATTTTAGACTTTTTTATAAATTCCACATCAAGAACATAGAATCTCCCATGATAATAGAAAATATGAATGATTTGAATCAACATTTTATGTCTTTTAAAATAACTTTTACAAAATGTTTTCAAGGAAGCTAATGGCTTTCCATAATTTTTAAGTCCAACTTAGAGATAAGTTCAACTTAGGATCTTTGTGAAACACCCCCCTGGTTATAGAAAGATTTTCACCGATTCGTCAGTCGCGGTGCTTAACAATAGGGACTGTTAGATTTGCACGTCGACAGCTTTGACTGCAACGTGTGACGTCATTTTAAAGCACTGCGCATGCGTCACGTCGTCTCAGTCGGCGATCGAAAATGCGTCAACCTTGATTTTCCTAAATCTAGTAGAGTAGTGGTAACCCGACACATGCTCCGCCGCCGATTGCTCCGCGACATTTGCTCCGCCGAAAATTGCTCCGCCAACAGTTACTCCGCCGAAATTTGCTCCGCCTGAAGCGACACTTGATCCGGTGACAATGTTGATGATAATAATAATAACTAGATTTGTAATACTTGTTTTGAACAAGTATAGGTGGGCTGGTCTAACTAAAATTTGAGACAAAATAAAGGGCAAATTTAAGATAGCTTATTGTCTCAGCTACAACATACTCGAAGTTCAGCGTAAACGAAGCTAAAACGACGGAGATATTGCTCGCGAAAGACGGGAATGTAGAATCCAGTTTTGAAAAAAGTCATGTCCCATAGAGAATACACGCAAAAAGTGAAAAATTGATATTCCTCCTTTAATCGCAAAAATACGTCATGATTCCTTTGTCGAAATGAAAAATCATGTCAATTGCATTTGTAGTGAATTATCTCAGCTAGAACATATCGAAAGTTGGAAGAAAATCAATCAATATTTTACAGAGATACAATCAATTTTCCAAAAATATGCTGATGTCATAATATGCAAATTGGAATTTTGAGTTCGGAGGCCATTATGATGACGTCATGAGTTAATTGAGGGTCAAATGAGAGAAGAAATCATATTTCCAATTCATACTCTATCAACATATGAAAAAATAGGGGTCACCTCACATTCTAAAGAGCTACAATGGATTTTGTATGGGCATGATTTTTCCCTTATATGCTATGTATTACAAGAGCTCGCACGCACGGACATGTATCTTAAACGGACCCTCACTCCGTTATTAATGGTCAGAAAAAGGTGAACAAGGTATCAAAATGCTTGAAAAAATGTGCTAAATATGATGACGAAGAAAATTTGGCGATTCTGTTTTGCAAAATGTCAGAACGCGCGAAAACGCGCGCGCATGCGCGTGTGCGAGATATTTTATGAAATGCTTTAAATGGCCTAAAACGTATGCTACATGATTTTGAGTTTTTTTTTTGTGCATTTTGAAATTTTGCGCGCGGACGTACGCGCACGCGCGCGTTTTTTGACCTGAAATTGACCGGACGAATATTGACCTTAATCATGATAAATATGAATCAAAAATGGCTTTTGGTTATGAAGATATGATCATGAGTTGATTTTCAGAAAAATTTACAAAATGGCGCCTAGATGACGTCATCAGTGAAGGTCATAGTTGAAAACGTTATTGTGTTTTGTACATATGCCTATACATATATGTGTGCCAAATTTGAGCCATTTTCAAGTAATCGTGCTTACAAAAAAGTGGTTTGAAATAAGTAAAATAAATAATACAGGCAATTCTAACGAAATTATAAGGTGTTCTGTACGCTTTTCAGCCCACCTGATAATAAAGGCAATTTTAACAAAATTATAAGGTGGTCTGTATTAGATACAGCCCACCTAATAATAAAGGCAATTTTAACAAAATTATAAGGTGGTCTGTATTAGATACAGCCCACCTGATAAATAAATAAAGGCAATTTTAACAAAATTATAAGGTGGTCTGTATTAGATACAGCCCACCTGATAAATAAATAAAGGCAATTCTAACGAAATTATAAGGTGGTCTGTACGATATACAGCCCACCTGATAAATAAATAAAGGTAATTCTAACGAAATTATAAGGTGGTCTGTACGATATACAGCCCACCTGATAATAAATAAATAAATAAACAAAGGCAATTCTAACGAAATTATAAGGTGGTCTGTACGATATACAGCCCACCTGATAATTACAAAAACAACATTAGTAACACCACCAACCATAATAATCATTGCTGTCATTATTATTGTGATACTGCTTCTAATACTACTCCTACTACATGTACTAGGAAGGAGGGGAAGAGGAAGAATCTTATTGTTTATTTTTTGTATTATCGAGGCATACAAATGCACAGGGAGGTAAAAGAGGGAAAAGTAAGGCGACGAAGAGGGAGAGAGAGAGGGAGAGAGAACGAGAGGGGATAGCCTATGGCCCGGGTTCAAATTCAGTTCTCTTTAATTTATTTGACCCAGTACTGATGATCATAATTTTATCTACCATGTGATTGCCATGTGTACGCCACACCGGATAGCACTAGCTCACATTTTGTTATTGTTGTCAAGAACTTATTGGCATGCAGCCAGTAGATTTTCATCATGTGTTTGATCTTGTATTGAAAAAAAGATCAAACACATCATCATAATCTACAGAGTGCAACCAAAAATTTCTTAACAACAATTGAAATTTCTTTCAGGAAGCCTAACACTAAAAGGTGTTTTTGATTCAAAGAGCATCGTAGAGACGATGAACAAATAAGAATAATAATACATTCACTTCTATTTTCCCCGCCAAATAATCCGAACAAAAGAATCAACCGAGGGTAATCAACTGTTAAACGAATTTATCATGAGTCCTTGAAAAATAAATTAATACTGCTTGTCAAATATTATTGAAGAACAGCAAAGGCAAACGCGAAAGTCGCTACAATTCAGAAATCATTGCTTGCATTGCTTTTCTCTCAAAATTACCGTGAGATATCAAGCTACATAGAACTATGATCGACACAAAAGATATTGTCTTGAAAACAGTCAGAAACATTAGAACTTGAATGAATAAAACATAATGCAAATGAATAAGACTAGAATAAATAGGACACAAGTTAATTTCTACCATTTAAATCATCCAGTACCAAATACCTGAGCAAAATTCGAACCAGATGCATTTAATGGTAAACTTAAAGACAATGATTCATGACAATTGTCAATTGTCATGAGTTTATCGTCTAGACGTATTGCAAAAGATAATCAGAATAATAATGATCAAAATGATACCTCTACTATAAGGCCTAATTCTACATGTACTATACTACACTACTGCCATCGTAGATTATGCTGATAATACAGATGATAATAATGATATGATAACAATTATAATAATACTATATACTTATACTAATTGTCATCAAAATCATCATGTTCATATTCATCATAATAATAACAATAATAATAATTATGATAATTACAATAATAACTTATCTTAACGATAATAATCATGATAAGGATAATAATCACAATAACAAACATAATAATTACAAAAATAACATTAGTAACACCACCAACCATAATAATCGTTGTTGTCATTATTATTGTGATACTGCTTCTATTACTACTCCTACTACATGTACTAGGAAGAAGGAGGTGAAGAGGAAGAATCTTATTATTTTTTTTTTGTATTATCGAGGCATACAAATGCACAGGCAGGTAAGAGAGGGAAAAGTAAGGCGACGAAGAGGGAGAGAGAGGGAGAGAGAACGAGAGGGGGTAGCCTATGGCCCGGGTTCAAATTCAGTTCTCTTTAATTTATTTGACCCAGTACTGATGATCATAATTTTATCTACCATGTGATTGCCATGTGTTCGCTACACCGAATAGCACTAGCTCAAAAGATTTTACACACTAATATATATACTAAAGCTACATACACTTAACTGAAGGAAAGAAACCTATAGAAAACGGACTGGATATTATTGAAAATACTATTCTAAACAAGAATGTACTACATGTACTACATTACGTTACAATTTCACGAGAGAAATAGAACTCGAGAGGGGAAGAAAAGAAGAAGTGATAGAAATGAAAGAAGACTAATAGCATGAGAGGAAAGAAAAGAGCTAAGAAGACAAGAAAAGGGTGTAAAAAGGAAAAGGATGAGCAAGAGAGAGAGAGAGAGAGAGAAAGATAGCCTTGAGCTTTTGATCGGCTAATGTAATAAATGAAACAGATTTTGAGCGTAGTAATTATCTTTCGCCGGAGAACTTGCATAAGGAGCTAAAACTTGATGTTTTTTAAATCAAACATCATGGGGAATAGCAAAAAACGGCTGAGCAATTATTGCACTAATTGCCAGAGGAGCATTCATGTCTTCCACGAGACCGCACTTTTGGATCAGAGAGCAATTTAATTGTCGGTGGAGCATTGTCTTTTGCCGGGTACTTATGGGGAGGAGCAACAATTATTGTCGTAGTAGCCTTTGTATTTTAAGGGGCACTTTTTTAGCAGAGCAAATGTCGGCGGAGCAATTGTCGGTGTCACCGGAGCAAGTGTCGCTTCAGGCGGAACAAATGTCGGCGGAGCAATTGTCGGCAGAGCAAATGTCACCGGAGCAATTGTCGCGTTTTGCGGAGCAATTGTCGGCGGAGCAACTGTCGTTCGAGGAGCATTTGTCACCGGAGCAATTGTCGCGTTTTGCGGAGCAATTGTCGGCGGAGCAATTGTCGGCGGAGCAAATGTCGGCGGAGCAATTGACGGCGGAGCAATTGTCGGCGGAGCAAATGTCGACGGAGCAAATGTCGGCGGAGCAACTGTCGGCGGAGCAACTGTCGCGGAGCAAATGTCGCGGAGCAATAGGGACTTTTAGATTGAGTGGACGAGAACATGACGAACTCCGACTGATCATGCGTGTCAACGTACTCAACTGCTCATGTTGACTACAATTAGAAATCTTTTAGATTGCACTCGACGATATAAATACATGCAGATGACAAAGAAAGAGGACAAAATATACAGTTCCCCATTCTACCCTCAACAATAGGCCACTTTCGTAATGTAACCAAATTTGCATAAGTGTTTGTGAAGTGCCTCAAGACAAATTATTTCATTCACCTGTTAGGAATAATAGTATTTCAATAGTCAGAATGCAACTGCATATATTAAATGTTGCTAGGTAGGCCAAGCCATCATGTTTGTCCAACCTGGCAAAACTTATGTATGCAGTTCGGATTCTGTCTATTGAAATACTATTATTCTTATCATGTGAATGATATCATTTGTATTGAGGCACTACACAAAGAATTATGCATTGAATTTGGTTACATTACGAAAATGGCCTATTGCTGTGGTAAAACATCCCTCCACTGCTATTTGTAAAAATGTGTAGAACAGATGAATATGCATGTGACACCTGTTCTACACATTTTTACATAATAGCAGGGAAGGGATGTTCCTTTGTCTACCTGAGGAACTGTTTATTTTATGCGCACGCGGCATATACTAGTACCGGTACTAGATTTAGGAAAATCACGGTTGACATATTCTCGATCGCCGACTGAGACGACGTGAAGCATGCGCAGTGCCTTAAAATGACGTCACACGTTGCAGTCAAAGCTGTTAACGTGCAAATCTAAAAGTCCCTATTGTCTCAATTGTGAGACTAGGCTCTTGTTGTTGTTGTTGTTCTTTTTTTTTAATTTGAGGCGTGTATCATTCAATTGTGAATATTTTCGCAAAAATCTATTCGCATCATCCAAAATTAAAAAGAAGCAGAATAAAGAAGGAAACAAAACAAAAAGGCTGCACAATTTCCCTCAATTTGTGGAAATTCTCGACAGGCTGTCAACTGACGGCATACTGCATATACCATAGGAATTGTTGTAAATTGTCAAATTAGATCACGTACCTGCAGACTAAACGTTCCTAATCAATGGCGTTGGGTTAATGATAGGAGTCGCCCCCTCAACGTCCTACCAGTCTTTCAACTCGGTGTAATACTGCGTAAAACTCTCTGTTCTCATATGACAGGTCCTAGGTTTGTTCTTAATTGCAAGGTGCTTACATCCTTGGACAAGGTGTTCACATGTTGTCCCTCTTGACCCGTATAGGTTAATCAAATATGTACCTGGTAATGCTGCCTGTGTAAATAATAATCGCACGACTCATAGTAAGAAGCAGTATACATATATATTTAGCTACCAAGAACAAATAAGACCGATTTGTTATTGTTTTGATTTTATACCGATGATCCTAATTAAAACTATCAAGTTAAAAGGGGCTTTTTTTTATCGTATTTAATCGTTGATGACTGCGTTTTAAAAACGCACAGATAGTCAGTTACCGCAAGACCGTAGTTGAACCAGGGTACTTTGTTGTTCACCCTCACTTGTCGTCCATTTAGTGCTACGGTTAACCGCGGCATTCAAGTTATTTTTTTGTTAATGTAACTCATGACTTGTCTGTTTTCCTTTCCTCACCAAGCCCTCTACGGTATCCTCTTCCTGGACGAGCAGGAGCAGGCCTATTCCAATTATCGTCTCTGGGAATCTGTAGGCTTCTCAGTGGCGTTTGCCTACAGTAACTTCCTCTGTGTTTGGATAAAACTAACCATCTTGGTGTGTGTCCTCGGAGCAGGGATGCTAGGTTATGCAGGTGCAGAGCTCGTAGCAAGGAGAGACCATCGGGAGAAATGATATCAAACGCATCACAAAACAATAACGAAACATCGAGAAACTAGTTTTCGGGAATTTAGTTTTCGAGAAGAAAAGAAACATCCACAATGATTATTATTGTACAGTTCAGTTGTGTCCTCGGATGGTTTTATTTTTTTTATTTTTTAGAATCATTCTTGTTTTAATGGCATGACGAAGACAGAGAAAAGAAGCACGAAAGAAGAAAGATCGGGCAAAGTGGCATATTACGAATCATAAACAAAAGGAGATTAGTTTTCGAGAAGAAAGACATCCGGAATATTCCTGTACAGTAGTCTCTCATCAAGTTTTATGAACGCTATCTCTGTAGTACGAACAAAAAGGTCTGCAGAAACTCATTACGATGCCCCCGGAAATTTGAAAATCGTGCAGGCATATATTTCACTCAGTGGGGGGGGGGGGGGGGGGGGGGGGGGGGGGGGGTAGTGAGCACTAAATTTTGACCCCGAAATCGTGCCGACCGATAGTGAGCGCTTTTTTTAATTTGTATAAAACACCCCCCCCCCCCCCGAGCAATAAAGAAAAGGTAATTTTGGGGTCACAATTTTTTTAATTTTTGGGGGCCAGGGTGGGGGGGGGGGGGGGGGGAACTGTCGGTGTCACTATTTTCCTGGTTTTGTTCTGGAAGCCAAAACAAGAAAATGGTCTAGCTACTACCGGGCTTCTCAATGTCCGGACCGCGGTCCGCATCAGAGCATGCCATTCCGGGCCGCCCGGGACAGAGTTTCCAATTTCCTTATTATAGGAGAATGCGGAATGTTAAAAGTGACAAGGAAATAAAAGAATATACAGTAGGTTTGCGGGTGCACCATGTGAGAGAGAGAGAGAGTGGGTTGAGGAGTCCTGAAAAGGACTCTGACTCAGTAATCTTTCTTGGGAGTGTGGTAGTCATGAAAAGGACTGTTTGTTATCTTTCTTAGCATAATAGTTCTAAGGAAAACTATAGCGCTTGGAGAGGATGAGTGGCTCGACTTTTCGAACAGGTTGAGTATCCGTCGTCAGGAGTGGAGAATGGCTGGCGTTCTCCACCTTCTCCACTCCTGACGACGGATACTCAACCTGTTCGAAACGTCGAGCCACTCATCCTCTCCAAGCGCTATAGTTCTCCTTAGAACTATATGCTAAGAAAGATAACAAACAGTCCTTTTCAGGACTACCACACCCCCAAGAAAGATTACTGAGTCAGGGTCCTTTTCTGGACTCCTCACCCACTCTCTCTCTCTCTCTCTCTCTCTCTCTCTCTCTCTCTCTCTCTCTCTCTCTCTCTCTCTCTCACATGGTGCACCCGCAGACATACTGTATATTTACATCACCATGCAAGCCGACACTTACAAGCAGAAATAAAAGAAATTAAAACAAAATCAAAAGGAATTTAAGATATTCTGAAAAAGTGAAAAATGTCGTTCTTTTATCATCATTATCATCAAAGAAAGCCAGAATGAGAATACACCCAACGGCACATTGCAGTTCATGCCCCGCGATAGAAACTGTTGAACATTACATGGTGAAATGCCCGAGATTTATAATAGAAAGGGCTATTCTCCTTTCTAAAACAAATTGTATAAACCCTGAAGAGCTTCTAGGACTTTTAAAATCAGCAGATTAAAAAAAAATACACATTGCAGCTGTTCGTTTCGTTCAAAAACTAAACGCTTTGACCATAAGTGAGCATTTTTAATGTGCTGCAGAAAACACAACCGAGTGTTGTTTTTAACAGTTGAAAGTAGTTGAATAACCACATTAGTTAGACATACAAGTGTACGGTATGTTATATAATATAAAGTATGTTTACGCTCGCACCATGTGAGAGAGAGGGAGGATTGGGGAGTCCTGAAAAGGACTGTCGGTAATCTTTCTTGAGCTTATAGTTCTAAGGAGAACTATAGTGCCGGTTGGAGATGATGGGCAGTGGAGTGGCTCGACGTTTCGAACAGGTTGTTATAATGTTTTGTCTCTTCAAAATCATTATAAGTATAACCTATGAAAGGCGTATCGTCATGGGAAAAAGCTTTTTCTATATATATCATCCTTGTCTTGAGGGTCTAATTTGTTTTTTAATATAATTGATTTAATTAATTTAAAAAAAAAATCATAATTGATTATTTGTACATGCACAAAGTTAATTGAATTATATTAGTATGATGGAAAAGGATCGTATTTTGAATGAGTATTTGTATCGTTTTTATATTGAATAAAATTACAAATAAAACAATACGGAACAACAAAAAAGAGAGGGAGAGACAGAAATTGATTTTCAACAATTTCCCATTAGATGAAATAGACCATGTTCTTCAGTATACAAATTTGTTTGCAGTGCATTTATGCAGTAGATTGTTTGAGTCGTGTACATTGAAGGATACGATTGACCGTATGAATTTTCGGGTAAATGGCATCCCATGTTAACATGTGGACCGTCAAGGAAAAGTTTGAAAACCCCTGGGGGGTGTTTCACAAAGATCCTAAGTTGAACTTATCTCTAAGTTGGACTTAAAAATTATGGATAGCCATTAGCATCTTTGAAAAAAAAATTGTAAAAGTTATTTTGAAAGGCATTAATTGTTTATTCAAACCATTCATATTTTCTATCATCAAGGAGATTTCATGTTCTGGATGTGGAATTTATAAAAAGTCTAAAATACTTGAATTTCTGCTTTTGAATATATTTCATTTTAAGACTCCAATGGCTGTCCATAATTTTCAAGTCCAACTTAGAGTTAAGTTCTACTTAGGATCTTTGTGAAACACCCCCCTGGGGGTGTTTAACAAAGACTAAAGCAGGGCTCCCACTTAGCCGAGTTGGAACCTCGAGTTGTGGCAAGCTGGCGCGATCTTATTATTAATTGATATCAATTTATCAATTCTTGTTATCAAGAAAAAAATTATGTTGTAAAGCAATGGTAATTCTTGATATATCAAGAATTCGATTTCGTGATATCAGGAATTCGATTTCGTGATATCAGGAATTCGATTTCGTGATATCAAGAATTGAATTCTTGATATCAAGACATATGCTTTAATGATAAAACTGCTTGCCATAAGATCGCGCCAGCTCGCCACAACTCGAGGCTCCAACTCGGCTAAGTAGGAGCCCAGCTGTACTTTAAGTTTAACTTGTAATGATTCTTAAGTTGAAGATTACATGTGTCTATCCAGCGCCGTGTGAAATCCCCTTCTTGATTTGTGATGTAGTAGGCCCTGGAGCGTATGATCGACTTAAAGTTGGACCTAACTATGGCAGGCCGTTAATGCCACTGTTTGCTCTCACCATTATGATCTTTAGATATTATTATTTTCCTTCAAAAATGAATTTTCCAAAAATGTGAATTCTGTATTCAATTCAATAATAAGGGTTTTTATTCACATGACGTTCTGGCAGCCGAGGCAGAATTGCAGGTAATTTACAAGGTATGATGGTTAAAATACAGCATTGTACATGTAAACATAACATACAATTAATGATATGTACGTCCTTTGAGAGATCAATGCCAGTTAATGGTGAGACAGTGGCATGAACTGCATGCCATAATTAAGTCCAACTTAAAGTCGATCATACGCCCCAGGGCCTACTACATCAGAAAGCAAGAAGGGGATTTCACACGGCGCTGGATAGACACATGTAATCTTCAACTTAAGAATCATTACAAGTACCCCTTGGAAAGAAAAGAAAAGATCTAAATAGGAAACGTTAATGAAAGGGCGAATAACGGTGTAATGTAATGATAATAGTTGTATTGTTAGTGTTGGTTGCTCCACTTATCCTCCCTCTCTCTCTCTCTCTCTCTCTCTGTCTCTATCTGTCTCTCTCTCTTTCTCTCTCTCTACGTCTGTCACTCTTTCTCTTTCTCTCTCGCTATATCTTCTATCTTTTCAATCGTTCCACTTTTTCAGTGGGATGCATGCATGTGAAAACGATTGCACACATTTTTTTCAAGAAAAAAACTATTTGTTTTAAATAATTGCTTTCAATGTCATAATCATTCAAATTACACCTGATATTTCATTTCAGAATATACGCCTGATAGTTTGAATCTAGACAAACAGTGCGTAATGGTAATAAAGTTAGAAAGCCGGCCAGTGAAAGATGTTTGCATGGTGGGTACGCCGGCACGGTCACATATATCTAACATTTTTGGACCGCATTTTCCCCACTGTGAGTTACGCTTTTGAATTGAATTGAATTGAATTGAACTTTATTTCATTCATCATAAAAACATCATAACAAACATATAAAATACAAAACATAGCGTACAAGTTAAAGAGAAACATTTACAATACAATAACAAAAATATATATGAATGTGAAGACAGCTAGGAAAGCCAAGGCTTTATTGGTGCTGCCACCAAAACAGTAATAAAGTATAATAGAGTATTATATTGTTGTTTGAGAAGGTGATTTAAAAAAAAAAAAAAAAAAAAAAAAAAAAAAAAAAAAAAAAAAAAAAAACCTAAATAGAGGAGGGGGGGGGGGCAAAAACAAAACAAAACCAGACCGTGTACATAATCAATCTTTATTTATTTTGTTGGATTAAAAATGATTTATATCTCCTTTTAAAAACGTTAATTGATGGACTAGGTTTTATATCTTGAGGTATATTATTCCACAACTGTGGCCCTTTAAAAAGCACTGGTTTCTTAGTTATATTTAGTCTTATTTTATTTACATGGAAATTAGAAGAACTTCGAGTATTATATGAATGTAATGCAGAATTAAGACAAAATTTGCTGTAAAGACTAATTGGTATGAAATTATTAAAACATAAGTACATAAATATTGCAAAACAATAATTACAAAGATCTAGGACATTCAAAAGTTTTAATTTTAGAAATAAAGGTTAAGTATGAGCAAAATAATCGGCATGTAAGACTAACCGAATAGCTCTTTTTTGTAAGCATAATAATCTTCTCATTGCATGATCAGTTGAGGAACCCCAGACAAGGTTACAATAATTAAAATAAGGAGATATAATGGCATTATAAATCATAATCAAAATATTTGAAGGAAAATGTTTAATTTTATTTAAAATACCTATACCTTTAGAAATATTCGTGCAGATAACATCAATATGCTCCTTCCAAGATAATTTACTGTCAATTGTTACACTTAAAAGTTTCAGGGAGCTACAACGATTAATTACATTATCATTTAAGGAAACAACCAACTCTTCTTTCTTTCTTTCCCTTTCTCTCCTCTTTCCATTTCCCTTCTTTTCCTTCTACCTCTCCCTCTCTTTTTGCGGGGGGGGGGGGAGGGGGCAAGGCCCTCTCGCCCCCGATCTCCTTCCCCCTTTTTTTTCTTCTTCCTCTTATTTCTATCCCCCTTCTTTTCCTTCTCTCTCTCTCTCTTTTCCGCTGTACAATTACTCTTAGTGCTTTATCCTTTTCTTGTCAGAGATAAATACGTTCCATCGCCTTTTGTACAATCGAGTCGAGACAAGATAACCGGGCCTTGTACTTGCATGCTTGCTCAGTGGAACAGAAGAGGCAGGGGTGCGTAGTTCGACAGAATACAAACGGTCTCTCACTATGAAATTTGACAGACAAAGAAAGCGGACAAAATATACAGTTCCTCAGGTACACAAAGGAACATCCCTTCACTGCTATTATGTAAAAATGTGTAGAACAGGTGTCACATGCATATTCACCTTTTTACATAATAGCAGTGAAGGGATGTTCCTTTGTCTACCTGAGGAACAGTATATTTTGTCCGCTTTCTTTATCTGTCATATTCATAGTGTCTTGAGCTTCTTTTAGCTTGACATTCTTTCAAACATGGTTATGTAACAGAACAAAGAAAGCGATTACTTTTTCACTAGCCGGTTCCAACACAGCAAAGCAAAACCCCAAAAGGATTGGGCAACTAAAAAATGACGTGGTTTGAGAAGGGGAGGGGCGCTAGTCATGCTATTGCTATATTGTAAGAAAAGCACAACTGAGTTTAGCCAGGGACTTGGTTTAGCCTTGCCAGTGGAGGAAGACGTAGATGTGGATCACTGTGTGGCGTGTGGTAGCTCGTTACCAGCTTTTTCCCGTTGATTTTAAACATTTTAGAATGGCAAGTACTCAAGTATTATTCCAGTTTCTACTCATTATTTCACTTATGTCAATTTGCTCAATATTTGTGCTCCAATATCCGCAGGACCATGCAAGATGGACACAAATTCTGGAGGAAGGTCCTAACCACCTTCCAAAAATAAAAAATAGCCTGAGGGATATGTCCAAATTATCAACAGATTTGGAAAAATGGAAGCAATCTACAGCAAACGAGACGCAATTTACGAAAAAGCAGGCCGAATCTATGAAAAACAGGATGGAATTGATTGCTAACAGACTCAAAGGGAGTGTTGAAAAAGTAGAATATGATGTTCAAAACATGGATGTAACTTTGACTCTCAACGCAATTACTGAGGTTCCTTTGGAAGAGAATCGCCTCATCCACAAGATTCAACGAGCTCTGAGGCACCCGGAAGAGGAATGTGTTATCAGGCTTGCCAAGTATTGCGCCACTCGTTGCGATCATTTAGTGCAAGGCAATCACTCAAGAGAATGGACGCGATTCGATTGTGATTTTGTCAGTTCTTGCCGTATAGAAACTCGTTTCGAGGGGAATCTAACAACCCACATCATGCAGACCGTCGATGTGCTCCTCGTGGTCGACTCACTTCACGATGGACTGCAGCTGAAGACGTTGATGGACATACGTTCTAAAGGACAGCTCTGGGTTCTTTACTCCAGAGAAAACCCCATTCACGATGCCGAGTATGCTCCTCCAGGTCTAACGGGAAACCCTTTTAATCTCACCATAACCTACTCGAGAGACTCTGATATTCCTTTCCCATACTGCTTTTTTCAGAAGAAAAAAGTTCGCCCTCCTCCCATACCAAAGAAGTCTAAATTGATAGCCTGGATGGCTTCTAATTGTCACCTTTTGTCTTGGCGGCGAGGTCAGTTCGTCAAGGAACTTCAGAAACACATCTCGGTTGATACCTACGGTAAATGTGGCGACATGGGGCAGCTCCCCGTCCAGGATGCTGCTGAAACCCTGAAGCAATACAAATTTTATCTGGCTTTTGAGAATAGTGAATGTCGAGATTACATTACGGAAAAAATCTGGAGAACTTGTCTTCTTCAGGGTATTGTGCCGATTGTCTATGGAGCATCAAGAGAGGATTATGAGCAAGTGATGCCTAGGAATTCTTTCGTTCATATAGAGGATTTCAGCAACATGAGCACGTTTGTTGATTACATTCACGCTCTAGACTCAGATGCAGACCGTTACAAGAAATATTTTGATTGGAGAGCAGAAGGTATGGTCAATTGTATATCTGCTAGAAAATTTATAATGAATTCCCCTGAAGTGTCTTTGTGTTATCTTCTAAGGAAGCTGATCCATGTCTACATCCATCCAGAAACATCGTGGAAGAAACAAACGCCAGACTTCGCCTCCTGGTGGAGAGGACAATGCCGTGAAGTGACTGCCAAGAGAAATATCTTAGGATTCCCTGTTCATCAATAAAGAGATAACTCACGTTTAAAGGTAAAGACCAGTATTGGAAACGCCCCAATTTCAAAAAATGAAATGGAAGCTCTCATTACCAATCATGTGAAAGAATATGTTTTGACTAATACATGATGATAAAAAATTTGCCGGGAAACCGCCTACTAATTCATATATTTGGTAAATTTGTTTCTCTCATGGTCTGTGAGAGATATAGGGTAGTCCCATATACATCTTTCTGTGTATAGTGCTTGTAACTTTACGAAGAATGGGCCAAATTTCTTATCATTTTGATGATTGCAGAACCTTGCAGATGCTAGATGCTAGATGATCAACCTTTTCTGATCGATTCCACAACGTTTCTTTCACAATGCAATCGCATGACCATAACTGGTCTTTACCTTTAATCATTATAATGAGGGTATAGCAATAGTTATGATAATAATTATAATATTTATCTAGATAAATTCAGTTTATAATTTGCTATGAAATGTAAGTTAATGACTTCCAAAGGACATTAGTGGGTAGGGTTTCGAACCCCGGCCGGTCCACATGTTCCTCGAAGACGATTAACCTCATTGTACGGGAACAACATAAACATGTTATAGTTCAAAACACCTTTAGTATATATTATTTGAAACTCAGAAAATGAATGGGTATAAACCATTGATATGCATAGCAACTATTTTCGAAAACAAATATCTCAAGGACAATTCATTACTCCAAAGTATGTCCCATATAGAAAACATATTATGTGCAGGTAGGGCCTAATTGACAGCCGAGGTCATAATGTGTAAGGCGCTACTGAGAGTAGTATAATGTATGCATACATCTAGGATGTTATTATCAGTTTACATCTAGGATGTTATTATCAGTTTTCATGTTCATGTTTCGTTATATTTTCGTGAACGAGGTACATGACACGATGAATACGCACTGGAATACATCTATCGAGAATTTACATCAAAATATGAATAAGGACGCTAGGTAGTTTAGAATGTAGAATACAGTCATATTGATGTAATGATTCTTTGCAGACAGTCAAGTGTATCTGATGAAATAAGCGGATAATGTATGTCATTCGATTTAAATAGAAGAGAGTATACTCTTGCTGAAAATTATAAATACACTCAAATCAGCAACAACAAAAAAGATAGAAATAATGTATTATAATTCATGATTTAGATTATCAATCAAATTTGACCATAAATGTATCTTTCATAATCAAAATGAAGTGAGTTTATTCATCTTTAAGATGAAATGCATTTGGAATCAAAACACTAACGTATGAGTAAGCATACACATTTAACAATAATTGAGTTTGAAATAAAATTGCAAAATGGAGCATCTAACATTCAAGCATATTCATCTTGTTGAGTCAAAGACAAACAATGAGAAAACAACAACAACGAAAAACACAAAAATGAGAGGCATCTCGACCATGCTTGTCAAAACTGTGCAGTCCTGAGACTACAGTTGACATCCGGAGTTCAATCCTTTCTCTCTTCCCTTGTTTTCAATGTTTAACAATAATATCGTAAAGATGCACTTGCTCATTTTGAAAGGCTACTAGTTATATCTTGGTTTTTTGCATTTGTCTTTATCAGACCTTCTAAATGTGTGAAAGTTTATAACTTGATCTTAATTGACGTTGGTAGAGTATTGAGTTTCTTTTTGTTTGATATTATATTAAATTATATTTCATGGACGGTTTACCTGAAAAATGTTAACAATCAAGAGTGTCCATTTTCAATCGTTGTTGCTGAGTGTATGTATATGATATGGTATAATAATAATACATAATAAATATAGGCTTGTAATTATAAGTTGTTTAGGCCTGTGTTAATTTTAATAATAATAATGATAAACGAATTAAGATAGCAGGCATTGAATGATTGACAGATATACAAATTGAACGACTGAATGAATGAATACATGATAGATTGGAAATTATTGACTGTATTAATGATTGATTGATAGCTCGATTATTATTGATCGATTGATTGATTGATTAATTGACTAGTTGATTGAATTGTCGAAAGGCTACTTTGCAGTAATGCCCGAAGTTTACCAAAGAATTTTGAACATATTTCTCAATTTTTGTCAATGATTAATCATTCCTTTTCTTTTATAGCAATTTCTGAGACTTGGATAAACGAGACAACCTTAAATAGTTTCAATCTAGATGATTATAATTTGTTGAATGTTAACCGGTTATATGGGCGTGGTGGTGGTGTTGCGCTATTTGTGAAAAAAAATATATAATGTATACTGTAAGAACAGACATTGTTTATAATCAAGAAACAAACTTAACATGTGAATATTTGTTTATTGATTTTTTAGATAAAAAACGTAAGAGGTCTACTGTTGGTGTCATTTATAGAAAGCGTGGATCAAACCATGAAATATTCCTTGAATTTTACAACAATGTTGTTAATAAATTAAGTGATGAACATAGGCATATTTATATAACTGGAGATTTTAATATTGACTTACTTAAAAATGATGATACTGTTAATGAATTCCTTCGGCTAAACTCTGTACTTGGTATATTCCCGATTATAAAAACCCCAACTCGTATTACACCAAGCAGTGCTACGCTTATTGATAATGTATTCACCAATGTTTTTGACTCAGATTTTGACTCAGGTAGTCTATGTTCAGATGTTAGTGACCACTTACCCATTTTTCTAGTCTCTAAAAGCTCTAATAATAATAATACTTATCAGCCTAGCTCTTTTCGCTTTACTCGGAAATACTCAGATGATAATATAAGAAATTTTCAATAATATGATCTTTATCATGAAGAATGGAATAATCTCTATAATATGACAAATGCTAATGATGCATATTCCTTTTTATTAACCGTTTTACTCAATTGTTTGAAAAGAATTTTCCTCTGTCAAAAACTAAACAAACTAAAAGACGCATGAAAAAACCTTGGATTACAAAATATTTATTAAGATGCATAAAGAAGAAAAATCGTAATCATAAACACTTTCTGCAAAACAATGCATTGGATAATGAAAGAAAATATAAAAATATATAGAAATAAATTGAATAATCTGTTAAAGCACGCAAAAAAATCATACTTTTCTAACAGTTTAAAGTTATATAAAAATAATACTAAACAGACTTGGTCAGTTATAAACTCATTACTAAATAAGCCTAAAAAATCTTTACCTGAATACTTTTTTAATGGCACTGAGAAAGTTTGTTATCCACAACATATAGCAACTGAATTTAATCAACATTTTATAAACTGTTGTAGACAGATAACCACATCAATAGTAAGTTCTTCTAACAATACTTCTTTTAAAGGGGAAGTCCACCCTGAAATTAATTTAGTTTTAATAGGAGTAGAAAAATGAGAGAAACAAGTCAGTGAAAGTTTGAGCAAATTCCGATTAAAAATAAGGAAGTAAGGATTTTTGAAGTTGTGATCAATCAAACACAAATTGGCAACTCTATGACGTATCATGCGAGCTCAACTTCTATTTGCTCAGTACTAAAAAAATCTAAAATTTTCATTTTCCCTCAAGAAAAATTTCAACCATACATGCACCCTAAATATAATAATTGCAAATATGTTTCTATACTCCCCCTGCAAGGAACAAATATATATTCCGTCATCAATAACGAAGAAAACATGATTTTATGGAATATTATGCACAAAGTAAATGAAGGAGAGCTCGTATTATAAGTCACAGAGTTGCCAATTTGTATTTGTTTGATCACAACTTCAATAATTCATAACTTTCTTATTTTCATTCAGAATTTGCTCAAACTTTCACTCACCTGATTTTCTTATTATTTTGCCTCTATCGAAACAAACTTATTTTGGGGGTGGACTTTCCCTTTAAAGTAGATATTCATTGATTTTAAAAACTAACTTAATTTCATTGTTGCAAAGTTTAAACGTTGATTCGACAAGGTTATCAAAATTCAATGCTTGGAAACATTCGAAGTAATGATTATTATAAATTATAAAACGCTTAAATACAGCCCCGGCATAGCACATGAAGAGCTCCCCGAACGCTGCTGAGATGCGTGAGATCACAGTATGGACACGATCTGCGCAAGCAGACGATGTCCCATGACATCTCACACATTTTCAGTGCCTGTGTTTTCATCTTTTCTTGAGTTCTTTCTCTTACTCCACTACCGTCAGGCTAAATGTATAATCTATTGCCTCACTCTAAACCCCGCACATGGTTTTATTTTGATGACAAATGCAGCGATACAAAAATAAAGGAATCTGTCGCTTGTAAACAAAATAAGACGCCATTGAATATTCAGCTGGACACACCGCGGTATGTTCGGCGTTTCAAAAGGGAACAAATACCGTCCTTAATATCGTTCCGGGGTTTTCAATTCGAAAGTCTGGTTTCTTTGATTGTTAATTAACCCCTATACTGTGTATTTACAAGCAAAATATTTTAGTTATCGGAATCGGGTCATATCCCCTTTTGAATGGTTTGACATGCCATCACATTTATATACACTAAACTCATTATAATTTGACAAATAAAAGCTTTGCAATTATGTTCATTCTCTATGGGATGTCGTCTGCTTGGGCAGTATTGGTCCATATAGTGACGTCATTAAAACATCGTTATTTTTCCGGCGAATCTCTCGTATATCCCAGCTGCTATGCCGGTGGTTGTATTTGTATTTTTGTATTAATCATTCTATAAGTAGTTGACCTAAAACTTGTACGATGGCCATCTGTTAGCTTACCAGTTTCTAGTCATACATTAGTTGACATATTTGTGATTTTCTTTGAATTTCACCTTTAAGGATCATCTGACTGGTTCTTTCAACAATTCTATTTTTTTAAATCCTATAACAGAAAATGAAGTTCTACAGATTAGTAGTTCACTACACAACAGTAATTCAGTTGGATTTGATAATCCTAGTACCAACTTAATGAAAAAAAATTATATTATACATTGTACAGCCAGTAGTATTTATATTTAATCTCTCTCTTTCTACAGGCTTAGTCCCAGATAAACTACAAATAGCTAAAATAACCCCCGTATTTAAAAAAGATGATCCTCATAAATTTGATGATTAATGGCCAATATCTATTCTGCCGTCTATATCAAAATTGTTTGAAAAATGTATTTATAACCGATTATATTCCTTTTGTTTAAACAATAAAATTCTCACAGATTCACAATATGGCTTTAGGAAAAATCACTCTACTACACATGCTTTGATAGAATTACAAGATAAAGTTTTGTCAGCACTTCATACCAATAAATTTTGCATTGGAATTTGTATGGACCTTTCAAAAGCCTTTGATATTGTTAATCATAGAATACTTTTATCCAAATTAGAACACTTTGGGATTAGGGGCTTACCACTATCTTGGTTTGAAAGTAATCTTTCTAATAGATCTCAATATGTAGTTTATAATAACAGTTCCTCAATTTGTTCTTCTATTACACACGGCGTACCACAAGGTTCTATCCTAGGTCCTCTACTGTTTTTAATTTACATTAATGATCTTACACATTCTTCTGACAAATTTAATTACATTGTGTACGCTGACGATACTACTTTAATTTACACCCAAACTAACACTCATTACTTACAAAATAATATCAATACTGAATTAGACAAAGTAACAAAATGGTTCAAATCAAATAGGTTGTTGATAAATCCTAGTAAAACAAATTACATAACTTTATTCCATAGGCAGTCAAATTACACTAATTCGCTTGATAATTTGTTTATAAAAATAGATGAGGTTCCATTAAATAAGGTTAATAGTGTTAATTTTCTTGGTGTTTTTTTATTGATTTCAATATGCAACGGGACAGTCAAGTCAATAAAGTCACTCAAAAGGTATCTAAATGTATTGGTATATTATACAGATTAAAAGACTCGCTTCCACCTTCAGCATTATTACTACTTTATAATTCATTCATGCTATCATATTTAAATTATTGTGTTGCTGTTTGGGGTAATTGTAGTCGAACTAAATTAGATAAATTATTTAAATTGCAAAAAAAAGCCCTTCGCATATGCCTTGGATGTCATTATCGTGCCCATTCTGCCCCACTGTTTAGAAAATTGAAATCTCTTAATATTTTTGATTTGTACTATTACTCCATTGCCCTCCTTGGTTTCTTCTACTTTCAAAATAAACTACCTGTTAATATTTTTCAAATATTCACTCTTAATTACCAGATACATAACCACAATACCCGTTTTAAGGATTCTTTTCACTTATGGCCAGTAAAAACAAATAAGGTAATAAAATCAGTACGTCATAATTTCCCTGTAATTTGGAACTCCATCCCCAAATATATTTCTGATTGCAAGTCCATTAATCCCTTCAAAAAAAAGTTGAAGCAGTTTCTTTATCTCAAATAAGTATAGTTACTTATCTTATGTTTATATTTGTGTTACATGTTTTTTGTTTTTTGTTTTTTGTTTCTTTTTATTTAATGTTCTCTTTTTTCATTTTTTTTAAATCTTTGCTTTACATTATGCTATGAATGCTTTGGGAACTATGCGTGTACAAGGCCTAAGGTTTTTTTTTTTATGTAGCTCCCCATTTCATTTCTAAATTTGTTTATGAATAATTGTGTATATTTTGTATCAATGTAATTTTTAATCGAGAATGAAATAAATGCGAATTCAATTCAATTCAATTCGATTGATTGAATGATTGATTGACTGACTGATTAATTGATTGATTGCATTCTTGATTGATTAATTTATTGATTAATTAATTGCTTGATTAATTGATTGGCCAATTGATTGACTGAATGATTGATCGGTTTATTACAGGATTGATTGAGTGAGTGGGTAGGTGAATAAACATTTCACTGATTGAATGGATGAATCGATTGATTAATTAATGCTTAACTACATGGTTGATCGACTGATTGCTTTATTGATTTAAAGATTAATGTTTTGAGTGATTGATTGTTTGGTAAATTGGATGTTATTTTTTCTGAAACAATTGTTTGACGATGTTACTTCTGCCATAGCTGGAGTTTGTTGTCTTATCAAAGGTCACAGTAAAAGGGAACGAGGATGAAAAATTACCTTTGCTTTAACACGACACCAAATTTAATATCATTTTGACTCATTATGATGACTTGAAATAAATCATATTCATGAAATGGATAAGTCTAAAGAATGAAAAATAGAAATAAATGTAGAACTTACCAGACAATTCAATGATTTGGGCTGATTTGATCTGGTCACGAAAAGCTTTTTATATATTCTACATCACTCTAATCACGCTTTTCTCTTTAAAAACAAATTAATGTATACGTAATAGATAAATAGATAGATAAACAAACAATCAAGCAAATGAATACATTAATTAATTATTGGATAGTCAAATAATTAAGTAAATAGGTGAATAAGGTAAATAAATAAAACAATATGTGTCTCGTTATAACCTGATGCGTCTAGATACGTTTAAAGAAATGAATAGACAATAGGTTCATAAATCAACAAAATTTCCCAGGACGTTACTAAGGTCCCCTCCAAAGTAATAACGAAATTCCGATATTCTTTATCAAATGATATCTTGATTTCTGAAAAGTTTTCCTTCCTTCATTTTATATACCACATTACATTTGAAACGGGCTAATTTTTCGTCATTGCTTTTAGAAATGTGCGCACAATACGTGTGTGAATTCTTTGTTTTTTTTCTCGAATGCAATGAACATCATAGGCTCAAAGCCACACCATGGTTAGTAACTCCATGGCCACACGTAGTTATTACAAAATGTGTTACAAATCTATGTGATCCTTGTTGAAAACATTTTCGTGTCTACCAGATTTTATCTCTCGGCAGTTTGATCAAGTCTAAAGTCTCTCGTCATTAGTTGATTCATCGCCGAGTTATTGCAAGTCTATTAATCATTAACAAACGGGCGACGCACAGATAAAGTTGAATATTAACCAGCCAGTGTTGACAGCACAAAACAAAACAAATATTACTGTGAAGGTAGGCTTATTACAAGGAATCCACTTCTCGTCAATAGTTTACAATTTTGTCATTTTAAACCCATTTTTGACATTTCTGACATATGTTGTGCATTCCTGCAATTTGATGATCGGTAGGCCCTTTTCAGAAATATTCCGACTTTGCCATCATGTCTGATATTCGCACACGAAATAGATCAAATTGTTGTTGTTTTTAATATTCAATAGAAGCATAACGTATGACTTGATCGAGGCTACATTTTTGACCTGGCAGTGTCAATAATTAATGAAATATGCGACCTTTCCTTTTGTATTTCAACATAAATTTTCTTCGCCATTTTGAATACCTGTTAGAGCGCGCCAATAACATAGATCGCCTGGTGTATTGCATGTTACACACCCTGCCACTATAGGGTTAGTGTTTGATACGAACAATTAGAATCATGGAATAATGTAACCTACTAGATTTGGCGGAAAATAGAGTATCTGAGTGATATCAACAGGAGGAACAAAAGCAGATTACGTTTTAGGAAAAACAGAGGGAGTGTGTTTTACTATCATCTGCTAAGCGAAACAATACAGCAGGAATATTCTTTGAACCCGTGTCATAGTCGTGATCATCGACCATGAGTCGTATCATACAAGCCCTGATCGCCATCGGCATCTTCTTGTTCGTTGGTATCATGATTTTCGTGCCTTCTTTGGTGATGACCACGGAACCGTTCTCCAACTGGGGCCAGTTCGAGTCGGTGGACTGCGGCGAAACTGTGGAGGATGAACGCATCAACTGTTATCCCGATCTTGACCAGCCTACTGCCCGTCAATGCGAGATGAGAGGATGCTGTTTCCAGAGAATCACTTGGGATCGATTGAATAAGATCCCCGAGTGTTACTTCCCTACAAACGTCGGTTACAGGGTCATTGGAGATCAAAAGGAAATCTCTGAAGGATTTCAGTTGGAGCTTTTTAGGCTTCATACACCAAGGTTCTTCTACGAGGAAGTAGAAAATCTTAGATTCCGAGCAGAGTTCTACAAGGAGAACATCCTCCACATGAAGGTATATCACCTCGTCAATATTAGTTTATTTCATTTACTTGGATGTGATATATTTCTTAAATTTGTCAGGTTTATTTTTCATATTTTTATTTATTTATATGCTAAATCATAGCAATTCGGTATCTTAACAACATGATATGTAAAGCCTAAGGAAAGGTGTGTGTTTTGGTAGAGTTGAAACAGATAAATTTGCAAGCTTTAATTCTCATTCTTTGCATGCTATAGTTTGAGTGAGCTATTATCAGAGTAGAAATTCCCCCTAAAAAGAAGTGCTCTTTACATGCTCTCATATTCTTAATATTACTTGAAGTAGCTAAACGTCTTTTTTAACCAAACTTCCAAGCCGCATGGGTGTATAATAGTCCCAGACAGTGGCGTAGATCCTCACTTAATACCTATTGTTTGGGGGATAAATCAATGGATCACCCCCTGAACAATAAGTATTAAAGGGCAAGTCCACTCCAAAAATAACTTAATTTCAATAGAAGCAGAAACATTAGACAAACCAATCAAAAAAGTTTTTAGCAAAATCTAATCTATAACTAATAAGAAAGTAGACATTAAAAACTTTGAAAATCACAAGAGAATTTGGCAACTCATGAGTCTGAGACGTCATTCCCTCACTATCCACTAATTGTTTTCTTTATATTGATTATATAAATTTCCCATTTTCCTCCTAAGAATCTTAATTCCTCACACCAGCATCCAAGTTATATTGATATTGTTTTTGTGTGGATGCATTAATATACATTATTTTTTTCGTGACAAATTTGAATTTTGATAAAGTATTTATATGAAAATCAATGATTATGATTATACAATATTCAGAAAATAAAGTATCAATTCTTCATAAAAGATTTTGTGAAATATCATGCACACAATATGCTACAAATCATTTAACCTGGGGAAAGGCATGGGGAAATCAAGTTATCGGGTTTAAAAATGGAAATTAATGGGATAAAAATATATAAAGCAATTTATAAATAGTGAGACAATGACGTCACAAACTGATAACCCAAATTGGCAATTTGTTTAGAGATTTCCATTGTTCCGTACGTTTGCATACTTTTTCAAAAATTCATGATTTCCTTATTAGTTATCCGATTTTGCTCAATTTTTTTTGTCTGTTTTTCCTTGTTTTTCTGCATCCATCTATTAAAAGCAAATTATTTTTGGAGTGGACTTAGCCTTTAAGCAAGGATTTACGCCTTTCCCTCATTCCCTCACTATCCACTAATTGTTTTCTTTATATTGATTATATAAATTTCCCATTTTCCTCCTAAGAATCTTAATTCCTCACACCAGCATCCAAGTTATATTGATATTGTTTTTGTGTGGATGCATTAATATACATTATTTTTTTCGTGACAAATTTGAATTTTGATAAAGTATTTATATGAAAATCAATGATTATGATTATACAATATTCAGAAAATAAAGTATCAATTCTTCATAAAAGATTTTGTGAAATATCATGCACACAATATGCTACAAATCATTTAACCTGGGGAAAGGCATGGGGAAATCAAGTTATCGGGTTTAAAAATGGAAATTAATGGGATAAAAATATATAAAGCAATTTATAAATAGTGAGACAATGACGTCACAAACTGATAACCAAAATTGGCAATTTGTTTAGAGATTTCCATTGTTCCGTACGTTTGCATACTTTTTCAAAAATTCATGATTTCCTTATTAGTTATCCGATTTTGCTCAATTTTTTTTGTCTGTTTTTCCTTGTTTTTCTGCATCCATCTATTAAAAGCAAATTATTTTTGGAGTGGACTTAGCCTTTAAGCAAGGATTTACGCCACTCCCAGATACCATTTTCTGAGTGCAGTGCGTGGGATTTTCAGCACGAATATATGAGTCATTTTCTGTTTATAGGGTTAAGACACCAGCCGCAACAAAACATAGATAATGCAACTTGTATCGGGATATAGATGGAAGGAGAGAGAGAGACAGAGAGAGAGACAGAGAGAGAGAGGGAGAGAGAGAGACAGTGAGAGAGAGAGAGAGAGAGAGAGAGAGGGGAGATAGGGAATGAGTTTATACTCTGGTTCATTTCCTTATCACGTTTGTGTAATAAAATTGTATGGATAATTTTGCGCCTGTTTTTACGAATCTTTAAATATTTGATCATCAACTGTTCACATTATGTAGATTGTATCCCCGCCACAGTATTTAGCTTCATACTATGTGATTCATCGACAATTTTTTGTTTTTAATTTGTACTTTAATCAATAGTTTTAATTTTAAACCAACAAGGTACCAGACAACCTGAATTATATACATAATTCATTTTTTGCTCGTTTACAGGTGAAATTATTCACCCTTGAATCCTTGATACGAAAAGCTAGATCTGCCCCTATTATCATTGTTATTTATGATTTACTGTTTGAATAGTCAACAAGAGTGGATGCGAGCTTGCTCACTATATTTTAACGTTGGTTGAAGCTTCAACTACATGTTATGATTATCCCAATCCATGAAAGATTTCTGTTTCATCATTACGATGACAGTACTTTCGTTATCCTATGACTATACTGTAGTAGGGCGATACTGAGTGACTCGGCGTTATGTAAACCCACTTGTTACGTGTATTTGCTTTTGTTTGAAAAGCGATAACATACTTGTTTGCCGTTTTATAGACGATGATTCAATGAGTAAACATACCACACTCACGTACCACTTTAGTACCGGCACTAAACGTTTGCATATTTTAATCTAGCATAAATTATATTATCGCTTTTCAGTTTTTAAAAAGAATGAACGGTCGGGAGTGCATGTGCGATATGTCTGGCTTGGAATTAAATATCAATTATTTTCCAAACCATGAAGAAACAAAATCCGACGTTCAGGATATCAAGTGACGAAGTTCCTACAGTAACAATTATTATTTATTTAACTCTCGGTTACATTATTTTAAAGGTTAGTCTTTTATTTGACTTCTTACAGAAGCTGTTCATGGTTTTTCCTCCTTACAATTTAATGCAGCTAAATGAACATTTTTTGCTATGCCACGACTATGTCAAATTGACTAATAGTTACTCTTGTTTACGCCTCTAGTATCATATAAAACAAAAACAGATAAACGAAAAACATTAACCAAAAAATACTTTATAAAATGGTGGCACTTTGATTTCGGATAATATTTGAAATACACTCAGAGGAAGTGAAGGTCATATTTTAAGAAGCATCATTATTGAATTAACATTTGAGATGATATAACTCTATATTATCCTTCAAGATTGAGTTGAGTTCTGGTCATGCAATTGCATTGTGAAAGAAACGGTGTGGAATCGATCAGAAAAAAGTTGATCATGTAGCATACAAGTATTGGTGTGTACTGCAAGGTTCTGAAGTCATCAAAATGATAAGAAATTTGGCACAGTCTTGGTAAAAGTAACAAGCCTATACATAGAAATATTTATATGGGACTACTCAAACATGTGGAATAAAAAATGTGATCATCATTTTTAAGCTGTTACATGTCATATTTAGAATATGAAGGCTTTTAAAGAGCCATGCTTTTCAGGGGACTTTTTTCTCAGATGTTCTTCCACACTTGCATACTAACAATGGAACGCTCACAAATTATTTGTTCACCTCACCTAAAAACTCAACCTTCTCTTAAAGTGTCACACGGTTCGTAAGATTTCGAAGAAAAAACATTGACTATTGAATTTATATAGAGCTTGACTGACCTTTTAATGTGGTATATTAAATTACTATTACAGTCACTTTCCTTACTCAGATAATATTGAAACTTTTAAAATTCCAGATAATGCAGTAGCGCAAAGTGGTTCCAGCCAATGTGAGGGGAGGGGGGGGGGGGGAAAGGAGCATTCGTCTTACGACGTGGATGACATCTGAATCAACCAGGACGCATATTGTGGGGACCGACAATGCGGAGGGTCGTATCAGTTCTTTTCATGTTTGCTCCCCCCCCCCCCATCTTCTATTTGTATTTGTTGATGGAGAAGGGCGCACGTCCCCACGTGCCCCTGTCAATGTAAACGCTGCGTCACGGTCACGGTTTAGTGTATGATTGCATTTATAGATTATGTGTTACGGTTTGGAATATTGTTTATCATTATCATACTTATTGGTGTTATCATTATTATTATTAGTAGCAGTAGTAGTAGAAGTAGTAGTAGTAGTAGAAGAAGTAGTATTAGTAGTAATATTATTATTATTATTAGTAGTAGTAGTAGTAGTAGTAGTAGTAGTAGTAGTAGTAGTAGTAGTAGTAGTAGTAGTAATACTAGTAGTAGTAGTAGGAGAAGTAGTAGTAGTACTAGTAGTAGTAGTAGTAGTAGTAGTAGTAGTAGTAGTAGTAGCAGCAGCAACAGCAGTAGTAGTAGTAGTAGTAGTAGTAGTAGTAGTAGTAGTAGTAGTAGTAGTAGTAGAAGTAGTAATAGTAGTAGTAGTAGTAGCAGTATAGTAGTAGCAGTAGTAGTAGTAGTAGTAGTAGTAGTAGTAGTATAGTAGTAGAAGTAATAGTAGTCGTATTATTAATATTATAATTTTTATTATTATTATAGATTTTAACATCATCATCATTACCATTATTATACCTGCAGATATACGAGTACCGCTACGTTGACAGGACTGAGATTCGATTTGCTGAGCGAGTGGATCGAAACTGGAAGCCACGCTATGAGGTTCCTCTGGAGTACCCCAAGACCACACTCAAGAACAGCTGGCCCGAGTATGAAATCGTCTATGACAGAAACCCATTTAGATTCAAAGTCATGAGGACAAGGACAAATACAGCACTGTAAGAACAAACAATCGTGATATTTCTTCTTCTTTTAAAAAATTAAGATTGGTTTAATTGCTTTAATACAGCCACTATACAACGCATTGAATAATCGTCATTTGCTCATGCGTCTAATTATACCAGTCCTGATACCCAACAATAGTTTTTTGGGCTTCTTGAATACAAAGTGCTAAGAGTAAACCATGAAACTACGATTCGATGTTGGTAGTATTGGAAATAGCATTTTACACAAACATTCAAACCTCATCATGATCGAGGTTGTGAATTTGAATAAGGAAATATTTGTGATGGTTGTTATTTTACCTGACTGCTAAGAAAGCATAAATGCTTGTATTAGTAAGCAGCCAGACGGCCGACGGCTTAAGGTCCTCTCCGAGGAGCCTGGTAATGAGGATTAATGCCGTACCAAAGGGCACTAGCGCATCGCCTTGGTTTCGAACCCGGGTCACCAGATTACGAGACCACTGCTCTGCCGACTGAGCTATCGCGCCTCCAAATCGGAATTGCAAGCCTTTGATTGGAAGAGAGATACAAGGCGGGTCCTAGTCGTAGTGATATCAGAACATTCATGCTATTGAGTACGATTGGAAGCCCATTACTTTATCTAGGCATTGGACCGAATTGTTAATTTTATCATTACTCATGACTCAGATCCTCAATCAAAAAAATTACCGCTCAATTTTGTAATTTTACATTTCCGATGCTATCATAGCAATTACTGTAGCTTCAGATCGCAGTCCGATATCATAGCGTGCATTGGGTTTTATTAAGGTTTCCACAAATCAAAAGCAAATTGACTCTCAACCAATCAGGATCAGATTACAAAATAGTACTCCAGTTTCATTATCCGACGTGTCTTATTTAGCGTATTAAAAAGCAACTCGTTAATTATGCAAGACGTGTCCGTTTAAGAATGCTTCATATTTTCATGGAAATGTTGTACAAGTCTTTTAACCCGTTGACTACTGAATTATCTAATTCCCATAGAATTAACACAGGGACCACCAGGTTCCAGTAAGCAATGGGTTAAATTAACCCATGCACTATGAACATGACTGACAAAGAAAGCGGACAAAATATACAGTTCCTCAGGTAGACAAAGGAACATCCCTTCACTGCTATTATGTAAAAATGTGTAGAACAGGTGTCACATGCATATTCACTTTTTACATAATAGCAGTAAAGGGATGTTCCTTTGTCTACCTGAGGCAGAGGCGGCGGACCCGGGGGGGGGGCAGGAAGGGGGGCACTTTGTCAAGTACCCAAAAAGTGCCCCTTTAACTTTGTAAGAAGCGCCCCTTTTTACATAAAAGGTGCCCCTATTACTTTGATATATGCCCCTATTAATTTTTTAAAGTGCCCCCTCCCCTTTCCACCTCTGATATGTGCCCCTTTTATTTTAAAACGCACCTCTTTTCCCTGACATGTTCCCAGTTTCCTTTGCAATAAGTGTCTATTTTTCATTCTCATAAGAGCCCTTTTTAATCTCTAGTAGGTGCCCCTTTTCGGGTACGAGAAGCGCCCCTTTTCACCTCTGATGAAGTTAACCTTTTTAACAATGATACGTGCCCCTTTTCCTTTCTTATGAGGAACCTATCCCTTTTTCAGAAATGCCCCTATCAAAATATGATGGTTGCCTCTTTTCCGTCGACAAATGCCCAATTTCCATTCTCATAAGTGCCTTTTCATCCTTAGTGAGTGCCCCATTTTCACCTCTGATAATAACCCTTTGTACTTTGACACGTGCTCCTTTTATTTTCTAATAAGTGTCTTGTCCCTTCGAAAATGTCCCATTTTCCTCTCATCATTAAACGTGCCCCTAATTTCAAGCGACTAAGAGCAATATCTTCCAAAGCTCGCTCGCTACGCTCGCTCATATTTATAGATGTTATAATTATGTTACTTCAAGGGTCTTTTCAGTTTTACTGTTACGAGAATGTGCTTATTTATAACCCGATGGAGATTTTTTTTTTTTCCTCTTTATAAGATGTAGTTTTCGCACTGCGACCTCACAAATCTTATATTTTTCCTCGCTCGCTTTGCTCGCTCACAAATTATTTTTTTCGACCATCACACCCAACTGCAAGGTATGATGCTTAAGCAATATTTTATACGATGTATAAAGAGAAACAAATATTGAAATCATCCCTGATAATGTAATCAAATTATAGGGGTATATACCAATGTCTAAAAATTGTATATTTTCGCTTTGAGATTTCCCTTTGTAGGTGCCCTTTTTTCTCCAGAAAGTGCCCTTTTTTGTTGGTGCCCCCCCCCCCCACTTTGGAAGTCGCTCCGCCGCCTCTGACGTGAGGAACTGTATATTTTGTCCGTTATGTTCACAGTGATGGCTGCTTTTGTTGTTTGAATGTTGTTTGAATAATGTAGAAGCTCTAAAATGTTAAGAAACACGATCTCAACCATTTTCGAGAAAAAAAATCACCCTTCTCTATCCTATTTACCCCGTCTCTCTCTCTCTCTCTCTCTCTCTCTCTCTCTCTCTCTCTCTCTCTCTTATCTCATCTTCTCTTCTCTTTTCTTCTCTTCTCTGTCTTCTCTTCTTCTCTTCTCTTATCTCATCTTCTCTTCAATCTCTTCTCTTATCTTGTCTTCTCTTCTCTTCTCTTCCCTCCTCTCTCTGCTCAGTTTGGACACGAATATCGGAGGTCTGGTTTTTGAGGATCAGTTTCTTCAGCTGTCAGCTAAGCTACCTAACAGTATGATGTATGGATTGGGAGAACACAACAAATTGAGATTCAGACATGAGGTCAATTGGCATACCTACGGTATCTTCTCTGCAGATAACGACCCGGATGTAAGTGCGCCATTTGGAAAAGTAAAAAATACATATAGGGATGTAATTAGCAGATCGATTATGACAGTTTAAAAACTTAGTCAATGGATATCAGGGTGATTTGCAGATTTTTTTTAGCAAACTTGGTTACGGATAAAAGTAGTGTTAGTAAAGTAAAAATTATTATGGTAGAAGGTTTCTATAACTAAAATTTCTGCTACGGGGAATATCAAGGAAATTAAATGAGAACAAACGAATCTAAAATAAAAGAAATAATTAAAGAAATGGCTCCATGGAAAATGTTTTGAGAGTGTTGACAGCCTAGCAGCATGAAAAGATCACCTACACCATTACATGTATATCACAGTTACTGTAATAACATTTTCAGTTTGTTAGGGCCTTCTTTCGTGTGTGTGTGTTTCCCTGAGTTCCTTTTTTTTTTTACTCACACTTTAAATGATTCAGTTCTTAAATCAAAAGCAATTCTATAACTGCATAAATGACCATTTTGATATTTTTCTTCTTCAGGAGGATCAGTACAAGAATCTTCACGGACATCATCCTTTCTTCATGGCTATCGACGATCAGGGAGACGCATTCGGTGTGCTCTTTGCAAATAGTAATGCCCAGGGTAAGCAATCATCATCATCACCATCATCATCATCATCATCATCGTCATCATAATATTCATCGTCTTTATCAACATCATCATCATCATCATCATCATCAGCATAATATTTATCTCCATCACCATCATCACCATCATTATCATCATCATCATCATCATCATCATCGTCATCATAATATTCATCGTCTTTATCAACATCATCATTATCATCATCATCATCATCATCACCATCGCCACCGTCATCATCATTAACATCATCATCATCATCATCATCATCATCACCAATACCATTGGCATCATCCTCATCACCATCATCATCATAATTATCATCACCATCATCATCATCATCATCACCATCATCATCATCACCATCATCATCATCATCGTCATCATAATATTCATCGTCTTTATCAACATCATCATCATTGTCATCATCATCATCATCATAATATTCATCACCATCACCATCATCACCATCATTATCATCATCATCATCACCATCGCCACCGTCATCATCATTAACATCATCATCATCATCATCACCATCACCATTGGCATCATCCTCATCACCATCATCATCATAATCATCATCATCATCATCATCATCACCACATCACCACCATCATTGTACAGCACAATCACCCCCCCCCCCCCCCCCGTGTTCACAATAGCTTCCAAGAGACTTCTCTTACACAATGTTATCGCATGATCTCTTGGACAATGTTATCCCCGAAACGAAATCGTCGTTCAATAGCATGCTACAAACACACCTTTAACGAAAGGATGGTAACAGTAAACCGTACAACCACAGCACACATATACACGCCGTTTCATAACACTTTGAAACTTCGTCAGTTACCCCTGGCAGGCTGGCACTATCCTGTAGTCAAAGTGCGACATTAGGGACTTTTAGATTTGGCAGTGCATTAAAAGGACGTCGACCGTAGCAATCCCCATTGTCTTCGTGCGAATCTAAAAGTCTCTATTCTGAATTTTATGTAAACCACCCCTTGATTCGTGACTCTTCTTTCAGACGTCAATAGTTTTAAGAGAAAGTACAAACATAGATAATGCCGCGTTATATCCCTCAGTAATCCGTTTTATAAAGAGAAACTTTCCAAGTTGACCTTTGTCCTAATGTATATAGACTATAAAGCTTTAAGTCTGTGCATTAATTTGTCTGACCTATTTAAGACGCGATCTATTAAACAAGGTACCACGTACTATGAACATGATCATCTAAAAATCCAAAATGATGTTGTAGGGGCCGGGTGCGGCTTTATCATGTGTGCTTTTATGTGAACCTCTTTTTTATGAATATATTATGCTGGATTCCGACACAGATTGCACACCCTAAAATGATAGTATGATCATCCCCAATACGCTTGCAGTTCACGTATGCACCCCTTCCCGATTAATTCCAATGAAACCGCTTAATTCCAATGAAACCGCTCGCGAATAGTCTAGCCTGGATCGGAGAGCTCGCTAGTGCTATACGCTAGTGTGAATTTACATCCAAGAGAAAGTTTGCTTAACTTCTTCTAGAAACACTTGAACGGTTATGGAAACTGTTTGTGTTTCTAATCTTCAAATATTAATATTATTCTGCATCAAATACAAAACATTGATTTATATGTAAAGGCACGAACTTACGTTAATACATACACATAATTTTTTTTAACCAAGAAGGTGCACCATGGTAATATATTTTAACAAACACATCAACATATTATCTAGACAACTCATCACCATAGCCATTGTAAAACCATATATCAATGATACATGTAAAATATAAATTGAAGCAATTCTCGTCAATTGGCTGTATCCTGAGTGTGATTTATATAATGGATTTTGAGTAACATTTGCATCTACCTGTAGTTGAAGAATAGATACAGTTTATAACACCAATTAAGTTGGAGCTCAATTGGAAGGAAGTAACGAGGAATATTTAAGCAAGGGAGACTGGGAGATGAGGAAAGCAAGAAGTTAGAAAATTGAGAGATGACTCGCGAGATAGCCTTGCATTAATGAATCCTTGAGACGTTGCCTTGAGAGAAAGTAGACGAATTTTTTAAATTGGAGATTTAGAAATATCGGAAATAGAATTAATGAGAAAGTTATTTTTATCGAGATCAATACATGGGGGGGGGGGGGTCATCATCAAAATAGGGCACTTTCTGGAATATAAGGTGCACCTACAAAGGAAACATCAAGATGTAAATCTACCATATTTAGACATTGATAGACGTACGCGTAACGCATGTGGCACACAGAAAAATGAGAAGAACAGAGAGAATAATGTTTTTAAAAAAGAAGAAGATAGAGGAAAAGGAGAGAGACCGAGAGAGGGAGAAAGAGAGAGATAAAGAAAGAAAGAAAAAAGGAAGAACATGAAACTTAACTTTACACTTAGGCCTACAGATTACGTACATTTCCGACTGAGTTGGCTCGACATGTGCTTAAGAAGTCTGCGGACGAAAGTACAACAAAGTACAAAGTACAACAAAGTACATACGAAAACAGAAGTTATATGAAATTGTCTTTAAGAGAGAAAGAGAGGTTATTTCTAAAATGAATTTTTTTATTTTTTGTTTTTGTCCAGGATTTGAGAATTTGACTAATCGATATTTCGTTCCGTTGGGGGGAGGGGATAAGGTTACCCTTTTTTGGTCACCCATTATAGCACAATATTTTTTTAATTTAAAAAAAAATCAAAGGAGGGGGGGGGGGGGTTCCTCCAAAACACACCAACAAAAATTGAGGGGGGGTCGTCCCCCCCCCCCCTGCATGTGCATACCTTCCTCCTTATTCCTTAATCCATCGTTATCGTCACTACCATTTGAGTGACCCCAGAATTTGTAGATTACCATTCTGCCGTTCTTTGGAGGGGCCGGGCGCGGCCTTTTCAGAAGTGTTTCTACACCAACCTTTTTATGCACTACGGCTTAACATAAACAAGCATGCTAAGATTTTTTGCAAATAAGCATAATTCCGACTCAGTTTCGCATCACCTAAAAATAAGAATACGGCCAGTCACCCTCCCCCCTCGATGCATCCGCCTTTACGCACCCCCCCCCCCCCCCCCTCCCCTTGTCTTTCCCTTATTCGTCGTTACTGTCACTAATTTTTAGTGCCTTTTCGTTGTCTTTCTTTCTCCCCGGCTTCTCTCTTCTTTTTCTTTCCTCTTTTTTGAACTCTCTCTCTTTTCTTTTCTTTTTTCTTCCCTTTTCTTTTATCTTCTCCTTTGTTTTTCCTTTTTACCTTCTTCTTTTCTTCCTCTTTTTTCCTTCTCAATTTGTTTGCGCCGCCAATAGGGGGGGCCCACCCCTGGATCCGCCACTGGAAGGGATGTTCCTTTGTATACCACCGCAATTGTTGAGGGTAGAATGAGGGACTGTATATTCTGTCCTCTTTCTTTGTCCGTCATGTTTATACCTTTCAATGGCAATGGCATCTACTAGTACATGTTTTTGTTTAACTACCCTTGAGTTTCTCGAGTGTAAGATCAAGGTGTGTGTATAGCTTTCCATTTACACTCGATATTTGGAAATGAAATACATTTGGTTCATTTGATTTTAGTAGTTCATGTAGTACAAATTACCGTGCCCACCTTGCAAACATCGATCTCTGACCGGCTTTTAAACTCCAAGCAGGAAGCTGTATCCTGCTCCAAGTGATACGCTATGTTTGAAGTTCTGAAGTACTGAGCGCTTTTTGTAAACTGATAAATAACGGGTTGGATAGCCGGTCGAAGTGGACATTCTTATTCTTTTTTCCATAATACCCCAGTTACACAAACGAAACCGACATAACACAAAGCTTAGCAATTACTCGTACATATGTGAGACATAAAAGAGACAAGGAAACTGCAAACACAATTCCACCATTACGTAACGTGATCAAGACAAGTGTTCTGTTCTGTTCTATTCGCACGTTTTAAAAGATGACGCACAAAGTCATGACAATTGTGTTGAACAGAGAAGCCTACCAAGTGTGACGTCATACTGGCATAGTTTGTAACGGTTCTGTTTTTTTATTTATAAGGTATTTTATTTTATCAGTACCAGAGGCTGTACATACCGATGTATAATCAAATCATGCAATTTACATCATACTGACTTGACATCACATTCAGAATAATCAAACTACAATTCAAAAGTATAATCCATATTTAACATCAATTGCTAAACACAACAACTCTTGCATACATTTCCTTATTCATTTAAAACAACAATAGTAATAGATTCGAATGTTGTAAGGAATCGGGGACGGGAACTAGATAAGGATAACAAGCACTGCGTGCAAAACGAATATAAATGTTGGAAAATAATATCGAGAAAAAACAACAATAACGAGGCACTGACAAAAGTCGTCAACGCAATAAAACAAATCATACACCCCCCCCCCCCACCACCCCTCCCAATCCTTAACCCACCCACTATCTGCAACTCACACAATTGCATGCACACTCATGTTCGTGTATACACCACAATCATGTACACAATCAATGAATAGCCAGAGCCCCTATTCATTTAAAAGAGCACAAAAGAGCCTCCAGAGACCTTGAGCACTCCATCTGAAACGCAACCTCTGAAAGGAACCTCTGGATAAAAAAAGATTTATCCTTCTCACTATGAAGATGACAGACAAAGAAAGCGGACAAAATATACAGTTCCTCAGGTAGATAAAGGAACATCCCTTCACTGCTATTATGTAAAAAGGTGAATATGCATGTGACACCTGTTCTACACATTTTTTTACATAATAGCAGTGAAGGGATGTTCCTTTGTCTACCTGAGGAACTGTATATTTTGTCTGCTCTCTTTGTCAGTCATATGTTCATAGTGTCTGTCAACTAGAGTCTTTCTTTGTTGTCTGCTGCCTATTGTGTGAATGATCAAAAGTCCACAGGTGTGAATGAAAGCTTGCCTGCTAAATGTTAACGTTGTTAAAAGCTTATCCTACATTAAACACACATTCTCTTTTATGGCCAATAAGCCAGTTTATAGTTGCAGTCTGAGCATGAGTAGATAAAGGTCATTGCAGACCAAATAGCGAAATACACGGAGACAAAATACTGAATATGTGCTCGTGAAAGTTATGTAATCATTATTAATATATGCACAAACAGTGCACTCCATGATACAGAGGAGAAGTTTTTCTTTGAAAAGGGGAAACACCTTATGTAGCACCTCATGAAAGTAATGTAATAATTATTCATTTATGCACATGCAATGCAATCCATGATACACAGGTGAAAGTAGTCTTTGAAAGGGGGGAAACACACTCAGGCTATTTATGTAGCACCTCCATCGCTGTAGGAGTGATTATTTCAAAATGTACAAAGTGGGACCTCTTCATGTTTTGAAGATCTGTGGATATTCGGGGTTATTTGGGACATGCGCTAATCGTGAACTGGTCTTTTGTATCCAAAAGTTTGTCTTGGTTAGCCCTTCTATCATCTATGGATGGGGTCCAGGTGAAGAGCCTTTGCCTGTGGTCTAAGGGGCGGAGCCCCCGGAAGTTCTTAAATGTATAACAAGTTAGAAAGTTCAAAATAACCGTCACGAGTGCTAGAAATTGTAATTTGTAATTGTAATCAATTGAGTTACATAGCTCCTATCATTTCATTTTAAAAATAATCTCTCTGTCTCTCTTGTGTCAATTGCATATAACTTTTTTACCATACTTTTGTCATTTCGTCCGCGGTCACCGTAAGCATACGTCGCGCAGATTCATCGGGAACGTAATCTGTATAATTGTGTAAAGTTAGGTTTCGTGTTTTTCCTTCTTCTCTCTCTACCTATCTCTTTCCCTCCCTTCTATATTCTCTCTTTTACATTCTTTTCTCTTTGTTTTCTCATCGTTGTCATTCAATTGCTCAATATAGCTATTAAAGTCGGATAGCTCAATACTTATTTTATTTTAGACTTCCACTCGAAAATGTCATTGACTTTCTTTATCTACATACAGGCCTTTTCGAAACTATTTTACCTGTAGATTGTAAGCAGACCGATATTAAGCATTGTGAGCGTGGCGCCTGACTGGAATACTCCCCAGGAACTTAGAGAATGTGCATACATGACTGGGGTTATGATCCATGCATATCAGCACGTAGAGACCGCGTTGATGTATAAATCCACGATAGTATTACAGTCAAACCTGCCTATAGCGACCGCCCAAGGGAAACACAAATAGTGGTCTTTTTTGACAGGTGGTCTTTGTAGACAGGTTCATTTAGTACATGTTTCAATGAGAAACCATTTTCAAGGGGGAAATGTGCTTGACAGGTGGCCACTAAAGCAGGTTTGACTGTATTATTACATCATTACTACATTATCATGTCGTTGTTTTTTCTTCTTTGTTATACATTAGATGTGATGCTAAGTCCTGCTTCTGCTGTTACATGGCGATCTATCGGAGGTGTACTAGACTTCTGGGTGTTCACCGGACCGACACCTGAAATGGTTATCGCTCAGTATACTGAGGTATGTCCTATACCATGTTCCCAGTTACATCTTATGCTACGGTCACAAAGGTTCGTACGAACGATAATTTCGTACGAATCTCCCTGGTTTTCCATTGTCTTCCCGAATTGCCATGGTCTGAAAATCGTTCGTAGCAGCTCGTAATGGCATTTGTGACCGAGGCTTAAGAGACCGATTCAAGACCTGCAAAAGACTGAAGATATATTTAATCACCACAGAGTTAATGGTCAGATTGTTCGTGTTTCTTTTATAGTTTTATACCGGTTAACAGAACCCCGGAACAGAATGAACAAATAATAACATTATCCCGAATGGTGACAGATTGGTCGCTTTGGAATGGTCACAATGTCGGCTTGAAGGCTCGAATAAGATTATCTACACCCCAACCTATTCATATTTCACTGTTTATAAACCTTGTGGCAGATTAGTCCCGTGCTAAACAAGTTATCCAATAAAATCTGTTACTACTGAAATCACTTTTTTACTTTGTCACGCGGTCAATTTTTTATATTTTTGTTATGGGGAGGGCATTTTTTTATCTTGTGCCTGTTGGGAGTCTGTTTACTGTCTAGAACCTAGTCACACCGGCGAACCGACTTCAAACTACTGACTTGACTTCGGGGATGAGAATGTCCCTTTCCTCTTCATTGGTTATTTTTATTTTAAGGTGTAAGGGGCTTTGATTTCACTGTCTCTGTTTCGCTCTCTTTCCACTTGGATATGATACGATCAAGTATTCGATAGAGGTATATTCTCCTTTGAGTAAACCCCCGCTCTGAATGTATTCCACAATCTCTTTCAATCTGAAAAAGGGTTTGAAGTTAAAGTTAAGTATGGTAATATCCTATTATTGTATATCCCATAGAAATCGTGTTCTGATTACGTAAGATACAGAAGTTACGTCATGTCATATTTACGCCAAACCTTATGGAAGGGTATCCAGCCAGTATAAAGTATAGTTTGGTATTATTTCAACAGGTTAGACCCGTCAGCATTAAAATACTATGATATTGGGGGCTGTGTATTACGTAAACAATACAAAATACATGTATATACATATTATTTACATGGTAAAATAAATTGTGAATTTATATGTTCTGTGTACGTGCCTATCGTGCTTACATTGAGACGGTAAAGAATAGTAAAAAACAAATAAAATAAAAATCTGATCTCATAAAATTCCGTTGCATTAATACATGTATTTCAATGAACGTGTTCTTGATACCAGGTAGTAGGTCGAACCAATATGCCACCGTTCTGGGCCTTGGGTTACCAGTTTGGCCGGGCTGATTGGCAAAATGTAGATCAGATCAGACAGGTCGTGGATAGCAACGTAGCGGCCGGAGTACCATTTGTAAGTCATTAAACATAAATCATTCTAAAACACTTCTTAAATTGGCAACACGGACTTGTATTTTATACTCGTCTTTTGTTTCGTCATTAAATATTTGGTATTAAATAATGATTTGATTGAACTATCAGTTGTTCAGTATTTTGCGTCGCATGTTGCTGGGAGGAGGACACTAACAGTAACCCAATTACAGCTGTATTTCTGGAAACTTGTGCAATGTGTTTAATGGATTTTAGTTACAGAATCGAAGTCTTATTTTTGATATTGCTAGTTTTTTACATGTATATATTTAAAAGTGTTATCTATTGTGCCCAACATGTAAACATGAATATTCCAGCCAAGGCTGTCCTTCATGTAAAATTGTATTTGTATATGAATCATGTTTCTGCTCTAATAAAAACCATTTTTGAATTGAATGAAATGGTATAAAAAGATCCCCCGAACGTAAAAAGAAAAAGAATTAACCGATGAGGTGATATAAGCAATCCAGCATATTGGATTTCAAAATGCATTGCCAATTTAAAGATGGCTTCTCTTTTTTTCTGGTGACAAACACCATGGCCTGATGCAAATAAATGAATAAAGTTTATGCTAAAGCTCTAAAAACACGAATTCACTGACTTTCTAGCTATCAACTTTCTATTGTAAGAAGTCATGTTTGAAATATATGCCATTGTACTTTTCACGTGGTTCACGTCTTCAGGAGGTGACTCGCAATTTTATTGTAATTGCCTTAGTTTGGTATTCTGGAAGTATTTCCGATCGTTTTTTTAATAGCATAGTCTATTGCCGATTTTACGGGAGTTTTGAGAACGCAAAATGTTTATTCCCTTTTTATCTTCATCGTCGTTATGTTTTGACCCAAGGATACAATCTACAGTGACGTAGGGTACATGAAGGATTTCATGACCTTCACATACGATGACGTCAATTTTGCAGGATTACCGGAGTTTGTCCAAGAATTGAATGCAGGCGGAATGAAATACATCCTGACACTGGTGAGAATGATATGAACAAAACTGAATATGTTCAAATATCATAGTCATAATAATTTTAGAGCAGAATTTTGTGCGTTTCTAATATTGTTACTATTATTATTTCTGTTGTTGTTATTATGGTTGTCATCATTCTTACTAACATTTTCTAAGTTATGATTACTATTTAAGTTATCATTACTGGTATTCTTATTTTTTTTTGTTATTAGTAGTAGTGTTATCGTTATTGTTATTATTTAAGGTTGTTATTATAATTATCGTTGTTGTTGTTATATTATTATTAATAATTTAATTTGTATTGATATTATATTTATATTATTGTCATTATCATTATCATTATCATTATCATAACTACCACTGGTATTTTCGTTATATTAATTGTTATTATTATTATCATAAATTATTTTACAGAACCCTGGAGTTTCTAGCCAGGTTCCTGAGCCACAGAACTTCTATCATTTCTACTACTACGGAAACAAATATGGATATTACATCAACGAGACAGATAAGAAAACGCAGGCTAAAGGCTTCGTAAGTTAACTTAAAAGCATGATTATCAGTATTACCAGTTTGTCACAAGTATAAAATGTGTTGGTTCCGTCTTAGATATCAAAAAGCATTTAGAGCAATTTTTGTTGACATGACAAGTTGTTTAGTGCAGTGCTTTGTTATGCCTCTTTGTAGCTAAGTGATTTCAAGACCCGTTCGAGGTCTGAGTCACTCCAGCAAAGCATAGAGAGTCAGTGCTAATGCGTATTGACCTCTAGCACTGCATACTTGCTGTGAGGCAGGTATTATTAGACCTATACACAAATATACACACAACACAATATTGCATAGACTGCACACAATCATGCCGATGCGGCTGTAAGCAAATAAGCAAAAGTAGACTTACAATTTTAATTTTTAAATTATTCTTTTTAACATCAGTAAGTTGAAAAAAATGTATTTGACTGCTATTTAGGTGTCATCAATTTTCACTAAAGTACCGATTTTGAGAGAAATCAGTTTTGTACAGTGGTGTTTGAAATGTTGAGAATCAAAAGCACAGCTTTTACTACACAGCCATGATACTGATGCTCCTATGTGTGATCTGAGTGAGGTCCGAGTGAGTCCCGAGTGAGGCGCGAGTGAGGTCCGAGTGAGGCCCGAGTGAGGCGCGAGTGAGGCCCGAGTGAGCCCCAAGTGAGGCCCGAGTGTGGCCCAAGTGAGGCCCGAGTGTGGCCCGAGTGAGGCGCGAGTGAGGCACGAGTGAGGTCTGAGTGAGGCCCGAGAGAGGTGCATAGATGTAGCTCCTCAGACCTGTCCTCCTGTGTTGTGTTAGGGGTTTTGTGTGTTACTTGTGATCTCACCAAACCAAACAACATGATTTAATAGAACTTCATTAGATGGCAACTTAATTGTTCTACATCCGGGTTTCTCTCTCTCTCTCTCTCTCTTTCTCTCTCACTATAATTGTATACTCCATATCAACAAATCACATATATTCGAGATATATTGGTGCTTCGAATACTATTGTTACAAAATTATAACATTTCCGAAAAGAAAAATCATTAGGCTCTTAAACGTTAACAAAATACTTAAATTATGAAATCAATTTTGTTTACCCACGTTTTAGCAATGGCCTGGTGAGGTGGCCTTTACGGATTTCACCAATCCCGATGCAAAGAATTGGTGGGCTGATTTCGCCGTGCAATTCTCACAAACACTTCCATTTGATGGTGTAGACATGGTAAGTTGCAATGAGTAGAAGTAGTAGTGATGGATATAGTTACTGTAGTAGTAGTAGTAGTAGTAGTAGTAGTAGTAGTAGTAGTATTAATAGTAGTAGTAGCAGTGTTAGTAGTATAACTATTATTATTAGTAGTAGTAGGAGTAGTAGCAGTAGTAGTAGAAGTAGTAAAAGTAGTAGTAGTATAGTATTAGAAGAAGTAGCCCAAGTAGTCGTATTAGTGTTATTAGTAGTAGCAGTGTTAGTAGTATAATCAATATTATCATTATTATTATTATCTCTCTCTCTCTCTCTCTCTCTCTCTCTCTCTCTCTCTTCTCTCTCTCTCTCTCTCTCTCTCTCTCTCTCTCTCTTCTCTCTCAATACTATTTGTTTCAATTTATTCATCCGTTCCCCCCTCCCCCCTCCTCCTCGGCGTCTCACTCTCTCACTGTCTCGCTCTATCCAATTCCTCCATTTTATTATGACAATTCAGACGATGAACGAGCCCGGTAATATGGTGAACGGATCAAAGATCGGATGCGGAAATAGAAAATGGAATTTTCCTCCATGGGTTCCAAGTAAGTGCATTCTGATTACACGATCACGAAGACTTTCGAGAAATCAACTCAAGGGCTCTTTCTATCCTTTTTATGATATGTAACCATGGTAATAATCGTACATAATAGATAGGCAGACACGGCTATTGAAATTGTTGATATTCCGAAAGTCTATCGTGTTTAACGAAGTCTTTATTTATTTCATTCTTTTATTTGGTATTGGTCCTTCATTAACGATAATGGAAACATACATCAGTGTCCTTCATTAACCTTTCTTATATTTGAATCACAGGTGGTGGGGTGAGTTAAAAAAACCCCGATGATGTTTAAGTTGATGATGATAATAATGGTGATGAGGAAGTTAAAATTGACGATGGTGACGGTATTGATGACGATGATGGTGGGGGTGATGGTGATGATGGTGATGATGGTGTAGGTGATGATGATGGTGATGATGGTGATGATGGTGGTGATGATGGTGGTGGAGGTGGTGGTGATGATAGTGATGATGATGATGATGATGATGATGATGGTGATGATGGTGATGATGATGATGATGATGATGATGGTGATGATGATGGTGGTGATGGTGATGATGATGGTGATGATGATGGTGATGATGGTGGTGATGATGATGATGATGATGATGATGGTGATGATGATGATGATGATGATGATGATGGTGATGATGATGATGATGATGATGATGGTGATGATGGTGATGATGATGATGGTGATGGTGATGATGGTGGTGATGATGATGATGATGATGATGGTGATGATGATGATGATGATGGTGATGATGATGGTGATGATGGTGATGATGATGATGGTGGTGATGATGATGATGATGGTGATGGTGATGGTGATGATGATGATGGTGATGGTGATGATGGTGGTGGTGATGATGATTTTTTTTTTCTCTTTACCTCTTCAGACGGACTTTATTGTTCCATTTCAAAATACATATATATTATTTACAAAACAAGTCAAATGAAACATATGAATTATATACAAGATCAACATAATTTCTTACAATTATCAATCTAGCATTTCTAATACTATATTAACTTCTTCATTATCGAAGTATCTTAAATTTACTTTGTATTTCAAATAACATTTTAATGATAAAATAAAATTCTTTAATAACCTCTTTGGATTGGTTGGTACTTCCCCAAAGTTCCGCTTTACATAGTCTTTGTATATAACCAGTTGAACGTAATTTATCAAAAAATTAAGTAAAGTAAATTTTCTGTTATCTATTTTATATCCAATCAATAACATTTTCATATCAATTTCAATTTCTATTTTAAAGATGAAATATATTATTCTTGAGATAATTTTCCAGAAAACTCGCAACGAAATATAAAATGTTCAATTGTTTCTTTTTCACGACAAATTTCACATTCGTTAGACTGTACGATTTTCCATATGGTGGTGATGATGATGATGATGATGATGGTGATGGTATTGATGACTATGATGGTGGTGGGGTGGTGGTGGTGATGATGGCAATGATGAAGTTGACGATGGTGATGGTATTGATGACGATGATGGTGGGCATGGTGGTGATGATGACGATGGTGAGGATGATAATAATGATTATTATTATTATAGTGATGATGATGATGATGATGATGGTGATGATGGTGATGATGGTGGTGGTGATGATAATGATGGTGGTGATGATGATGATGATGATGGTGATGATGGTGATGATGGTGGTGGTGATGATAATGATGGTGGTGATGATGGTGATGATGATGATGATGATGATGATGATGATGATGATGGTGATGGTGATGATGGTGGTGGTGATGATAATGATGGTGATGATGATGATCCTCATCATGATCATTATCATGGGAACTATCAACAAAATTACATTAGCAGAAGAATAAAAACAAAAAGAAACATATTACAATCTTATTTCTAAATATCTGTATCAACACGTATATGTACGTTATATAACATACATGTACCACTATCTCCATCGTTCCAACTCGTTAACTTTTTTCGTTGTTGTATTGTTTTGTTTTGTACAGCGCTTTACAGCCGCATGCTGTACTACAAAACAATATGTATGGACTATGAACAGCATCTCGGCGTACACTATAACCTACACAGTCTCAACGGCCACTTCGCTGCGGAGGCTGCACAATAGTAAGATTTGTCTCGTTGTTCTTTTGACTTTGTTCAATCGTATCACTGTTTTTGTATTCTAAAAATATATTTGCTCGCTTGAAATCAGATAACCAATCATGTAATAGCAGCTCGCATTGAGCGTTGGCTAATCTTCATGAAGTTTGGAGCTGGTAAGTTAATGAGAAACATACGCTCCATTGGCCGAATTGCATGGGGTTCAACCTTGTCAGTCCCCCCCCCCCCCCCCCCCCCCGTTGGCCCCAAACAAAAACCACGAGTAATCATGATGTACACTCCACTTACAGCGATGATGAGATGTTGGGCAAACGGTTTCCCTTATCGGAATATATGTATCATTATTCGGACAATCACGTTCAAATTCAGTTTCGGTTAACTAGCCATGAAATATGACGAAAAAGTTCAATACCGCCATTCTTACAATAAAGACGTCGGCATTTGATTGCATGGTATAGAACAGGAAACTGTGAATTTTTTAGTCATCATCTATCATGAAAGTATTGACATGGTTATATAGCATGCATGCAATACATGGTGTTTTTAGATTCGCACGAAGACAATAGGTCTATGCTAGGATCGACGTCCTTTTAAAGCACTGCCGTGAATGGAAGTACCACGTATCAGTCCACGCAAATCTAAAAGTCCCTAATAAAACTTAGAGCTCGGGAGAAAGACATGTTCGGACATCGCAGCTGTACTTTTACTAATATACACATAATGCATGTTTGCGAGTGCATTAGTGAATATGCACTGCACGCAGGTTTTAGTCACAGTAGGATAGTGAACGAGACTTGTTGAGTTTATTGTCCGTCTCATTGTGACTTAACCGAGTGCAGTGCATATCACTAATGCACAAGCATTAAAAGCATAAGCCCAGACATAAAAGATGTATTATTTGTTTTATAAGATGGGTCTACGATATGAGTATAAAGTCGAGAAATTGACAGTTGTTATCACAAAAATGCATACCCCGTATATATTAGTTTCAACTTGTTTTTGATAAAACATTGTTTTATTCTTTTACACATGAAGTCAATTCAAATGGATTGTAAAATTGTATATCGTATTCTTTTTTCATGTGATGTTAATTCCAATGAATTGTGAAATTGTGAACATGCATAAATAAATAAATGAATAAAATAAATTTAGAAAAATCAAACATAAATAAATAAATCAAATCAGATCAAATAATTATGTAAAATACGAGTAGATTTAACATGATAACTGAACTATAAATGCATATATTAGTATTGATTACACAAGCTAAATATATATCACGTGATGATTCGATAAAATATCAAATCTCACAGCCTTGGTAACCTTTTCCCTTCATCTTAATGATTAACTAATCCCTTAATCTGATTAACCATCTATTCTTACAGTCTTATGGAGCAGGTGAAACCAGATAAACGTAGTTTGGTATTATCTCGGTCTACGTTCCCTGGAACAGGCCGATACGCTGGCCACGCCCTCGGGAAGAACAAAGCAGGCTGGGATGAGATGTACAGGTCTCTCGTTGGTAAGTTTCATTCTTTTAGTTTTAATCTTCAAAGGGCTGGGCAGCTCATCACGAAGATCTACCTGTAGATTAACAGTTAAGTTTATACACTTAAAGAGAAGGGTAAAGGGGCCCTTATTTAAAAGAAAAAAACTGCACTTATCAGAAGGAAAAAAACTCTTATTAGAAACCATGTGTCAAAATAAAAGGAGCAATTATTAGAGGGGAAATGGAGCACTCAACAGAAATAAAAAGGGGCAATCGTCAAATTAAAAGGGACACCTACCATATTCAAAGAGAAGGTTGAGTTCTGGGAAGAGGTGAAAAATAATTTTCGAGCTTTATCATTGTTATTGTGAAAGTATGGAAAAACATCCAATAATAAATGTTCCCTGAAAAGCATGGCTCTTCAAATGCCTTAATATTCTAAATATGGCATGTAACAGCATAAAAATCGGGACGGATTTTTATGCCTTTACCAAGACTGGCCCAAGTTTTCTATCATTTTGATGATTCCAGAACCTTGCAGTACACACCAATACTTATATGCTGGATGATCAACCTTCTGTGATCGATTCCACAACGTTTCTTTCACAATGCAATCGCGTGACCAGAACTCAACTTTCTCTTTAAATAGTGGCAATAATCAGAGATGAATGGGGGTACTTATCAATGGCGAAAAGGGGCACTTATCAGAATGAAAAAAGGCACTTATTAGATAGCAAAAAGGCAATTATTAGATAGCAAAAAGGCACTTATTAGATAGCAAAAAGGCACTTATTAGATAGCAAAAGGGGCGCTTACGACAAACGAAATGGTGTTCTTGTAAAGGAAAAAGGGGCACCTACCAGTTTTAAATAAGGCAATTTTCAGGGGTGATGGGACACCTATCAGAGGTGAAATGGGGTGCTTATCTGAAGTTTTAAAAAGGCGGCAATGTGCCCCACTTTTTCAAGTACCCCCAAAAGTGCCCCCTCCCTCTCCTCCTGGAGCGCCGCCTTACAGGCATTAACAATGATACATGGGAATTAGAATTTGTGCTTGTGTTGCTTATAGAATTCATGATCGGATCAGTATGTGCCATTCCACATGTCTCTGTAATCGCGGTTAAAGCTCTTTCTAATTCATATTCCCATAATTTTATGCCCTGTCCGTTTTAATACAATTAGGTGTACCAGTTTTACCATATAATTCTTAACAACCTAGGTTTTATAAAAAGCGATACAAAAAATATCTACGTCTGGTTACCATGGTTAAATAAATAATAGCGCTATCTTGAGCTGAACGAATTCTGCTTCTTCCGATTACACTCCCACAACTCGGCATTCTGAAAAAGAAATGTTTAATTATTGAGCCTATGTATACATTTTTTGCAACATTGCATTTAAATTTTCACTGTCTCTTTTTTCCAGCTGTGATGGATTTCAACCTGTTTGGCATTCCTTACGTAAGTTAAAATCTTTTAAAACAGATCTGAATATGATTGTATTGGTTTCATTGTTCAGAAAAATCGTGGTGTACTGAGTTAATTATTTGGAGATGATTAGGTTTCTATTGGGGCTTTAATGAGTTAGAAGTTCTATGCAAGTCGGGGAATGTTAAGAGTTATAAACATTCTTTTAAAGTAATCAATAACGAATAGATTGTGGCATTCTTTGTTTTCTGTTTAGTATATCCTGGAATAAATGAATAACATAGAACAATGAAGATATTTGACTCCTTTCACAGAAATTCCCGCAGTGAAAATAAGTATTGCCAGTTCGACGAGTTTGTTATTCCGATTCTAATATTTCGTTTCATCATGTTTATCATGAGTTCGTCTATTATACAGGATAAGATATAGGTATACTTAACAGCATTATTTCCACACACATCAGCGCCTGTGAACAGGCCAATGTATCATGACAATAGGATACTATTTTGGTTTTTCTTTTGTCAATTTTTTTCCATCTGAATCATAATTGAAGGTTGGTCCTAACACATGTGGTTACTACGACGACTCATCCATGGAATTATGCATCAGATGGACGCAGATGGCAGCATTCTTCCCTATCTTCCGCACGTACAAAGGTCGCGGAACAGATGTAAGTTAATAAACGTAGAAAACCAAAACCAACAGTGCAAGATCCAAGAACCCCAACTAAATTTCACTATCTCCACTCCCCTTTCAAATCTCCACCCCCTGTTCTTCTTCTTCTTCTTCTTCTCACTCTCTCTCTCTCTCTCTCTCTCTCTCTCTTTCTCTCTCTCTCAGTTTAATGTTGTTATTATAATTATCATTATTATTATCTTTAATATTTTTCCTTATCTGTCTGTCTGTCTACCTCCCTCTCTCTCTCTCAGTTTAATGTTGATATTATTATTATCTTTAATAACAAAAACTTTTAAAAAAATCTTCTTATCTGTCTGTAAATATAATATTACTATTTTAACTTGTAAATTTTGTATATGTCTGTCGGGGATCCCACTTGAAATAAGCTCTCGAGCTTTCGTGGGTTATCCTGTTCAAGCTGACTTAATTTTGATCTGTTATTATTGTATATTGTTGTATGTTGGAAGCTTGGCGAAAAAAAATCAATCAATCACTAACCCCCCCCCCCCCCTATATATATATATATATATATATATATATATATATATATATATACTTAGATTTGATTGATTAGATTGATTTGATTTAGTCTGCCTTATCCAATATATATATATATATATATATATATATATATATATATATATATAGATAGATAAATAGATATAATTATATAGATAGGTATATAGGTAGATAGATAGATAGATATAATTATATAGATACTGTAGGTATATAGGTAGATAGATAGATAGATATAATTATATAGATAGGTATATAGGTAGATAGATAGATAGATAGATATAATTATATAGATAGGTATATAGGTAGATAGATAAATAGATATAATGATATAGATAGGTATATAGGTAGATAGATAAATAGATATAATTATATAGATAGGTATATAGTTAGGTAGATAGGTATATAGGTAGGTAGATAGATAGCCTATCTGTTTTTGTTACTCTGCGTTCTCCTCCAGTAGTCCGGCAGCCAAATCCAGATTATTGGCCTAACCTTGTTTTATGGTCTATAGTTTTTTTTTCAATGGATTTTGATTGCTTAGACCTTCTTTTTTAAGAATCCGATTGCTGACACTCTGTCAGCCTTGAGCAATTTAAGATATATGACGTCATACAAAATGGCCGCCAAAGTACATGATTTTCCTTTAAAAATGAATAATAAATATATAATAAGGATTTTTTCTTCAATTTTTGGCAGCCAAATGTCTGTATCTCTCTAGGACCATCCCTAAAAATATGTTTCGTGGTGTTGCATGGCCAGAGATGACCAGCTTATTTGCATATTTTGAAATAACGCCCTCTATAAACATATTAATTTGAATAAAATATGTGTGCCAGCCAAATGCCAATTTCTTAAATCTATGTCACGTTGAAATCATATTAAATGCTTTTTGGGGGAAACAATTGCAGTTGTGCTGCATTAATCTTTCATCGTGTTTGGTACAAATTTAGATAGGGTAGGTGTGGGGAATGGAAGACCCTTAAGCACATTTGCATAATTTACATATCCATACAGACATTTTTGTATTCTCTTTAGTATTTTTTCTCTTTATTTGGTAACGAAATTGTGGTGATGATGTAACTGATTAATAAGATAACAATGATTAATGACATCATCACCAAAGGTCTCTCATTACCTACATGTGTAGGTAATACGGGACAGTTACAAATCAAGACATTTTAAATACAATTTGAATGAAAATGGGATTGTTATAGTTAGTTCAAAATTTTTTTGAATGATATACATGCAGCCAATGAACATACTGTAATTTTGAAACGATTTTAAAACAATTGGGCCCAAAATATTTCTGTAGTTTTTCGTTTACCGTAATAAAGGTGCTCTCAAATATGTTAAAATACTTTTAGAATAATGTTCTGGCAATATGACTTTTACATTTATCAAACTCACAGCATAGAAACAACTTCTTAAAATTAAATGCATTCAAATTAGAATGGTGAAACGGACAACCAAATATGTTTCATGATAGTGCCTTTCAACATGAAATGAACAACTGGGGAGAAGTAGGCCCCCATCTTGGACCTGGTGTCCCCCATTACCTACACACATTTCTGATCAGACACCATTCATAATGTGAATTGCAACACCCATTCACAACACACAGTGGCCATAAACTTTCTGTGATGGTTGGCACATTTCATAAACTTCCTTTTAAAACTATTTTTTTAAGGGCCACCCCTAAATATCTGCATACACCACAACATTCAGTGAAAATTGTGTTTTTATATCAGAGCAAAATTTTACGATAAAAATTGCTTATCTTGGTCAATTTTGCCAATTTTCTCGTAGAGAGAACGCACTGTAGTCTTCGAAATGAATTGGATATATGCAGTAGTGTTGTTGAAGGCCACATATGTCGCTATATTAATATTGGATCCAACACGGACAGACAGTGATGGGTTCAAGCTTGGTGGTCTCCAATTCCCTACACCTACCCTACATATGTCAAGAAAAAAATGGCTATGAAAGAATTTATTTTTCAACAAATCGGTGAGAAGTGGTTTTACGGCACACATTATTATTCAATTAATAGGCTTTATTTAGACCAGCATTGCTCCAACGTCGGTGAATGTGGATAAAGCAGTTGACATCTTTACTAGACAGATGCATGATTTTCAAAAGAAATTACCTGGTGGATTCTATGTCACAATTTCCAAGAATGTTCAAACCGTGGCAGCCATGAAGAAGTCAATGTTGGGGTACGAAAGTCTATGAAAAGTTGATCTACTCCAGAGTAATAGGACTGCAGACAAGTTCAAGAGAGGTCAATGTCAAGGACATTTTGTCATAAGAGCTTTCACCAGTCCCAACAGCACTTTTTGATGATTCTGGAAACGAGCACTCCCATGTCAAAGACGGACTTATAGAATTTGACAAAAGTTGAGATGTCAGCCAGGCATGAGACACTGGAACAACCTTGTACAGTCATTGATGGTTGTGCTCTGCTGTGGATGAAATCTGATGATGTTTGCTTGGTGTTTGACAGATCCGAAAGTATTTGGAGGTCATAACGGGTCGAGAGTCTTCCAACTGAGTCCCGCGTCACTGCTGCCCTCCAAGAAACTATCTCTTACTGTTCGTCGTCGTCGTCGTTGTCATATAGATCATGGCTCACCTTGTGACCCGTTTGATGAGACCTTTTGATCGGCATCTGTCTCCTGTAATCCGATAGAGTGTCTTTAGTATTTAGAGCGTGGCTGGTGATTTCCCTAAGGTCGTCAGTCCATCTGAGCTTGAGTCTTCCTTTGTTACGTGTTTCTTCAAAGGTACCTTGAATGATAATTTTTCAAGGTTGTCTCCTGATCTTCTGCTAACGTGACCAAACTATTGTAGCTTGTACTTGTCAATCCTGGTAGCAAGTGGCGGTTGATCTCCGATGATGGACATTAATTGTGTACATTGGTGTTGTAATCTCTTCATGATATCTCAAGTAGCTTCCTCCAACACCACATTTCAAAGGCAGATTGCCGAGCTTCCACCCTCCTTGACAATCATTGACCCAAGAACATTATATAAACTTGTCCACTTGATCAACTTCTTCTCCATCAACCACCATGCTCTGTTGCATGTAGTTAATTTCCACCAATCATATGATCTTGGTCTTTTTCACATTGAGGTAGGGTCCAAATTATTCACTTGCATCCTTCACTCTTTTTTAAGGAGTTCTAGTAGTTCTTCTGATGTTCTTGTTATAAGTGTTGTCAGTGGCATACTGAGCAAAAACACTTAGAGGGGCAGAAAAACAATCTGCATCACCACCACTCATACATGTTACATGCAGGCCCCGCGGAACTTTTTTTTTAAAGCGGGGTGGGGGGGGGGGGGTTGAAGTATTTACGATCAGGAAGAGAGGAGCGCAAATTGGCGTGGTGTTCAAGGGGCACAGCCCCCGGAAGCTCAATAATGAACATGAACATATTTTGATACCTCATTTCACCTCGGGTCACTTTCTTTCTTTCTTTCTAGTTCTCTTTAACATACTTTATACAAAAAGTGAGGGGGCTCGAGTCCCCTGAGCCCCGCTGTTCTGCGGACCCTGACATGTAGGCTTTTAAATAAGCATATTTTTTGCTTGACTGTGGATTTACTAAAAAGTGAGAAAAAACCCAGGAAAATCATGTCATTTCAGCAACATTTGTAAATCACTGGTATCGAATATATAAAAAAACAGTTTGAATTTTGTTTGGGGGTTCAACTGTCCCCAACCCCCCCCCCCCCCATACCCTTCCCCATTAATACGCCAGAGAGTGTTGTATTGTCGGCGTATCTTAGGTTGGTGATCGTTCGTCCACCAACAGAAACTTGACCATAAAATGCCTTTCTCATGATGAATTCAGCATAGATGTTGAAAATGTATGGTGATAGGTTGCAGCCTTGACGGACAACTTGACCAATAGTGAACCTTTCGGTGTCGCCATTCTCTGCTCTTACTGTTGCTTCTTGGTATTGGTAGAGCGACTGGATGAGTTGAATTATATGTGCTGGAAAGCCCATCTAGCTCATAATCTTCCATAGGCGTTTATGTTGTACCCAGTCAAAAGCTTTGGAAAGATCAATAAAGCTAGGGAGAGAAGTTGATGAAACGTGTCTCTAGTGTTGCTAACTTCACTATCTTTTCATGACAACAAACTACAGTTGATCGACATCATAATTATATGCGCGAGTCTGCAGGATGATTGGGTGCTCAGAAATAGGCAAAAGCACAAGCAGGCCTTTACCGTCAAGATGAGGTTCTTGTTGAAGTGATTCCAGGCAGTGATGTCATGCCAAGGAATTAAAGGTCTGTCCACAACATAGTTATGATGAAGCAGGCAACATCAAAGAACAGCAAGCGATTGGAATTGATGCTAATGAGAAGATGTATGTTAGGGTATCGTGGATGACACAGACGTCTACGTACTACTTTTGCATCATTATCTACATGACGGACTTATAAAACGCTAATTACCATGGAGCTAGATGCCCCTTCACAAATCGAACTGTTATTGATGTTCCTGCCAATGTAGACAAGTTAGGAGATATCATTCCATCGATGTTGGCAGGACATGCGTTGACGGGATGCGACACTCTTGGGGCATACTTTGGCATTGGATAGGGTACAATGCTGAAAGTGATGAAGCAGAAGATTCGACTCCCTTAGGACTGAGTTGGCAATGTTGATGCAGCATGGTCATATGTCATCACTCAACCTACTCAATTCTTTGCTTCATGTTATGGACAGTCAACAACGTAACTGAATGTCAGAGGCTCGTATCAACGTGTGGCTATCAAGGGTCCGAAGACTAGGAGCTCCAAATACCCCAAACCTTGCCTCACTACCTCAAACTACTGAAGCGTTTGTAGAAAATGTTAAGAGAACTCATTTGCAAACATGCGTGTGGAAGCACGCATTACAGTCACGACCTTACTTTGCAGAATTAAGTGTTAAATGACACCCTCTTCCACATGGAATATTTTAGGGTTCCCAACACTTTAGAGAGCTTTTAAACAAATTTCAAGATTTTGAAGCAAACTTATAAACGGATATAGTCCTGTATCGTAGTGGTAGTTCGTAATTTGTAGGTTAATTTAAAAGAATCTAGTACCTTAGAATACAAATCTAGTTTCTTAACGCTGTCACTGAAAATGGGCATTTATCACCATATGCCACCTCATATCTATGGGACAGAGAGCATACAATTCAACCGTGTTTTGTTCGAGTATCAAATTACAAAATAAAAATAAATGTGCAGCACAATCTTTACTCACTGTATTCAGTGCATCTGACTCATGACATATGATAATCTTATGTTAGAAATTGGTATTTGGCCATTATTTTGACCTATGCAAGTTAATGTGTCTATAGAGGGCGCCATTCCGAATTATGCAAATTTGCATATCTTTTGTGATCATACAGCATTGCAATTTTTATTTAGTGATGATTCTAGAAAAAAATCAAGAAATTTGACTGCCATTTAATGTAGTAAAATGCTGTTAAAACTTTTTATATCATTAATTTTGGTTAAAAAGGGGATTTTGGCGGCCATTTTGTATGACGTCACATATCTCAAGTTGCTCAATGCTGACAGAGTGTCAGCAATCGAATTCTTCAAATTGATGGTCTAAGGAACTATAATCCGAAGAAAAAAAAACTATAGACCCTAAAACAAGGTATATCGAGATGGCTGCCGGACTACAGCTCCCTATTAGTATTACGCTGGCCTTCGCCTTCTGTTTGGCCATCACTGGGGAAGAAATATATAACGAAAGGAATATTCAGCTGTTGTAACATGGATAATAATTTTGAGCACAATACAATTTTCCGTTTCGCCTATAAGTGGACTCACTATACGACACTATTGGAAGAACACATCCACCATATATGACCACCCTCTTAATCCCTCTTAATCCCTCTTAATCCTGTTCATCTCATCTGTGTATGGTGATTAGGCGGCTGATCCAGCCTCTTTGGGTAGTGAGTTCATTGAAAGCACTCGGGAGGCAATCAAGTATCGTTACTGGCTCCTACCTTACATCTATACTCTCTTCTATCACGCCAGACTGGATGGGTGGACAGTGGTTAGACCAGTCCTCAATGAGTAAGTATTGTATACACCCCTGATGTCAAATCTCATATTTAGGCACGTTGTAGGAGATGATGATGACGATGGGATCGGGATAAAGAATAATGATTACGATGGGATCGTGATAAAGAATGATGATGGCGAGGGGGGGGGGGGGGTCGTGATGATTACGATGGGAACGTGATAAAGAATCATGATGGCGAGGGGGTCGTGATGATGACGATGGGATCGTGATAAAGAATGATGATGGCGAGGGGGTCGTAATGATAACGATGGGATCGTGATAAAGAATCATGATGGCGAGGGGGTCGTGATGATAACGATGGGTCGGGATAAAGAATCATGATGGTGAGGGGGGTCGTGATGATGATGGCGAGGGGGGTCGTGATGATGACGATGGGATCGTGATAAAGAATGATCATTACGATGGGATCGGGATAAAGAATCATGATGGCGAGGGGGTCGTGATGATGACGATGGGATCGTGATAAAGAATGATGATGGCGAGGGGGTCGTAATGATAACGATGGGATCGTGATAAAGAATCATGATGGCGAGGGGGGTCGTGATGATGACGATGGGATAGTGATAAAGAATGATGATGGCGAGGGGGTCGTAATGATAACGATGGGAACGTGATAAAGAATCATGATGGCGAGGGGGTCGTGATGATGACGATGGGATCGTGATAAAGAATGATGATGGCGAGGGGGTCGTAATGATAACGATGGGATCGTGATAAAGAATGATGATGGCGAGGGGGTCGTGATGATAACGATGGGTCGGGATAAAGAATCATGATGGTGAGGGGGGTCGTGATGATGACGATGGGATCGTGATAAAGAATGATCATTACGATGGGATCGGGATAAAGAATAATGATGGCGAGGGGGGTCGTGATGATGACGATGGGATCGTGATAAAGAATCATGATGGCGAGGGGGGTCGTGATGATGACGATGATTTTGATGATGATTTTGACGACCATGGTGATGATCATGATGATGATGGTGGTGATGATGGTGAGGATGATGATGGTGGTGATGATGATGATGATGATGAGGGTGATGATGATGATGATGATGATGGTGATGATGATGGTGATGATGATGATGATGGTAATGATGCTGATGATGATGATGATGGTGATGATTATGATGATGGTAATGATGATGATGATGGTGGTGGTGATTATGATGATGATGGTGATGATGGTGATGATTATGATGATGATGGTGATGATGATGATGATGATGATTACGATTATGATCATGAAGAAGATTAAGACGATAACTAAGTATGTATTAAGTATATATACGTATTGTATATAAAAAGCATAAGCGATAGCAAGGATGATGATGATGATGATGATGATGATGATGATGATGATGATGATGTGATGATGATGATGATGATAATGACGATAATGAAGATATTGAAGATAACGACTTGGAAGATATTGACGACAAGAATAATTATCACCGTCATCATCATCCTTGCGATGATTAATACTGACTTTTATATAACATATAGAAATGTTCCGTTATTGATAAAAAATAAATAAATCTTATGGCTCACAAACTATATTCTCCTAAAAACTAGGGGCAATTACAAATTAATAGAATTGTATTCATCGACATTGCTAAAATAAAAGAACATCTGTATGTAACATATTTATAACATTTCCTTATGATTCAATAATGCCAAAGCCTGGGATTTAATTTTGGAACGCCTGTCCAACATACATGAGCGCTCCACAAAAACCCACTGTTATTACTATCATTATTATCACTCTGAAGGATCACTCTTAATGATTATTTTGGGGGTCATAAATGGTGTATAGAACGGGGCCAACCTGTACTATTACTCTTCTTTTTCTTGGCTCCAAATACCAAATGTATAGTTATTGTCATGCTGAAATATATTGTTGCTTGAAAATTTGTTTGCTTGTTCGTTTATTGTTTTGTTTTGTACGAAATAGTTGAAGTGAAATGAAATGAAATGATAGGAAACTCTTCTCTTGTTTTGTTCCTTGTTAGATTCCCAGGGTATGAGAATGCTTGGGATGTAGACTGGGAGTTCTTCCTCGGCCCTGCCCTGCTGGTTGCTCCTGTCCTTCATCAGGTAAGTAATCGAAGAGCGGGAGTATGGTAATAATAAAAATTAATAACAATAATAATAACAATAATAAAATTAATTAAAATGATAATAATAATTATAATAATAATGGTTATATAGTAGTACTATAATAGTAATAGCTATGTAGTTGTATTATGTATTAGTAGTAGTAGTGGGAGGGGGGGGGGGGGGGGGGTAGTGAGCACACAATTTTTTTCTTTTTCTTATTTGCCCCCGGAAATTTGAAAATCGTGCCGGCCGATATTTTGCTCAGTGGGGGGGGGGGGGGGGGGGGGGGGGGTAGTGAGCAAAAAAGAAAAAGGTAAATTTCTGGTCACGAATTCTTTTTTTTTAACTTTTTTTTTTGGCCCGTCTTTTTTTTTGGGCAAGGAGGGGGGGGTAGTAGTAGTAGTGGGGTTGTTTGCCTTGATGCTGGTACCGCCCAAATGATTAGTCGGTGCAGCAGCACTGTATTGCTTCGATAATGTTTGTGTCTTGACGGTCGTCAGACAGTCGTTTAGAAGACTCGTCGGTGCACATTTTAAACATGCATGAGTCCTATCGATCTTCGATGGTGTTTACATTTGTGAACGTGTGTTTTGTACGAGTTAATATTGTGTAACAAAATCAGATACAACTGACAACTGTAGTAGATCGCATCCTATTGTACGTTATGCATGAAATTTTTAAATTAATAAATGATTTTACATATTCGAGATTTAACAAATGAATTAAAAAGTATTTTCTTGATTATGATTTTCAGGGAGAAACATCTGTGAATATCTACATACCCGACGACAGGTTCTACGACTTTTACTCAGTGAGTACAATTCAACAGGCGCGTGGGGGGGGGGGGGGGGGGGGGGTCGACGGTGGGGCGGTCACCCCCCCCCCCCCCCCCCCCCCCAAAAAAAAAAAAAAGAGAGAGAGAAAGAGAAGAAGAAAAAGTAAGGAGGACGTAAGAAGAAAAAGGGAAAAGGAGTCGTGAACGGTACAACGAATCGTCTTCTTTGTCTAATAATTCAATGAAACGTGAAAGGGGGAAACTGAGTTCAAATTAAGGGTTAAGAGTCGGGAAAGGTACAAAGAATCGTCTTCTTTGTCTAATAATACGCCAAAGCTTCCGCGCTTCGCGCAGGAGGAGGGACGGGGAGGGGGGGGGCCTGAATTCAGACAAGGATTAAGAGTCGAGAAAGGTACAACGAATCGTCTTCTTTTTCTAATAATTTAATGAAACGTCAAAGCTTCGCGCAAGAGGGGGGGGGGGGGGGACAGAATTCAGACAAGGATTAAGAAGTCGAGAAAGGTACTTTGAGTCGTCTTCTTTCTCTAATAATTTAATAAAACTTCAAAGTTTTGCGCGGGAGGGGAGGAAACTGAATTCAGATAAGGATTAAGAGTCAAGAACGGTACATCGAATCGGCTTCTTTCTCTAATAAATTAATGAAACGTCAAAGCTTACGCGCTTCGCGCTGGAGGGGGACTGAATACAGATAAGGATTAAGAGTCGAGAAAGGTACAACCAATCGTCTTCTTTGTCTAATAATTCAATGAAACGTGAAAGGGGGAAACTGAGTTCAAATTAAGGGTTAAGAGTCGGGAAAGGTACAAAGAATCGTCTTCTTTGTCTAATAATACGCCAAAGCTTCCGCGCTTCGCGCAGGAGGAGGGACGGGGAGGGGGGGGGCCTGAATTCAGACAAGGATTAAGAGTCGAGAAAGGTACAACGAATCGTCTTCTTTTTCTAATAATTTAATGAAACGTCAAAGCTTCGCGCAAGAGGGGGGGGGGGGACAGAATTCAGACAAGGATTAAGAAGTCGAGAAAGGTACTTTGAGTCGTCTTCTTTCTCTAATAATTTAATAAAACTTCAAAGTTTTGCGCGGGAGGGGAGGAAACTGAATTCAGATAAGGATTAAGAGTCAAGAACGGTACATCGAATCGGCTTCTTTCTCTAATAAATTAATGAAACGTCAAAGCTTACGCGCTTCGCGCGGGAGGGGGACTGAATACAGATAAGGATTAAGAGTCGAGAAAGGTACAACCAATCGTCTTCTTTGTCTAATAATACGTCAAAGCTTCTGCGCTATGCGCAAGAGGGGCGGACTGCTTTTAGACAAGGATTACGAGTCGAGAAAGGTACAACGCATCGTTTTCTTTCAGAGCTTCCGCGCTCCCAGCACCCACCCCCCTAGGGAGCGCGATTCGCGCACTCTTTAAGTGATTCCCCCGCTTCTTGTGCTCTCTACCGCCCCCTAAAATAAAATCCTGGCTACGCGCTTGACTCAATACAATCCTGGCTGATATTATAGCCATACTGTTCTAGAAGCACTGCGGCAAAATCCACTCTAGCGGCATCTCAGGTCAGGTATAGCAGTATGATCCCGTAACTCGCTGCACTGTAGTCTAGTTCTGGACCCTATATTGAATTTTGTTATTCGCCGACTATAAGCGTTAAGCCGAGTGGTGGCGCGATACTTAGTGACTGCGGTTCTAGGGGATATCGCAGTCACTAAGGATCGCGCCATCACTCGGCTTAACGGTTATAGTCGGCGAATAACAAAAATCAATATAGGGTCCAGAACTAGACTAGCTGCACTGCGAAATGGGAATAAAGTATTGGGTTACACGCTGTTTTTTTTTAATTGAACAATGGCTGGTCCAAGATTTCCTTTTGTCATTATTAATATAATATTTCATCCTTGCTATTATAATGATCATTTCTATCATCATTATTATTATCATTATAAGTATTATTATAATCATTATTCTTATTATTATTTGTCTAGGGTGTTATGGTTTCCAATGCGGTGAAAGACAGCAACACGACAGTAACCGCTGTTCCCCTGGACAAGATCGTTCTGATCCAGCGGGGAGGGACCATCATACCGCTACAGAAGAATGATAACCATGATGTAGCAAACTCAACCCAGTTTAGGTAAGGTTCAGGCAGTGCTAGGCCGAATAAAACAATAATATCTCTGCTCTCGTCCCCTGAATGTAACATCTGAGAACATCTATAGACGATTGGGTCAACACAAATCATTAATGTAGTGCAACTCACCTTGTTTTGATATGCAAATTGTACAGAAGGAATATCAAATATCAAATAACATGGAACCCCTCCCTCTGTTGTTTAAAAAAAGGACGAAAACTTAACTAGGAATCAAGTGACATGGCCTTCTGATTTCATGTGGATACTTTTGTTCAGTTTGTTTTCTTCACCCTAGATGAGTTATTATTTAGATGGAGGGACCAGAGAAACATTCTTCATTCCATTTGTCTAAATGTTCTACATAAGATATTCTCTCTCCCTCTCTCTCTCTCTCTCTCTCTATCTCCCTCTCTCTCTCTCTCTCTCTCTCTCTCTCTCTCTCTCCTTTTCTCCCCCTCTCCTTCTCTCTCTCTCCCCTCTCCTTCTCTCCTTCTCCCCTCTCTCTCTCCGTCTCTCTCTCTCCTCTCTCTCTACCTCTCCCTCTCTTTATCTCTGCTCTCTCTCTCTCTCTCTCTCTCCTTTTCTCCCTCTTCTTCTCTCTATCTCTCCTTCTCTCCCTCTCTCTCTCTACCACTTTCTCTCCATCCCTCCCTCCCTCTATCCCTCTATCCCTCTCCCGCTATCTCTCCCTCTATCCCTCTCTCCCTTTCTCTCCTCTCTCTCTCTCTCTCTCTCTCTCCTTCTCTCTCTCCCATTCTCTCTCAGCGGGAAGGAGGTTGATTGGTGCACTCTAAGTTGATTTCTCGATGTGCTTGCAATCGTCTTATAATCGTGATGTTTTTGTTTTTTTGTTTTTTTTGGTCTACCAGTCGTCTAGACCCGTTGACGCTGGTGATTGCAATCCCTGAAGAAGTGAGCCTACAGGCATATGGAGACCTTTTCTGGGACGATGGTGAAACTTTGAGTAAGAATAATACTTTCATATTTCACCTGTCCAGAGCAAGAACGGCGTTAAAGGTACTATGTCCCATTTGCAGGCCAAAACAAAATGAAAAGGTTAAATTCCAACAAAATTTGAAAGATAATACTAATTTAGAACTTCCATAAAAAAGGGGGGCTTCAACGTTTCTTTAAGTGGGAAAATAAGGACTATTAGTTGTCAAATCGACTTAAGAGCTATAGAGCCAGTAAGTAATAGTCTGATTTTTAGACCATTGTACCGAATGGTCGTACGTTTTATGCTGCACAAAGATTCAATCAGTTTAATTTTGGCCATTACACGAAGTGGGTTATTGATTTAGCAAATGCTCATGTATCCTTTACAGCTCATTGAATGTATGTTATTACCAAAGAAGAAACAAGCCAGTCAGTCACTCAATAGTGTCTGACAGTGAAGTCTAGCAAGTGAACGGGTTTCCTTGCATAATTTGAATATTAGGTCACTGCTAACGTTTACATTTCACAGATAGGACATATATGACATATTTTTAATTCCTGCAACGTTCTACAGGATTTAATGTTGGCTGCAAAAGGGACATAGTATCGTTTAGTATGTGACATCTGTCTCAATGAGCAAATCAAACAAATACTTTTCATGGTATTGCTGGAATATGGATGAATAACTTTTTACAAGCAACAACAAAATGAACCACATTTAACAAATATAATTGCTAAAAGTCATTGCACTTCAGCCCGTAGGCTGAGTTGTGCAATATTTTACAATAGTCAAGTGTAATACACATAACATAATGCACAATGCCATAATATTCGTTATGGAAAAAAAAACATCCTACTAAGAATTATAACAATTACACTGGGTTTATCATTGTTTGTAATTGCACCATAGTGTGGGTTGTGTAAGCGGTTCAGACAGTGCAGATACAATGATGGTCAATGTGGGATGGAGAGGAAGTAAAAACAAATACAAATAACTCGGGAGGAACAGAAAATAGAAATATATATGATATAGATAGAAAAGGGTGAAAGAAGAAATAGAATATAATTAGTCATGCATACAGTAAACATGACTTGGAATATTATTTGTAATTGTGTTTTCTTCATGTCCAAACACACAGATTCGTACGAGAGGAACCTAGATTTGTACTTGGAATTCTACGCTAACCAGGTACAATTTGTAGTTGTTGTTTTATTATTATTAATAAGTTCTGTCTTCACATTCAGTCGGAAAATTACCTGTAACAATAAGCTTTCGGTTGTCATGACGAAAGCATCTACAGACCTAAGTCGTAGCTGGCGCTGTTGCAGAATAGCATCTAGCGTCCCTTCATAGAGGGACACTAATGGCATCTAGTGTCCCAATGGCATCTTACATTGTTCATGTGTCGGTGTATAATTCGAACATAACGCAATGCTAATCACTCCTATCTTTGAATTGAATACCAGTCCATTGAACACAATGTTTATCTCCGAAGTAAACTGATGTTTTGCAGCCTGCCCTAATAAGACAAATGCTCACAAAGAAAAACAACTGTTGTAGTTGGTTTATAGTGAGATATGTACAGTTTGATGCCACTATTTTACATAATTGTATAGTTTTGTTTCTCTCTCTTTCAACCATGATTTATGTGTTCACGTATACTTGGTATTATTGCCTCTCATTAAGTTCAGAATACAAAATTGTATTTCAGGTATTTCTGATCACCATTAATGGTGTTTCTAATTCTAAATTACAGATATTGCAGTTTTACACCTCATAATGTTTACATCCATACTTAAAGGAAACCAAAATCTTCATACTAAGTTACGTTTATTGTAAAGTTTAAAAGATTTGAATAAAATCAGTGAAAATTTGAACAAAATCGGGCAAGGAATAAGAAAGTTAGAGCATTTTTAAATGACTAGTCACTAGAGGGCGGTATTCAAATTGATGACATCATCTGTGAACAACTCTCCATGCCTTTTGTACATAAAATTTCACAATTTTTTGTTTTCTTCGTATTTATTTGTGTTCTTGATCCGACTTCATAATATGTGAAGTAGAATATCATTTTGCATTCTATATCTTGCTTTCAGAGGAGTACATTATCTCAATCACAAGAAAGAAGGAAAACATGAAATTTGATGTACAAAAGGCATGGAGAGTTGTCCACAGATGATGTCATCAAATTGAATACCGCCCTCTAGTGACTAGTCATTTCAAAACGCTCTTACTTCCTTAGTCCTTGCCCGATTTTGTTCAAAAAATTCACTGATATTTTTCAAATATCTTAAACTTTACAATAAAAGTAACTTAGTATGAAGGTTTTGGTTTCCTTTAACTTCCTCTGAAAGGTATACAAGGTTGAGTTCTGGTAACAGTCAAAATAAGTGGTGAGCTTTATAAGGACAAATAATTATGATAAACATGTTCCTTCAAAAGAATTGCTCTTTATGACAAGAAATAACTGGATAGTTTGGACAATACCTTTATGCCGCATGACGTTTTAACCCATATACGGAAAGGTGCTAGCAGTGCATGTCATTTCACACAAGAGTTAGTCAATCGTTCCAAAATCTGACTGTATACATTAATAGCCAACCTAAAGCCTTGGTCATAAATGCCATTACGAATTGCTACGAACGCCGTACGAACGATTTTCAGACAATGGAAATTCGGGAAGACAATGGAAAAACAGTGAGAATCGTACGAAATTATCGTTCGTACGAACCTTTGTTACCGTAGCATTACCTAATCGTTTCCAGTAGGTTTATTTCAAAATCTAATCAAGCACGTGACTCAACCTTTCTTGAATGGTCATGCTTTACAGGATCGTATCGACATCCTATCACAACGTACCGGTATGATCGAGAACGATCCCTCGCTCATTGACGATCTACCGGTGATCGAAGCTATTACGATGTACGGCATGTCCAATGATCCTGGCTCATCAGTATCGGTCAATAACGGAGCTATAGATCAATCACAATTCATTTACGACAGTTTGACCCAGGTAAGTTATTTTCATGTTTTAAGTAATTATTTTCCTCTTTAAAAAGAAAATATTTAAAGAAATGTGAATCATCATTTTAATTTTAGCATAAGGGCTTTATTTATGTAGTTCCCCATTTCATTTCTAAAATTTTTCGTGAATAATGTTGTATCTTTTGTATCAATGTATTTTTTAATCGAGAATGAAATAAATGCGAATTCAATTACATATTTTCACTCATAGCCTGCCACTACTATTGATAATGCTTGTTTATGTAACTATCTTCATGGAGTTTCAAGTCAAAAACCCGACTCCGGCCTTTTTCCTTCCTCTTTAAAAAGAATTATAATTCAAAGATAGGCAACATTTTACAGTAAGTAATATCTTCACCATTATCCTTTAGACCTTCCCCCTCTCATCTTTTCTCCCGTCATTATTTTCTACTCTTTCCTTATCATTCTCTTTCGTATTCGCCTATTCTATTTCCCTCTCTCTCTCTCTCTCTCTCTCTCTCTCTCATTGTGTATCTTATTCTCTATGTGTGCCTTTTTCATAACCACATACGTATCTAAATAACATTTCTGTTTGTCTGTCTATCTGTCTGTCTACCTCGCTCTCTTGCTCTCGTCTCTCTCTCTCTCTCTCTCTCTCTCTCTCTCTCTCTCTCTCTCTCTCATTGACGTCCCCAAATTTCTCTCCATTTCTCTCTTTATTGCCCCCTCACCCAATCCCCATCAAAAACACATTCCTTACATCATCTCTGAATTTCTATCGTGCTGTTGCCTTCCTACTGCAGGTATTCAATATAACCGGTTTAGCATTGGACATCATCTCTGATCACGTGATTGAACTTGGCGCCACTGCAAACCCACTCTAATCAATTCTATCAACATCACCTTGATCCGCACGTGCCATCGCCTGAGCCTTTTTGATGTTCTTTCCATCTTAAATCAGCAAATACTTCAATGATACTTTTGGGGTTTTTCCCCCATTTATTTCACCACAAAGCCATACGCATTAGTTTTTTTCACTGATTTATTTTGGTATTTAGACCATCATTCTTTTGTTTGGGAGAGACTTTTATTGCAATGTTTAAATGGCGTTAGTGCATAATTCCCATTGACACCACCACTGATGCATATAAGAGTTATATTCAATGTGAATTATATTCAAATAAATAAATAAATAAAATGTCATTATTGACCAAATCCTACTACCTGATGTGTTCATAGTAGGATATCGCTTCGAGTAGTATATACATGCAGTTTTGTTTTTAAGAAAATAAAAGCAATTGACTAGTTACGCAGCTTAATATTTTTATCAATTTTGATATACATTTGTGTTTCGTTTGCTTTTCTTGCTTTTCACCGCTGTAACATAGTAAATGCAATTGTAACTGGCTTTAAATAATTTAATAATTTGTAAAAAGAAAAAAAAGAAGATCATGCAGGCAAAGATATTTGGAGGATAAGATACCACTAATGATGTGTTCTAGATCTTGTTTTATTCTTACGTTTTGTGGAAATTCGTGCCTAATAGAAGTGCAATTGATTCGTAGTTAAATTATTTGTGATTTCTTCATTTGTTTGCTTTGATGATGATGATAGAATGATAATGAAAAGAAACATAACAATAGTAACAATAACAAAAGTAGCAATGACGACAAAAACAGCAACAATAATAATGATAATAATGATAATGATAATAATAACGATGTTGATAATAATAGTAATAACGCGATATTCTTTAACGTTTGTGCTGCATGTATTGCATACGACTGATTTCTTGCTGTTATATTCTATTATCGAATCTATGGATGTTTTGAAGATGACATATCTTGTTTAAGTAAGGTTCTACGGCAAACTTTGCGTGTTCAAAGTAGTACACTTGAAATAGCATTAGTAGATTGTGAACCGTTTAATAATACGAATGTAAAACTGAGATTACTACTGTGGATTCACAATCAACAGCGCCATCTAGCGACACCAGTGCTTCGTCAGGTCCACGTGATGCATCATGGGGAAAAGTCGTTACCTCTAGATCTGGCTTTGTTATACTTGATGTAATTTTCCTCCTTTTTATCATTTCATTTATTTTCATTTCTGAACATAAAATGAAACAATATAACGACACAAGTGCTTCGTCAGTTCCACGTGATGCATCATGGGGGAAAGTCGATACCCCTGGATCTGGCTTCCTTTTGTATCATTTCATTTAATTTTCATTTCTGAACATAAAATGAAACAATATAAAATGTTGACAAGTGCAGGATACGGTTGATAATCATGTAGCCCGACGAGATAAGGGGATTTAATCGGAATGTTTGGTTCGGGAAGGTTTAAAGAGCTTATAGGGGGAATAATTTTGACCCTACTCACGACGTTTTCGTAAATTTTTGCCACTCTTTGGCCCAAACTAACCATTACGATCACTTTGGGACAGGCGTTATTTCTCCAATCGTTTATATGAGGCAAGAAGATTTGATTGGCATATTTTGGTTAAAATGTGCACCGCACAGGTTGAATGATGTACTCCCTCGAGATGAAAATTGGCCTGTCATGGATTGCCGGTGTGGGCGCTGTTCATTGTGAATCCACCTTTTTATCATAGATCAAACGGCAACCTAGCTCAGTTTGAAATTCAATTTTCTATCTTTCTAACTTTGTACATATTTCTTTTATATATTTAGTGCAAGTAGTTTATAGTCAAAATAAATTTACTGCAAATTATTGAATAATTTGTATTTGAAATAAACTGATTAAGTGCTTGAAATCAATGAAAATGTAATAATTAAATGAGTCGGAATCGTATTCTCAAGTGGTTCAATTATTTTAGTCTGTCAACTTCAGTTATCTTCTTATCCACTTTTCCTGACATTTGCTCCCTCCTATATACACACCTTACTACGTGTATATATACATTTTGTAATTGAGGGGAAAATAGGTTTATGAAGGAAAAATAAACAGAATAAACAACCTCATATTTTATGTAAATAAACAAACATAAAACGAACTTCAAAGTAGAAAATAATTTAACATAATTTATGTGGCTCAAGAGGCTCTCAAGGAGAAAAATACATTTGTCAAAAATGTATATATAATTATAAACACTAGGCAGGAAAGAAAGTGGACACCCTTCACTGTTCAAAATGTTCATCAATAAAATACAATACAATATATTTCGAATTCAAAGAAAGTTAGTATCAACATCGATTGAGATAGAATTTTGAATTTTCACGCTTGGATGGACTCATCCAGAAAAAGAGCGTGAGCAAGAGACAGAGAAAAAGAGTGAGAGTGCACATATATATTTATACCGAGCAAGGTAAAAACCAAAAAGATACCTTGTTGCAAAGAAAATTTGTATACGATTTCACATCCGTTTGATAGGTTTATATTCTTACAGACTTGACATTTCTTCTTCATCACCTTCTTTCTTCGTTTAATTCTTCTTCTTCTTTCTTCCTTTCTTTTCCTTTCTTCATAAATCTATAACGGTTATCAATTATTATATATTTATACTTTTAAATAATCATGTTCTATGGTTGGTATTTAGAGACAATCCTCTTTTGGGTCCATTGTATCTCTCATACTATAGTCCCTCTTAAGTCTTATTAGCACAGTACTACTCGGCAGGTCATTGTCCTTTCTCTGGCATGGTATAGTAGTGGTGAAATACTGCTTGCTAGTCAGTCAGAGAAGACTCGATTCATGTGCGAGAGAAATAACAGTCTTGCATGGAATCAATACGTGAGGGATGCCTTCTCCGCTCAATTAAATATATTAAATACAAGGAGCCCGTACCAAGGATAGACATGATAGATGGAAATGCTTGCTAACAGATTATGAGAGAACTGTGTCTGAATCGTGGTTAGAGTATTGTGAATATCGATGAATGGGGAGAGAAAGCTGTCGTGAATATCATCATAGCGACTTTGTATGAAAATGAAATGCATTGACTCTTCGTGCCCAATTTGGCGTCAATCTCGCTCCTACTTTGTATAGTTCTTTTCAACCCCCCCCCCCCCCTCTCCCTCGATCTCTTCATCTCTATATATCTTTAACTCTCTTCTTTAACACTCCTTCTTTCTTTGTTTGTTTGTTTCTCTCTCTCTCTCTCTCTCTCTCTCTCTCTTTCTCTTTCTTTTTCTCTCTGTACATATCTCTTTATCTATATTTCTATATTTATGTGTATGTCTGTATATCTCTCTCCCTCTTTTTTCCATTACTTACCTCGCTTTCTATCGACACAGTTTCCTGGTCATCCTTCCAGTAAATTCTGTCTCTCTCTCTCTCTCTCTCTCTCTCTCTCTCTCTCTCTCTTTCTCTCTCTCTCTCTCACACACACACAACACACACACGCACCATTGTGTCATGTTCCTTCTCAGCAATCCTTATTCATTTATGTCTGTCTCCTTCAATGTTGCTAGTTCTTTCCAGTTTATTTACATGCCTGAGTGTCTAACTATAACATCCCTTTTCCGGACTAACAATAATATTTTTCTTTTAACGTTATGTAGTTATTACTAATGCATTCGTAAGCATCACGTCTTTACAATATTGTATTGTTACATAACACGGGCTATGTTTATAAGAGTACAATTTTTACCACAGGGGGACTTTAGAGCTGGGAAAACATAAAAATGAGGGAAATTGAAATCGGATTATCCTCCACGACCCAAGGATGTTTAGACAAAAACTCTTCTCTGTATTTCGTAAACGCTTTCTACTTTTCTTTGCCCTCCGTTCGTACACTAAGCATTCTGAAGTACGTGATCCTTTGCTTTTCAACGGCGCAAGTGTGAGCTAAGCTGGCAGACGACAACTAGAACACACTACGATTGGCGCGAACGGAAAATTAGATGTGAACCATCATTGCTCGTGGCACCGCAAGGCGTTTGGAACATCATACAGTATACAGTATAAGAGCGCTTGATAATAAAGGATATAGGCCTATACTATCATCAAGTTCTTTGTGATCGAAGAGCTTTTGTTGATTTGGAGGGATCCTGAACGTCAGAATGATTGAACATTTGAAAGAGGTTAAGAGGTTTGAAGATTCGTCGTCTGCGGAGCTACGTTATGCTTCGAGGAAGGAAGGAGATACGGAGAAGTCTGCTCACTCGGGTGACTACAATTGTCATGAACTGGTTTTAAAAGGTAAGTAAACATATTATGTTACATTCCTTGTTAAAGCATGATAACAGCACAGGGAATTATTGTACGAATAATGAAAAGACCTTTCATTGTGATTTCTCATTTATTTAATTTCCCGTTGTCGGAGAACTGTTCCATGCTAAACACACGACAGGTGTATGAATTTCGCATTCTAACGAATTGGTTTTTAATTTCTGATAGACGTTTGAAATTTGGCGGTACTAATTTGTGATTGCCTAAAGTCACCTCTGTTTTGGGGTAGCACATCAAATGTATAGTTTCACATAAAGAATCTCACCAAAACCCGTGTTAAAAAGATGGCAGTCTAATACTGCTATTAGACCGAGATACATGTACATCTTATAAATAGAGTATTCATATTTCGGTTGTAAACTGATCATTCTGGACAGATGTTTCGAAATAGTTTGCGGTCTGGTTTGACATCGTTCTTACTTTCATATTTTCACTGTGTTAAATTTGTCAGGCAGAAATGATACTGAAAACGCTTTGGTCGGTAACCTGAATAGTAACTGGAAAGGTGCTTTAGAAGAAACAGTACTATCATTAATATTGGATACACTGTTTGATTAACTCAATGTTAAATTGTGTTTTCGGTGGGACGTCATATCTGTTTATGGCCCCTGTATATTATTAGATATATTTTAAATCAAATTAAACATTTATTGATGTTCTATATTTACTTATTGTATTTCATTGTTGGAATTGTTGTTGCTGTCGTTTTTGTTTCTTATTTATGTTTTTGTTTCATTTTATGTTTTTTATATATATTCTTTTATTCGTTTTTATGTGGATTAAAAAAAATATCTTTCCTGACTTTCTCTTGCCGCGCTGTAAAATATATACTTAGTGTTGGATAGTTTCTGCGCTCTATAAATGTATTATTATTATTATTATTTCTGCGGTAGAGCAAAAAGTATTGAACTTGTTTGTCCTTTGTCTGAATGCAAACACAACCGGTATCTGTCAGCGCCTCGATGTTTCCTCTCGACGGGTGTCTCTATCACTATGTTCTTCTTTCGGGCAAGTATGCTAAAACGATTAGCATCTACATCTCGCATGATTACAAACTTCTCTAATAAGCAATCTTCATTCCACCACGTCATTATGCCGATTGCTTGAGACATTTCGACTTGGTGATATTAATTCCTAGCTGATTATCACGTCTAACGAAGAACCATGAAAACGTTGCTCACTTCAAATTAACACTTCGATTGCTTGCTTCCCTTCTTTGCATGGGTGCTCGTGTGCCACACGTACAATCTTGCACAAAACAATACAGACACCGACTAGAACTGGAAACTGAATAACTTAGAAGCGTTTGGTAATTTGAAGCTTATTCCCTGTTAAAGGTTACAGATTATCTGTAAACCGCATGCAAAATAGTATCAATTTTTTGTTCATGTGACAATACCAGCTCACTAAATAATCGACTTGGAAAGTGAAACAGTCAACCAGAATCCATTTGTTGATTTCCGGCAGAAGAAGAAGAACTAATATTACACAATGACGGCAATTTTCGTATACACACCAGAATTTAAAATGTATCGAGTTAGAAAAGCTAGCTGCTTTACCCAAGGAAACGAACTTAATGGTGGGGTATGCCCCTGTCGTAATCCGTATTGGGATGTCGATAGATCATTTGAATGTAAGATGATGTCGGAGTCTTGTCAACAAGTCGGTCTCGTATTTTCCTATTGAAATCCATTAATTTTCAAATTTGGCAACACCAAAAAACAATAACACTTTTGAAAGATAGTGCCCCCCCCCCCCCCCCCCCCCACAAACAAAAAGACAACCGGTATCTGTCCGCGCCTCGATGTTTCCTCTCGGCGGGTGTCTCTATCACTATGTTGTTCTTTCTGCCATGTATGCTGAAACGATTAGTATTTACATCTCGCATGATTACAAAATTGGCAACAAAAACAACAACAACACTTTTGAATGATAGTGCCCCCCCCCCCCCCCCCCCCATGATGCCCCTGATCATATATACTTCGGATACCATCTATTGAGAGTCAGGAGGGTGATAACTTGGCAAGTATATGAGTTAATGCCTTTTCGTTTCTCCCGGTATACATTACTCTAGAATAGTGAAATGGGATGTCTAATGGCATATTCTCATCACATCTTGAAAAGCGACTCTCATACATCCAAAGATACCATCCATTGAGATGCAGAGAGCAGGCATGCACTGATACTAAGTCCAAGGCGTCACTGTCACGTACTTGCAGCAGCATCAGGATGACGTTTCACGAAACCATCGTTAGAACAAGTTCGCCGATATCACATTGCAATGTGTGCATTGACACGAACATGCGTTTCAATATGATGTCTGCGAAATAATAATTGTGACGGTTTCGTGTAACGATACACTGATGCCTTTTGAAGAATAGATAGATTCTAACGTCCCTCGGTAAACACCATGGTATAGGCAAAGTGCAAGCGGGGGGAATTACACGACATTTGAACTCTTACCAGAGACCAAAGCCTGTTTTCTAGAACGTGAAGTGAGAAAGAGACATGAATTATTAATTCCAGAGATAAGATGAAGAGATACCAAATGATTTTACAGATACATTATTTATCCGAAACCCCTAGGATTACCCCCACTCCTATCTATCTCTATCTATCTATCAATGTTTCTCCCTTGCACTCTGTATATGTTTGCCCCTCTATTTCTTTTTCTTCTTAGCTCTATCTATATCCGTCTAATACCAATCTCTATTTCCCTCTCTTCTCCACCTTTTTCATGCAAGTGAACGAAGTAATCTGATTGAATGAATGAATAAAATTAATATAGGAACGAGGAAGATTATTTTCGATTAAAAGGACAATGACGTGGAGGATTTATTAGATGCCAGATGACAATGGAATTGCGGATAAGCGATACGATCCATTGTGAGGCTAATGATGGTTTTTTAGCTTGATCATGGAGGTGGTACGAAATATGTCTTACAATATATATTTGATGAATGAAGGCATACTAATTTAGTGCAGTGGTAGGAGAGAGATCCTCCCTGATACAGCTTTATCGCCGTTCTTCGTCTTCCACCATCCAGCTCACCCCTTCCTCTCGTCCCACTCACATTCCCTCTGCTTAATATCACAAACCACATAAATATTACCATTTCGATCCCCTTTCCCCTTCGTATCCCCCTTCACCCCTCCCCCTCCCCACCCATCCCCTTCGAATCCCCATTTACCCCTTTCCCACCCAATTCCCTTCGAATCTCATTTACTGGCCATTATGTTTTTCTCCCCTTCCGACACCTTCCGATCTCTAACAAGTCTGTAAATTTCCTCTTATCAGCCCATGAATGCCCCCTTTAATACAAGCCTCTCTGCACCCCTCCCTTATATCCCTAACCCCCTTAATACCCCCTTACCAGTCGCTCCGTACCATCTTACAATCCCCTCCATACCTTCTAGTGGGCCCTTCTTAGCCCCTTACAAGCCCCCTCCATACCACCTTACCAGCCCCCCCCCCCCCCACCATGCCCTCTTACACTCTATATACCCCTTACCAGACCCTCCTTGTCCCTTTACATGTCCCTCCATACCCCCTTACCAGACCCTCCTTGCCCCCTTACATGCCCCTCCATATGCCCTTACATCCTCCTACCCCGATACCCATCCCCTCCCAACCTAAGACCCTCCCTACTGTCCCTGTCTACCACCAGAGTTCAAATCTTAGTTCATTCATGTCATATGAGATTCTGAATGAGAGATGACTGCTAATGCACCTTATAGAACCGCTTGAGTCTGGTATGATACTAACGATGTGCCAATTCCATTATCCTCACTCATCGCATTCTCATTGATCATGCGAGGCTTAATATCAGATGGAATTACCTCAATCGGATTTATTTTAATAGGATAATTAGCATACGTCAGCTCTTACGGATCGAGAAATCGTCCTGCAGAATGGCATAAAAACTACCTCTACAAATCATCTGATTAGGGCCCTATATGCATGTAATACGAAAAATCGACTCACAATAAGTCGTAAAGTTCAACCGTGTCTCCAATGTTGATGCAATAACGTGCATCGTACCCTGCATTAATCAATTAATCAATTCATTAGGCAATTAAGTAATATTTCTTGCCCGCCGGACAAATTAATGAAAAAGATTCTGCATTAAACTCATGCAAAATTGCATTAAAAACCTACTTTTATATTTCTTTAATAAGATTACATTTTTCATTAAAATTGCATGAATATAATGTAAAACAACTAATTCAATTTGGATAATTCTCCGTCACGGTAATATACAAATAATGATAATTAAACCTCATATTTATAAATAAAACATTTAAATAAAAATCCTCGAGAGTTCACTTCTACCCTAGATATGACCGGTTAAAAAAAACTGAAATGGGAGGTAAACTCACAAGGATTAGTTTAAATCATTATTCATATTATATATATTTGTGTGGGTGGGTGTGTGATATAGAGTTCACATCAAACTTTGATTACTACACGAATCAGCCTATGCTAGGCTCATCATGAGAAAGCATTACCAGTCTGATTTTGAGATCAGTGCAGATAGTCATCATCTATGAGAAAGCAATACCAGTCTGATTTTGAGATCAGTGGAGATAGTCGTTTTGTATCAGACCGTAATTCTAGAGCTCTAGGTTGATTGCAAAATGGCACAACATTTTATTCACAGCCTTGCATTCGCAATACTATTGCATAACTTGTGTCTGAATTGATAACTGAATTTGATAAGGCCATGTATAATAATTAATTATTGTTCGTGCACTGTTAATTATTAGAATGCATTGAAGGCATTACCGCTGCATGATAATAGTATAATTATTGTCACAGCTCAGATTTTACTGTTTGAAATTCATAATATTCAACAATTTTACGCACAATCACGACTGGCATAAAAGTGTGTTTAAAATCTAATAATCATGATAACCATTCTTATAATATAAACTTTTGTCACGAGAAAAAGATTTGTATATCAACGAATGAAATCGAAAAAATACAATTGCATTTGATTTCACACAAAAAAACCCACAACAACAACGAAAATGAATATTAACAAATAAACATAAGCAAAACCAGCTTTGAATTACTTGATGCTGTAATTCGTCATTGATTACATTGATTTATGCACATCGCACCATGTTCCGTGTATTGATTGTAGAATGAATTGACACGTTTACGCTTCAGAAAACATTAAAAATAATTTAATGGTGATTCATATTCAGGTATGTGTAAAAGGATAGCCATTCTGAAGCGTGATGGTAAGAGTACCTATTATATAGCATTATGATATCATGGCATTATTACTTTCATATTGCTTTGATATTACTAAACACGTTGCACGGATATTAACTATCCGGGAACCCCATGACTACCATTATACACAACGTCTCATCATATACCCCCAAGTGACTGGTATATAAGGAAGCTGGTAGAATACTTGGTGATGGTTGTTAGATCGATCATCGTCGCATGTCAAATTGATTCTTCTGACTACCACTAATGACGGACCAGGTCACGTGCTTGTCTATGATCTACATTCTTACGATGACACAATGGCCCTTGCAACAGATAGATGTATAGCCGCGAGAATGTCCGGCAGATGGTATACGGGGTTTAAACTAATAGTACCGTTTATAATGATAATCATCATCATTTCTTGTATAGCACATCGTACATTATGAAATAACATTTCTATGCGCTGCCAAAGAGCTTCAGACTTATTACCCTGGCTTTAGATCCCACAGCCGTTATCAGCGCACAGTGCATTTCAATAAATAATCCTACCAGGTACCCATTTACCTGACCTGGGTTGAGTGTGCCAAATGCAGATTAATGTCATGTCAAAGGTAATTAGTGCCGCGGCGATCATCGAACCGCGAACCTTGTGATCCAAAGTCCGGTGACATATCCACTCGACCACGACATCTCTATTTATCCATGGTTCGAGTATATACAGATGTACATACATAATATACACATATATAGATATATATATATTCTATTGAAAGTAAATGTTGTGTTAAATCCTCCACCTCCTTATGCTTCCATGCATGCTCAACAGAACTTGGGATGGTCACTCTAGTAACTTAAAACTTGCATCTTTGATTATTTTAGATGGGCATCTTCAAGTTCAAGTTTATTTGTTCCACATATTACAAACAATAAAGACATACATATAAAATAAAAATTATACAATACATGTAGTATACGTGTATAGAAGTACGTCACAATTATTCTCAATTCATATCATAGATTAAGTAGAATGTGACGAACCTATTTAAAAGCAGTGTGTGTACAGATATATTATAGGTTCCTAGTAAAATATGTATTGTAGATGTAAAAACCGTATAGCAGTATAGAGAAAGACGTTATTTAGAGGGGAAAATTTTAAAAACAATGGAATAAAGAAATTTGTATACTAAATCATGCATTAGCACCAATACCCAGAGTCACCCGGTTAAAATGCGTAGTTAAAATGCGAAGTCAATACACCCGACTTGATAAATACATACAGGCAGTCATGACAGTGGCGTAGCCTCCATTGAGGGGCGGTATAACGATTGTGGGGGGGGGGGGGGGGCACCGGTCTTACTCGGAAATTTGAATGTTTGGTTTAATATTACTGATTATTAGAGGGAGGGTACGTGTAGGAGGTATCTTGTATTGTAATCGTCCTTTTTACCCTTCAACCATTTACTTTTCCTTTTTTTTCTTCTCTCAATTTCTTTATTTTCATTTTTGACACCCCTCCACGGGGGGGGGGGTCCCATGTCTCCTGTATCTGCACCGCTGCATACTGACCTCACCTGGAGGAATGAATACCTGACGCGTATAAGTGCTCGGGAATATTACCACTTCAAGACGTGGATATGAAAGCATATAGAGATAGAATGACCACTTCAAACCGTCTCGTCGGACATCCAAAATTCATTTTACGCGAAAGCAATTTCCTTTCCTGTTTGATGTCGACATTGTATTGATTATCCTGAAATTGTTAGGGACTGGCATCGAAAAATGCGATTTAATCTGATTGCAATACCCCTTGAAATAGCATCTCCAGGACAATAAACCCCAACAACCGATAACTACACCTAGGACAATTGCCATCGGACATCACATCCCAGATAACTATTCAAACCACCCTCTAAGACAACTACCCCTCGAGAAAAAATACCCCGGACCATTAACCCCACCGTCACTATACCGATAACTACTCATAGGAAAACACAGACATCTAACCAATCAGAACAACCCGCGTGACAAGTATCCTTGGACATCTACTCCCTTACGCAACTATGCATATACCACCGGACAACTAGCCTAGGACAAATACCCCTAAGACTACCCGCAACCGGACAATGACCCACTGATAACGTATTCGATGGCCTTCTGTATAAACACGTACTTTGGGGCATAAAGTGGGATTACATTTTTTTAAACCTCTTTTCATGAAATAATTGTGACATAATGACTTATTCTTGATAAATAAAGCGTGTACAGTATCTTCTCTGAACTTTATTGGTCAATATTTATGTATCAATCTTTATTTACCAATCTTTATTTATTAATCTTTATTAGTCAATCTCTATTTGTCAATAAAATTGTGAGAAGATAAGTTGATATCTATCAAGATTTAATCATATCCTCGCAATATCATTAATCCAACTTTACAGGCAACAGTGTATGTTATCCATCCCACCATGTGGAATAATAGAATGTATCTCTTTGGTACATGAGTGAAAGTGACATGTATCATTTAGAGGATATTTGGTTTGCTATAGGGCAGAGTTTTCTGGGTTAGATGATCGGATCGGAGGAAAGTGATTGAAAGTGACATGAATCAAACATTTTCTGATGTGAGTTCACATGAGTGAAGAATTTTTTACTTTTTCTTTTCTTTTTTAAACGTAAATGAAAAGAATAGCCAAACGCGTGTGAAACAGAACAGAAGAAACTTTGGTTAACGGGCAAATATAAAAACCCATCATAACCATACACAAAAAGAGAAAGAGTAAGTGCAAAAGTAAATCGTATAAACATCTCGAACAAGCACTGGTAATGAATTCATTCTCCGTCAAAAGTGCAATGATGGAGAGAGCGATCTGCCAACGGGGAGGTTTAGGATTAATGCCACTTCAAATTTGAGATCGCGTCTTTTAGTTTGAACTTTTTTCTGTTTGTTGAGTGTGATAAAAGCTAAACGAGGGTGTTTGAGGGAGAGCTTTAGAACACCTGTGAGGTGAGCAACCTTGCTGGGCTGGGAGACTCGCCAAGATGGCAGAGTTTAAAGAAGAAGAAAAATGAAATTTTCTCTCTCTCTCTCTCTCTCTCTCTCTTTTTGTCTTTCTCTTACACACACACACACACACACACGCACGCACATCCGCGCACACACATGAACACACTCTCTCTTGTTCTCTCTCTCTCTTTCACTCCTTCTCTCTCTATCACACACTCTCTCACATCTACTCTCTCTCTCTCTCTCTCTCTCTCTCTTCTCTTCCCTTCCCTTTTCTTTTCTTCCCTTTCTATCTATCTCTAGTCGTTCCCTTTGTCTGATATCTCATCTTAGCGGTTTCAATGAATATCATAAAGGAATATAATACCATACCCTCGCACTCCACACACAATAAACAACTCATTTCTGATTTAAAAAACCTCTCCCCCCCCCCCCCCCCCTCTATTTAGGCTTTTTTTTTAAATCACCTTCTCAAACAACAATATACTGTCCTGACACAAACTTGAAGATTTCTTTGTTATTTCCGATTGTTTCCACAGGATTGCTTGTAACTTCGCAAACTAAAAAAATAAATGCTTTTATTGTTTTATTTTTGTTCCATGCAATTTAGGAGAATAACAAAGAACGCATATACAAATATAGTCGGAGAGAAATTGGTGGAGGGGGAGGAACTAGAGAGGGAGAAGTGAGATGAGACAAAGATAAGGGAAGGGGTAAATAGATAAACAAACACGCATCTTCACAATAAAGGGTGACAGTACACGGAAAATAATTCAGAACACGAGCCGTGAATAATTTAGCTGTAATATTATGACGGATCTATTGAAGAGAAAAGGCAGCTTTGATCAAAGGTACGAGATAGAATGTCATTAGGAACTTAAATTGCGTGGACTGATACGTGTGACGTCCATTCAAGGCAGTGCATTAAAGGACGTCGATCGTAGCAATCCCCATTGTCTTCGTGCGAAACTAAAAGTCCCTATTATTAGATACTTTGTACACACATTAGCGATCAGTGATGTGACAGGGCTTTGCCATCTCTTTATTCAGTCGAGTTTTTAAGTAGATTAGCCAATGGCAAACCAGGCAAGATTCTTATTTGTTAGCCCATTATCCTGGCGGTTATAGTAAAGTAGGTCACACAGATACGTGACTTGCTGCGGTTTAATCATAAAGACACGGATCTCGATACATACTAACCACATTGCATGGGAAGAGGAAGAAGGTGTGAAGTGTGTCCAACATAGTTGCTCAAGCATGTTTGGAGAGGAGTAAATAAGCAGAAGAAAAAAAATAATGAAAACAATTATCACGAAACAAAATCTCTCACTGCGTGTGTCTCTCTGTCTGTCTGTCTCTGCATGTCTATCTCTAACTCTCTCTCTCTCTCTCTCTGTCTCTCTTTCTTTCTCTTTTCCAATGTTGCTTAGGTGTAAAAGCAATAAAACAAAAATTGCAAATTAAACAAGCTTATATAACAAGGATCTGTGTAAACAATACATGCATATCACCATGGTTGTATATCAACTTATTATAACAGCTTTACCCCCGAATGACAAGGAAAGCTATATTTTGGTGATACTACATCAGACATGTTAAAGTCAACGAACTTGGGCAGCCAGATTGCTTCTTTGACCAAAATACCAAGTAAATTAGGTCCATGTAATCTCTTTCTGCTTGCTCCCGTGAAATAGGTGCATCCAACAACACCACGACAATGGATACACCGCCAGCGGGCGTCCTGTCCCGCGCCCGCCCGGTGTTCCGGGTTGCTGCCTTACTGTGTATGGTGCTCGCTGTGTCTCTAGTTCCTTCTATCACCTTGTATCATCGGGTCAGAGAGCTGGAAGGGCGAGTATTGAGGCAAACACGCGACCTGTCTGAGTTGAGGTTAAGAGAGGAGGAGGGTTTAACGGGTGTTGGTGAGATGGAGGATGCCCGCTACATCGGGAGGAAGATGCTAGCTGAAAGCTGTGATTGCCCTCCAGGTAAAACGCTTGTCCTCATAATTTATGATGCAATGTGATTGGTCCTGACCAGCTACAGTCTGTTTCCCAACTTCTCTCTTTCGGTGGTTTAAAAACGTAATGGTGTAACTGTAGGCCCACATTTAACATCAGGAAACTGCATTCACATGGTACATGAATGGTTTACAGCACATAATTATGTAAAGTCATTTCAGAACTTAAATCGATCGATCATCATATGCTATAATGACATGATCATTTTGGTTCATAGCTTTGTTGTTGTTGATTTCAAATAAGTTTTTTGATAATAAATCTTTTAACTCGTAGATAATCGTAGGACAGATGTGATATCGCTTTCAAAACCTGGAGAAATTTGTTAGTCTTATTTTGTATGTATACTCCTATTAAAATGATTGTTGTGCATTCTTTCCTGAATCGGGATCACAGTCATACCGTACTATGTGCGGCGGGCTGATTATTGAAGCATCCATCCTCTGTTTAATCTTCATCTCATGCAATCTGATACAGGCCCAAAAGGAGATTCAGGACCACGAGGTGAACGAGGCAGACAGGGATCTACAGGCAGAAGAGGTGAGAGAGAAAGGGAATAGAGAGACAGAGAGAGAAACACACAAAGAGAGAGAGAGAGAGAGAGAAAGAGTGTGAGGGACAGACATGGAAAGAGAGATTGAGAGGCATGCATAGAGAGACAGAGAGAGAGAGAGAGAGAGAGGGGGGAGGGAGTGGGAGAGACAGAAACAGAGTCAGAGAGAGGCAAAGAGACAGAGAGAGACTTATAAGCGCATAGAAAGGGAGGGAAAAGAGGGGGCAGAAAATAGGAGGAAGTGAAAGAGAAGAGAGACGGAGAGAGAGGGGGTGGGAGAGAGAGAGAAATATATATAGAGAGAGAGATAGAGAGAGAGAGAGAGAGAGAGAGAGAGAGAAATATATATATAGAGAGAGAGAGGGTGAGAGAGAGAGAGAGAGAGGGTGAGAGAGAAAGAAAGAGAGAGAGAGAGAGAGAGGGAGAGAGAGAGAAGAGGAGAGATAAACGTACTTTAAAAATAGTGTTAGAAACGTTAACCTGTGTACATCATTTTGTAACCATGCTCTCAGTGGTTTCCTCGTTGCAAGAATGCGAACTAATGGATACTTAATTCAATAATTCATTTCAAATTTTCAACTTGGTGAATGATAGAATTACGAAATTGTTCTATGCATTAGGTCTAATGGATGTTGTCGTTGATTTTAGAGGCTAAGATTATTTAATTTTCAATCTAAAACTAAAGAAGTGACTGCGATTTCAATAAGGTGTATCTCAGTTAATAGAATTCAACATGATAAAGGCTGTGTCCAAGATTTAAAGATTCTACATCTACTATTTTAATTTTCGAGTGCATGTTCCATTGACGGTAACATGTTGTATATTGGATGGTATACACCGGTCTATAGTATCATTTTCATGCATTCTAGGTATATCCAGGCAATATCAGTAATCATAAGGACATCATGTTACGAAACCGTCATAAGTACAGCTCGTCGACATCTCGTTGAAACACGTGTGTGGAAATAAAAATGCGTTTCAATGGGACGTCAGCTAACGATGAGCTTCTTGTTCTTATGAAAATGGGCCCAGTCTTATAAACAGTTGCGATTAATCGCAACTTTTTTGCGATTGATTTCAAAAGCAACTATGTACATAAGAGGTAGGTGACTGTAAGTTGTGATTGCTTGGAGGGCTTGCGATTGATTCGGATCAATTGCAGCTCTTTGTTAGACGGGGCCCTGGAGTTGTCCTCTTTACAGTGAAAAGAGAGAATGTAGACCTGATCATGTTGCTCTCTTTGGTTACAGGAGAGAAAGGGGATCCAGGAGAATCCGGCGTAGATGGCGTGTTCGGACAGGATGGGGATATAGGGGTTAAAGGAGACAAGGGGAACCAAGGCCTGCCAGGTGAATCAGGTAGGTCATGACGTCATCAACCATTTCGTCACCAACATCGTCAACAGGGAATTTTAGATTTGCACGACGAGAACGTGGACTGCTACGTGTGACATCATTTTAAGGCAATGTGACGTCATTTTAAGGTACTGAGTTCATTAAAAGGATGTCACATGACTTGTGCAGTCACGTTCTCGTCGTGCAAATCTAAAAGTCCCTAATATCGTCGTCGCCATCATCGTGTTGATTAAATTCCTCCGAAATGTTATAATGCAAAATGCATCAAGTATTGTACATCCACCTCAAATTCTGTTACTCCATCATTTTCTCTTCTCTCTCTCTCTTTCTCTCGCTCTCTCTCTCTCTCACACACACACACACACACTCACTCGCTCGCTCTCTCTCTCTCTTTCTCTCTCTATCTATCTTTATCTCTATCTATCTCTCTCCATAATCTATCTATTTATATTTATGTCTATCTTATTCTCCCCTCCCTCTTTCTCCAACTTCCATCACTTGTTTTTACATTCCCATACTATACTATACTCAACTTATCATCTGATTTTGTCTTTGTCCATCAATTATGTCTCTCACACCCCTGTCCAATTTCATTTGCAATCCATGTATTAGAATACTTTTTCTAATTATTCACGTTCATTTGAGCTTTGTTGTACTTGTTTATATTTGCTTTGTTTTATAGATTTGTTTGTTTGATGATCGATTAATTGTCTGAATGTTTTTTTTTTCTTGATATTTTAGATACTGCTCCTGCTCAATGCTCTTTCTTATCCTTTTGTGTCATTCTTTTTTATCCATATAGGACCAGCTGGTCCTAAGGGCGTGGCCGGTAGCCCTGGTCAGCCTGGTATTGGAGGCCCCCCTGGTCTACCTGGTCCCCAGGGTATGAGAGGGCAGAAGGGTGTGGAAGGCCCTCCTGGACCCCCCGGACCACAAGGACCTCCAGGTATTTTAGAGGCATGGTTTTCATATCGTCTCATTAACTCATTTTATTTTATCATTTGATTGATTTATTTTATTTGTTCATGTGTTTATTTATTCTTTTATTTATTCATTCACTTATTATTCATATCCTTATTTGTGTGTTTTTGTATCTGTTTATTTATTATTTTTCATAATGTATTTATTCATTATGTTTGCTTTTATTTATGTATTTCTCTATTTGTTTACTTATATATTTATTTACTTATCTAATTTGTTTTATGTTTGAGACAAAAAATAATATTATTATCAATATGCTATGCTTTCAGTCATCACATATTGTGGTAGATCCTCATTATGTATATCTTATTCTTAAGTATTATATGATATTCATTTGTACATGTATTCAAATATGTTATTCAGAGATTTATTTTCAATAAAATGGCCTGTTGGAGGGTCCAACAAATTGAAGGGGAAAAAAGCGTAATAATACTCATGGCTGAATTCGAAATATGTTTCTAATCTAATATAATGTACAATGTGTTTAATACTTCATAACAAAACAATTTGTATGAATATCTGTTACATTACCAAGAATTTAATTGTTGACTTGTAACTAGTTGCTTGATAAAAAAAACCTTTCGCAAAACTATTTAATAACATTAGTGAAAAAATTATGTAACTTTTTTTATTTTTCACTTTAAAAAATATTATCATAGGAACTCCGATGACTGCGGGATTGGCTTCAACGCAGGTAGGTTGAAATAGGAAAAGAGGGGGTGTTTCACAAAAGCTAAGATCGACTGAAGTTGGATTTGAACTATGGCAGGCTGTTCATGCCACTAGTTCCTCTAACCATTCCTGGCATTGGTTTCTCATGGGACGTACAAATCTACAGAATTACATTTTTTGATTGTTCATTATTGAAGGAAAAAATATTACCTAAAGATCATAATTAAGAGACCAATGGGGAGAGCAACCAGTGACATGAATGGCCTGCCATAGTTCATGTCCAACTTAAGTCGAGCTTAGCCTTTTTTAAACACCCCATATATGCATCGAGTATTGAAATTTTCACTCAATTTGATGCATGTTTAAGAAGTAATTTATGCACACACGTGTAATAAGACAGTATATGGACATTTGTAAAACATCATCATAGCTCTAGAGGTTACCAGCTCACTATCATCAGAAAGATAACAAAGACATGAACAGAACTTGTATTTACTGTAAAGTAAATACACATGCAAATCTGACTTGTGTGTTACGTTTATCTGCAGATAATTAGACCGGTAAAGCACCGAAAGCCTTCCCTGTGCATTTACTAGCAGTAGGCTCGATTATTGTAATGTACTACTATTTAGCTCACCAGATTTACAAATAATAAAGTTGCAGCGTGTTCAGAATGCATGTGCAAGACTTGTGTCTTATTCCTCATATTCCTCATCCCCATATTACACCAGGGGGTTGATTCACTAACTGGGAACGATATCGTTCCTAAGAGCAATTTAATCTCATTTGGGATCGATTTTAGCTGTTAGTGAATCACCCCCCCCCCCCCTGTTACATTGCCGATAAGGCATAAAATCGGATTCAAAATACTGTTGCTAGATTATAAAGCATTGAATGGTCAAGGCCAAATTATTTGTCTGAATTATTATCTTTTAAATCACATAACATGTGAAGTACGCAGGACAAGTTGCTTCTGAAGCAAACTCACACAGAAACAAAAGTTACTCTTGGAAATTGTGCTTTCCCTTGTGCCCTTGAAGTTTTGTTGAAGATGCACTATATACCGGAGATTTTGATTGTTTTTTGTTTGTATTGTGTAACTATAAATAAGGTTTTGTTTTCAAAACAGCGTAGAAGATTATATTAATATAGTAGTTGTGCTATATGAATTGATTAATCATTATTAATAGTAGTAGTAGTAGCACTCATTAATAATATTATTGTTATATCACTCCTACGTATTTTGCTTTCTTTCATCCATTAGCAAATATTTACCTAATAATCAAATTAATAAGAAATAAGAAGGGGAAATTTGCTTCTTTTATGATTATGTAGAATATCATTTCTTGTTTGATTTGTTTTCAGCTTGGTACTTCTACCTCTCCCTTGGCTGCTATACACCTTCAGGCAATGCCAGAAGATCTTTATTCAGGATTAACAAGACTAGGTAGATAATATCATCGTATTGGGCCCCCGGCCCCCCCCCCCCCCCCCCACTCAGGTTTCGAAATGACCGCATGCGTGTTGCCAAAATGTCCGGTAAAGGGGTACTTTTCGTGCGACAAAGTCCGGCCCGAGAATTGTAAAAAAATGGGTGTATTTGACTTTTCACCCGGAGATTTCTTTAAAAAGGGGGTGTTTTTTCTTTTTTTCTCTCATCTCTTTGGACTCCTGAGAAATTATTCCGAATTTAGGGGGGTACATTGAGCATTTTTCCTGATTTAGGGGGGTCTCCAAGGCAGGAAAAGCCCGCGAAAAGCCCGCGAAAGGGGGGTTCGGAAATGTTGGCAGTCCTCAGATAGGGGGTGCTTTCAAAAAGAGGGAACGAGCATATGCGTACCCTAAATAACACTGAGTGGGGGGGGGGGGCGGGATTGGGCCTCACTATGAACATGACGGACAAAGAAAGAGGACAAAATACACAGTTCCTCATTCTACCCTCAACAATTGCTGTGGTAGACAAAGGAACATATGCATGTGACTCCTGTTCTACACATTTTTACATAATAGCAGTGAAGGGATGTTCCTTTGTCTATCACAGCAATTGTTGAGGGTACAATGAGGAACTGTATATGTTGCCCTCTTTCTTTGTCATGCTCGTGGTGCCTATTCCTCATTGTTTCGTTAAGGGCAAGTACACTCCAAAAATAACTTACTTTCAATAGAAGCAGAAAAATCAGACGAACCATTCAAAAAAAGTTTGAACAAAATGTGATAACTAATAGGAAAGTTATGAATTTTTGATGACGTGAAAAACTCTGAAAATCACAAGACAAATTGCAAACTCACTCATGAGTCTGTGACGTCATTGCCTCACTATTCACTAACTGTTTTCTTTATATTGATAATATAAACTTCCTATTTTCCCCTAAGAATCTTATTTCTTCACACTAGTAATAGTATCCACGTTAGTGTGATGAATATTTGTGTGTGTGGATGCACTAATATGGAGTAATTATTTTCAGTTAAATCATGAAAATGTGAAATTTGATTAAATATTCATAAAAGTTCATAAAAGATTTTGTGGAATGTCATGCACGCAATATAGTACAAAACATATAACCTTGACAAAGGCATGGGGAAATCAAGTTTTGGGGTAAAAAGGGAAATTTATGGGAGTAAAATATATAAAAGCAATTGATACATAGTGAGGACATGAAGTCACAAACTAAATTGGCAATTTGTGTAGTGATTTCCATTGTTCCATGGTTTTACATACTTTTTCAAAAAATCATAACTTTCTTGTTATTTATTCGATTATGCTCAAACTTTTTTTGATTGGTTTCTCTGATTGCTTCTATTGTAAGTCATTTGTGGAGTGGACTTGCCCTTTCATGTAATCCTGAGGCTAATTCAAGTCTTGAGGGAATGGAGAGGGGGGAGGGCGGTACCCCCACCCCCCCCCCCTTCCAACCCGGTCAATCAAAGAGCCTAGGTAGCACTGTGTGATTCTTGAATCTTACATTTCCGGAAATTTCCTGCGCAAAAATAATGTCGGATTAAAAAACGCCCCATCACTTACAAACCTACATTGGATCCGCTTTTGTTATTGCACCGCAGCGAATTGTATCTAAAAAAACATTTCATGTATGCCTCTTCCGTTCTGAACTGAATAAACAACATGTATACATGTATAGTATCCAGTTTACGTTGAAATTATAATACTTAGCAGAAAATTAATTATCTTAACGAGAACTGGATCTCCAAGATAAGCAAAATCTTGATGCCTTACGAGCCTTGACAAATTAAATACATGTACATACTTTATAGCGATAACATGCCATCACAACGTAATCATTTTATCATTTTACAGATGAGTATGGTCACTTGAACTCTTGGTTTATTAGCACGACAACAGGAGGGTTTTCACTCGGTCGCGATGGCAACGTAACGGTACTCTCTCGTGGCCATTACTATGTCTACAGCAGTGTGAGTATAATATTGATAGGTTTCCTTTAGTTGTCTTCTAGTCTATTCGCTCTCTTTGCCAAGGCTGACCATGGGGAGAAACTTTGAGAATTAATTCCACTTCTCTTTTAATTGGTATGTACTGCTTCCATTGCTTCCAGTGCTGAGATAATAAAAAAAAACAAAAAACAAAAGAACAAGAAATACATTCACGGTACGTTCCCTAAAGAAGAGACCATATTATCTCATGATTCTCATCTTAGCCGAAAATTGAAAAGAATGCCAGAAATAGGATGATCTATTGCAACATAGGATGTCAGTATAGTCCCTGTAAAGATATATAACTGGTCTAAATACTTATCTTTTCAAAAATTGCTTTCAATGTAGATCCACATCAGTTTTCTAAGTTGTCTAATATGATTTGCATATTTGCATATTCTTACTTTTCTTTTGCGCCTTTTTAATAGTCATTTGGAGTTTACTTTATATTGTTATACTACTAATATCAACAGTGGCGTAATGAGCAAAAACGTTTGGGGGGGCTGACAAAAAAAAAATCCGAATCACCCCACTCTAACATGCAGGCCCCGCTGAACATTTCTCAAAGTGGGGTCTAGAGACAAAGCCCCGGCGGGGTTCAAGGGGCGAAGCCCCCGAAGCTCAAGGGTATGGGCATCAGTGGCGGATCCAGGAATTTCTTACGGGGGGGGGGGCACAAAATGGCATGAGGTGAAATATATGTAAAACGATGAAGCGACAAAACGAGGCTTTAGGGGGTGGGTCTGGGAGGGGGTTCTGTCCCCCTCTCAGAGTAAGAAGCATTTGCAATTTTAGAACCAAATAAGACGCATTTTCAGGCACTTCCTGGAGTAATATGACGTAAAATTGCTTTCTCCTACCCCTTCCAAGAGTAAGGATATTTTGCAATTTGAGAACCACATTTGGCGCATTAATGTCCACCGGCACTTCATGAAAAAAGAGGCCCTCTGATTGGTTAGAAGTTAGAGAAAAAGGATCTGTCACGTCGTGACACGTTGTATAAATTCTGCTTTGATGCCGCACACAATACACAAAGACGGTGGTCCGGTACTTCACCAGTAGTACTTGCAAAAATCATCTCGAGTGTATAAACTGTGTCGTTATCGGGGTCGTTGCTAGATCTTTTTCAGTGGGGGAGGGGGGTGTAGAGGCCGACGATTACCGACAAAACGAGCCATCAATATTATTACGGACAAATATAAAAATGCCAATGTCCAAATGTCTACAAATTTAACCCTATAAACCCGGGGCCAGGAACTAAGTTATTTTTCAGTGTTTCCCCTCCCGCGCGAAGCGCGGAAGTTTTGACACTTCATTAAATTATTAGAGAAACAAGACGATTCATTGTACCGGTCCCGACTCTTAATCCTTGTCTGAATTCAATTCCCCCTCCCTCGCTTAGCGCGGAAGCTTTGACGTTTCAATACATTATTACTCTTAATCCTTGTCTGAATTCATTTTCGCTCATCCCGCGCGAGGCGCTGAAGCTTTCACGTTTCATTAAATTATTAGAGAAAGAAGACGATTCGTAGTATCGTGTTCTTGTCTGAATTCAGTCCCCCCCCCCCCCCCTTCCGCGCGACGCGCGGAAGCCTTGACACTTCATTAAACTATTATAGAAAGAATTAGACGATTCATTGTACCGGTCTCGACTCTTAATCCTTGTCTGAATTCAGTCCCCCTCCCCCGCCCGCGCGAAATGTGGAAGCTTTGACGTTTCAATAAATTTCTAGAGAAAGAAGATGATTCATTGTACGTTGAACCGTTCTCGACTCTTAATCCTTGTCTGATTTCCGTTCCCCCCCCCCCCCTTACACGAAAAGCGCGGAAGCTTTGACGTTTCAATAAATTATTACTATTAATCCTTGTCTGAAATCATTTTCGCCCATCCCGCGCCAAACGCAGAAGCTTTCAAGTTTCATTAAATTATTAGACAAAGAAGACGAATCGTTTTATTGTGTCTTTTTCTGAAATCAGTCCCCCCCCCCCCCCTCCCACGCGAAGCGCGGAAGCTTTGTCGTTTCATTTAATTATTACTCTTAATCCTTGTCTGAATTCATTTTCGCGTTTCATTAATTATTAGAGAAAGATTAAGACGATTCATTGTACCGTTCTCGACTCTTAATCCTAGTTTGAAATTAGTTCCCCCCCCCCTCCCGTGCGAAGCGCTGAAGCTTTGCAATTTCCTTAAAGGTAAAGACCAGTATTGGCAACGCCCCAATTTCAAAAAATGAAATGGAAGCTCTCATTACCAATCATGTGAAAGAATATGTTTTGACTAATACATGATGATAAAAAATTTGCCGGAAAACCGCCTACTAATTCATATATTTGGTAAATTTATTTCTCTCATGGTCTGGTGAGAGAGATAGGGTAGTCCCATATACATCTTTCTGTGTATAGTGCTTGTAACTTTACGAAGAATGGGCCAAATTTCTTATCATTTTGATGATTCCAGAACCTTGCAGATGCTAGATGCTAGATGATCAACCTTTTCTGATCGATTCCACAACGTTTCTTTCACAATGCAATCGCATGACCATTACTGGTCTTTACCTTTAAGTTATTAAAGAAAGAAGACGATTCGTTGTACCGTTCTCTACTCTTAATCTTCTCTGAATTCAATATCCCCCATGATACATGATGTGTATGGAACGCTCGTTCGCAAATCTGTGCATGCTCAGCCCCCGCCCCCCCCCCCCCCCCCCCCCCACTCCGGGGTAGGAATGACCGCATGCGTGTTACCAAAATTTCCGGTAAAGGGTACTTTTCGTGCGACAGAGTCCGGCCCGAGAATTGTAAAAAAAAAAGAGGTGTATTTGACTTTTCACCCGGAGATTTCCTTAAAAAAAGGGGTGTATTTTCTTCTTTTTTTCTCTCATCTCTTTGGACTCCTGAGAAATTATTCCGAATTTAGGGGGGTACATTGAGCATTTTTCCAGATTTAAGGGGTCTTCAAGGCAGGAAAAGTCTGCGAAAAGCCCGCGAAAGGGGGGTTTAGAAATGTTGGTAGTCCTCAGATAGGGGGTGCTTTCAAAAAGAGGGAACAAGCATATGCGTACCCTAAATAACACTGAGTGGGGGGGGGGGGGGCCGGGGCTCAGCCCGAGTGGTGGGTAGCATGTTATCTCCCCGCAGTGCTTTGCTCAGTAGCTTCTGAAAAGGAATTAGTGTTACTGTTAGAGGCCACTCTAAGGCCCTTAGTGACTATAAACAAAACATATGCTCTTCCTGGCTATTTGGGAATGGGTCAGTTTGCCAGAAATAATGGAGAAACTAGCATTTTGTTGAAAATCATGTGATATCACGAACATTTATACATCACTTGTGAAAATAAGTCATGGTTCAATTTTATTTTTTTTTTTTTTTTTTTTGGGGGGGGGGGGGGGGCTGGCGCCCCCTAGCCCCCCCCCCCCCCCCAGTACGCCAGTGAATATCAATGAAACATTTTTCATGTGTTTGTAGGTGCTGTTCTACGATAAGTCTGCTTTTTACGGTGCTTCAACGAATATCAACGGTGTCCCTTTCCTTAAATGCATGGGTGTAAGAGGTTCTGCTTTTGCAAGGTAAGAAATTGTAGAGGTGTCGTATTCGAATGATTAAAGCACTTGACTTGAAATAGAAATGGTCTTGATTTTGATTGCCGATACGGCACTAACGTCATTTAGCAATGCATTAATCTACCATTGCCACTTCATTTTCAGGAGTGAAATGGGGACCTGGTAAAGTTACGAAATAATTTGTGTTTAGTAAATGTCATATGCCCTCACGGTGACCATAATGGTGGGAATACTCCCCAAGGAGTGGAGATGGTGCACATTGTGTGTGAATGATTCCGATCATCCGGGTAATAATATATTTAAGCGCTTAGAGACGGTTTTTCGTATCAAGCGCTCTTATCAATCTAGATAGGCTAAGTATAATTTAGTAAATTCATTTAGACCTATTAATATAGTTTTAAAGTATCAATGGTGAAATGATATATCAGCTTTCTGTTAAAATCAACCTCTGTAGTTTAATATATTGTGCGAATGTGTGTTTGTTTATTTTAAAAAAAAAATGTAAACCTACACTGTCGCTCATAAAGGTGGAATATTTTAGTTTTACCCCAATTTATGGAATTATTTTAAAAATTATTTACAAATAATAGATCTAGATAATAGTATACATTCTCAGATTTATTAAATAATAAATTGCCAATGTGTGTTTTGCGGGACTGCTAAAGCATGTGTATGCTACTATGCTTATTAAATAGGGGACCTACGCCCTCAAGTCATAAATGAAAGTAATGAGGATTAATGCCCCACAAAAGGGCACTAATATAGCAGATCGACACGGTTTTGATCTTGGGGCCTCACAGCATACACATGCTTTAGCAGTCACGCAAAACATACATTGGCAATTTATTATTCAATAAAATCTGAGAATATATACTATTATCTAGATCTATTATTTTAAAATTATTTTTAAAATATTTCCATAAATTGGGATAAAAAAAAAAAATCCACCTTTATGAGCGGCAGTGTATTTAATTGATTTTTATCTCTATCTTTAAAGATGATTTTTTTTCTTCTAATAATCAAATTATGCATATGATAAATGTGATTGAGCAAGATTGTGGGAATAACGGAATATTTCATATTAAAACGAAGTCATATTTTCCTTTTTAATCATTCACCAATCCATCAGGAGCAATGCTCATGGCTGAAAATAATTCAAAAAATATAATATGAAATTTGTAGGCCTGTGGATTTTTTTTACATTGGCCTGAAGAATAATCTCAATTATAGCAAAATATTAACCCCCCCCCCCTCCTCCTCCTCCTCTCTCTCTCTCTCTCTCTCTCTCTCTCTCTCTCTCTCTCTCTCTCTCTCTCTCTCTTTCTTTCTCCTTCTCATTTTAGATTCGGATCGTGCAAGTCCAGTGGCGTGATGCTTTTGGAGGCAGGTGATCACGTGGGTGTGGTTTCGTCATACCCCTCACGAACAGTGGACATGCGTCCCGACTCGACATACTTCGGTTTCATCAAGCTAACGTAGCATGTTCATTCGGAATACAGAACGGGCCAGAAACCAGCGACAGATCCAGGGGCATCTGGGGCACGTGCCCCCCCCCCCCTCCCCCCGCCCACAACACATCAAACGTGCCGACGATATTTGTTGTTGTTTGTTTGTTACGGACTCAGATTTGTGTGCCCTCTCGCGTGCTGTATTCACCCCCCCCCCCCCCCTCCCACCCAACCAACGAATCCTGGACCCGCCACTGTTAACAATATTTATCTAACATCATTATCCCATTTTATTTAGCGGGTAAAAGAGCTTTATTCTTTTTGTATTTATCTTTTTCCACATATTTATGTAACATTTCGTTAACTATCAGGATTTTCCCGTTATTTAGGTGTAGGTTGACTTTGAATAACTTCATATTAGTCCCCGTGGTTAGTCATTTTTTGTATGACAAAAGGAAAAAGAGAAGGCGAAAGATTGTGATGCGATGAAAATCAATATAATGAAGATTATAATTATGCCCTAATCATATTTGTTCAGTTCCAGATTCAAATTTGTTTTAATTTCAGCATATCCTTGTTCAGTTATATGTAATGTATATATTCGAAATTGCGAATTAGAGCTCGTGCGAAACTGATTTGTAAAGGCTTTTAAACACCAAACAGTATTTTGTACAGATGTAGGCTACATGTAGGTTTAATAATCTTGGACACTACTTCATGCGATCCTTGGGTATGAAGAAGAAAAAAGGAAGAGTCTTGGCGAGAGATTACAAGGTTTTGTTGTTTCCCTTGTAGTATTCAACAGTCTTAAACGGAGGAAATGTATATTGTAGTAAAATAACTGAGAAACCTGAATGCGTATCATACATTTTCTTGTATGAATGAAATCTGTAAATAAATAGACTTGTAAATAACATGTACATTAAGCTTGGTTAACTGGATTTGAGTTTCAGCGAAACAAAGTGTATTCACTTTTTGTACTGGTTGTGTAAAATGCTTATTGTTTGTTGCTGTTTACAAATGAACCAATTATGAAAATGACCAAGCAAAATAGTATTTACAATTACACCATTACTACTCTTGTCTTTATTTATGTTGGTTCCGAATCACCACTTTACAATTTATCGTTTTAGACCAATATGTACTTAAAAACCGTATCAAAAATCGACGTTGAAACTTGACACAACTTCTGACAGTATAGCCTTAGACCATTTGAACTGAATATTGAAGAAATTAGTTCTCTCTCTTATCCTTTTCTCCTTCTTCTTCTTTTACATTATTTTCTTCTTCTTCTTGTTTAAAATAAGGCAATGCCGGGAAATCGACTACAATTTATACTACCCATCAAAGTTTAAAGAGCTGTTACATATTATATAAATATATTTGTTCGATATTATTATACTTACGTTAACTTGTTTTACCTATCGCTTTGTGTACATACGTTGTATTAAAAAGGGCATTTTTAGAAACATATAACTTTAGTGTACTCGAAGTTGTTATTACCTGTGTTCAGGGACGGCGATTTCTTTTCATGACCCGGGGGAACGAAAAGGGACCAGTGGCTCAATGAGCAAAATCGTTGAGGGGGGGGGGGGGCATCACCATCACCATCACTCTAGGCTTCTGAATAAGCATGTTTTTGCCTGACTATAAATTTCGGAATTAGCCGTTTTCCAATAAAAGCATAAACAATTATAATTTACAAAAAAAGGTGAGGACAAATCCCGGAAAATCATGTAATAGTAGGGTGATCATGTACTAATAGGACATTAATTGTATCGGCCTCAAAATACTGGAACCCCGGCCGCGTCATATCAAAAGACGTTAAAAGACGGGAGTTGCTGCTACCTTGTTTGGCGTTCAACAATAAGGGATAGAGCAACGTCGATCTGGCGCTGCTCAGTGGCTGCCGGGCTCACGATCAATTGGGAAAAAAAAAAACCTTTTTTCGGTTTAACTTAATGCAATTTGGAGTGGACTTTAAAAGATTATTATTATTATTATTATTATTATTATTATTATTATTATTATTATTATTAGAATTAGAATTAGAATTAGGATTAGGTAATCTCCATCATGTATTACCTTCAGAAAGGTCTTAAAAACACATCTTTTTTGCAGTTTGTAGTTGTAAGACTACAAACTCTTATTATATGCATTTATGCATTTTTTAATTTTTATTAGCTGTAAGCGCTTTGGGCCAAATGTGGGAAAAGCGCAGTATAAGTAATAATAATACTACTAATAATGATTTCAGCAACATATTTTGTATATCACTGGCATTGAATGAGAAATAAACCACGTTTGAATTTTATTGGGGGGGGGGGGGGCTGCAACTGTCCCCAAGCCCCCCATCAGTACGCCAGTGTGAGGTACGTGGAAGCATAGTGAGAGGGGCGAAGGTGACGGAAGTGAATACCCTCTCACGCTTTTGAAGTCTTGTTGTATAACAAAATTACATTCCTTAGCTAAAGTTAGTATAAAACCAAACAATATACCTTTTTTACCTTTTTTTTTATTCTCCCGTAATTAGTGTGCAGTCCGAAGGGTTGTAAATATTTCAGTTTAGTAGGTACATTTTAGTCAGTAGGGAGCTGGGCCATAATTGGGTAGAAAAGGTAGAAAAGGAAAGGTTAACAAAATATAATAAGATGGATATTTTATAAAAAGAGATACAAAATGCTAGGAATTCGGTGTTGTGATGGAGGATATGAATGATCGCGGGGATGGACAATCAACAGTAGACTGACAATATCATAGTAGAGGGATTTGATCATTCGTGGTTCCGAAGAAAAGTGTGGTGGGGAGCATAATAATATAATTCACTTATGGACCCCCCCCCCCCCCTAAAGATCGTACATTCTGTATAGGTTGTCATATTTTTACCGTGGTGGCGCTATATCCAAATGAACACAGCTAGTTTTGAGTATAGATAATAGAGATCTACAGAAAATATTTCTCAAAATATACCCAATGACATAGATTCACATTAATCAATCATAACGCCGATGATATTCTACATTGCAATCAAGTATACCAATCTCTTTCCAAATTTAAGCTTTATACTATTCATTTCTTTTCTCTTACCACATCTCTTCGTCTCTCTCCCTCATCCTCCTCCTTTACCCCTCTCTTTCTCTCTCTCTCTCTCTCTTCCTCCTCCTTTCCCTCTTCTTTTTCCGGTCTCTCTCTCTCTTCTTTTATATCTTTCTCTATGACTCTATCTCTCTATTAATAATCATTATTTTCCACATATTCATAGAAAATAGTAAAATGTTGATGAAATAAAAATATACGTGTCATTTTTTGGTCAAAATATATTAAAATCTTTATTTTCTTTACTTTTCCATACAAAATAGCGAATCTGATTAAAGTGGTTGGCCCGTCCAGAGTACTTGTTTAAAATTTTAAAAATAAACATGTTAAAAGAGAAATTCCTAAATTAGTCCTTAAGGATTTGCGGAGCACAACTACACAGATGGTGTTGATCTTGTGGGATTAATTTCTAATTAAGATGATACCTACAATTTTGCACTCCAGCAAAGCATAGAGAGTCAATGCTAATGCATATTGGACCTCTAGAGCTGCACTACGTGCTAATAGGCTGCTATTGCACACATGAATAGTCAATACACAAATAACACACAAGTGCACACAATGATGCTGATGTGGCTGTAAGCAAGTTTGACAGTAGACTCACGATTTGAATTTTCAAATTATTCTTTCTAACATTGGTAAGTTGAAAAAAAAATGGATTTTACTGCTATTTAGGTGTCATCAATTGTCACTAAATTACTGATTTTTAGTGAAATCAGTTGAGTTTTGTACAGTAGTGTTTTAAATATTGAGAATCAATAGAACAGGTTTTAATACACAGCCAGGATAGTTAATGCAGCAACATGTATGTATGCAATTTTGCAGCTTATTTATACAAATAATTTCTCTTTATTTTCCTTTTTTAAAATAAATAATCACCGTTTGCACAAAAACTTAATAAAAGGAATGATCTTAGAATTTCAGGTTAATACCATTCAAACACTTTCAACCATAAGATGTTCAATATCTTGGAGAGAGAAACTGATCAAATTGAGGGTATGTAATATAAAAGTAGGTGAAAGTAACATGGTTCAGATTTCCCTTCCATCATGGCACCTAACTCATTGTGACTTGAGGTTTCACTTCATCACTCATCTTAAAGGGAAAGTCCACCCCCAAAATAAGTTTGTTTCGATAGAGGCAGAATAATAAGAAAATCAGGCGAGTGAAAGTTTGAGCAAATTCTGAATGAAAATAAGAAAGTTATGAATTATTGAAGTTGTGATCAATCAAATACAAATTGGCAACTCTGTGACTTATTATACGAGCTCTCCTTCATTTGCTTTGTGCATAATATTCCATAAAATCATGTTTTCTTCGTTATTGATGACGGAATATATATTTGTTCCTTGCAGGGGGAGTATAGAAACATATTTGCAATTATTATATTTAGGGTGCATGTATGGTTGAAATTTTTCTTGAGGGAAAATGAAAATTTTAGATTTTTTTAGTACTGAGCAAATGGAAGTTGAGCTCGCATGATACGTCATAGAGTTGCCAATTTGTGTTTGATTGATCACAACTTTAAAAATCCTAACTTCCTTATTTTTAATCGGAATTTGCTCAAACTTTCACTGACTTGTTTCTCTTATTTTTCTACTCCTATTAAAACTAACTTAATTTCAGGGTGGACTTCCCCTTTAACACTTAACATTAGATGTTTGCCAAAGAGGGCAGCCATTTGGGAGAGCACAACCAGAAATTGTTCCAATGACAATATCTTTGAAAAGAAAATGAGGCATGCTAACTGCTTAGCTTAGTTTGTAGTGATGTGGCAGATAACTCAAACACTAAATACATGTACATGTATTAAAAAGACTAAAACATTTAACCCTCTACACATAAAGTCATGAATTCATACATGAAGAAGAGGATGTGAGGGAAATACATTACATTTATAATATCAAGTAGGAATTGAAGACATAGAAGATAAATCATTTTATTCACCAGTCTTGTGTTTGTGAAAACTCATCATCATCATCAGCAGCACCACCGTGCTCAACATGTACATGTATACCATCACTAGACTGTGCAATAGAGTCTATACACTTTGTTCCTGCTAACTGATTTAAAGGTGGCATGATCTCTGACCTTTGACCTTTGCTATCTCTGACCTTCAAACAACCTTGAGAACCCATTGTGAAAGCTACGTCTTGTGACAAGTCCTCTGATGGTGTGACATTTGACCATTGACCCTTGCTATCTCTGACCTTCAGACAACCTTGAGAACCCATTGTGAAAGCTACATCTTGTGACAAGTCCTCTGACGATGTGACATTTGACCTATGACCCTTGAGATCTCTGACCTTCAAACAACCTTGAGAACCCATTGTGAAAGCTACATCTTGTGACAAGTCTTCTGATGTGATATTGGACCTATGACCCTTCAAACAACCTTGAGAACCCATTGTGAAAGCTACATCTTGTGACAAGTCCTCTGACGATGTGACATTTGTCCTTCGACTCTTGTGATCTCTGACCTTCAGACAACCTTGAGAACCCATTGTGAAAGCTACATCTTGTAATGAGTCCTCTGACGATGTGACATTTGACCTATGACCCTCGTGATCTCTGACCTTCCGACAACCTTGAGAACCCATTGTGAAAGCTACATCTTGTGACAAGTCTTCTAATGATGTGACATTTGACCTATGACCCTTAGGATCTCTGACCTTCAGAAAACCTTGAGAACCCATTATGGACGCTACATCTTGTGACAAGTCCTCTGATGATGTGACATTTGACCTTTGACTTTTGGAATCTCTGACCTTCAAACAACCTTGAGAACCCATTGTGGACGCTACATCTTGTGACAAGTCCTCTGAGGGTGTGACATGCAACCTTTGACTCTTGGAATCTCTGACCTTCAGACAACCTTGAGAACCCATTGTGAAAGCTACATCTTGTAATGAGTCCTCTGATGTGATATTTGATCGCCGACTCTTGCTATCTCTAACCTTCAGGCAACCTTGAGAACCCATTGTAAAGGCTACATCTTCATTTGAGTCTTTAAGTAATGGTGTTGAAGATTCATGAATACCATCTTGTGAGGAACATAGTTCAGAATTAACAGCACCAATCTCCTGCGTATCATGGCTGTCATTGTCAACACATCTTGATTGTTTCACTTCCAAACATCCCTGAGTACCTATAGTAAATGAGATATCTCCTGATGCTTCATTGATTCTGGATTCATAAAGCTCTTGTGAAAAGTTTTCAGTAACTCTGGGGGTATCCTGAATATTCTGGGAATGCGGAGAGTCTGGAACATCATCTGATTTGGCAGACAGTTCAGAATTAGCCATAAGAGTATTGAAGCACCTCTGGGTATTACTGATATCAGGGCCAATGTGTCTCTTTGTGTTTGATCGCTTGATCTTCAAGCATCCTTGAGACCCCATGGTAAAAGTGACATCTTCAGACTGTTCCCTCTGAACAAAGTCACAATACACTGATGCATTGGGTCTTTCAGATTTAGGAATATCCTGAGACCTCTGAAAGTCGTTGTGAGATTTCATGCCCTCGGTCGAAAAGACTTTTACAAATTTATTGGCATCTCGTCTGGAGCTGGAATATGTTGAATCTGAAATATCATCAGACTTAGTGGACACCATGTCTAGAAGATCATCAGATTGTTCTGCAACAGTCTTTAAGCACTCCTTGGTATCAAAAGTATCATAGTCAACATCTTGTCTCGTCTTTGATCCTTTCACCTTCAAGCAACCCTGCGTTCCCATCGTGAAAGTCATATCTTCTGCTTCTTCATCCTCACTGGAGATTCGGGGAATATCCTGAGAAATCTGAAACAGTTCATTGGAGTTCAAATCTTGTGAAGACAAAGGGATGTCTGTTTCTCTGGTGTCGTGCGGTGGAGTTGGTTCGTATTCATCAATCTTAGATGCCCAGGTTAAATGGGGTTCGCTTACATTAAAATGAGTCCTAGATATTGCACTTGAAGATTCTGCTTCGTTATTCTGTCGACTCTTGAAAGATGTTGTGTTTTCCAGTGTTCGTTGTTTTGGGAGCTCTGATACAGATCTCTTATTCCTGGCTTTGCTTGTCGGCTTGGAAATACCTCCTGATGACGAAGAAGCTTTAGAAGCAGCATTTTCTTTGCCCATTGCTGGAAAACAATACAAAGGCACACAAAAATTTACTTTTGTTATCATCATTGACAAAGGACACAATTTCCATTGAAATTTGATTAGATTGCGGGTCTCTTCCTTAACATTTTACTTGAGTTGTCAGCTGGGGTCGTCAGCTGGGGTCGTCAGCTGGGCAGCCTGGGCTGGTTAGACGAAAACGTAGGTTATCAAATTCAGCTTTTGGAGCTTACACAGTGAATTTACATGAACAAAAATGACAATATATTTCTTAGTAGCTGGATTTGACAACCAACGTAAAAAAAAAATTGTTAAAACAACAAAAAAAACAGGATTTTTACTTTGGTTGGCAGGATTTCACATGGGCTACTATTTTGATCCCTACATTAATGGAATTATATTTGAATCCATTCATCCTAACTCTTGAGTCCAAAAAAAAAAATCAAGATTATTCAAAAGAGAATTGAGACATATATGTATAACTATAATTTTGTCCACGAGGGCTTAAAAACAAATAGCTGTGCATGACCAGGGTGCCTGAGGAGTGGGCATGCAAAAAGTAGCTGTGTGCAATAAATGTCTTACACAGATTTACATATCTTTGTATTAAACTATACAAACTACAAAGCACAGTACCATGGCATACATACATGTATAAACAAGCCTTAAAGATAAAGTTGAGTTCTGGTCATGCGATTGCATTGTGAAAGAAACGTTGTGGAATCGATCAGAAAAAAGTTGATCATCTGCATATACATGTAAGTATTGGTGTGTACTGCTAGGTTCTGTAATTAAAATGATAAGAAATTTGGCCCAGTCTTGGTAAAGTTACAAGCACTATACACAAAAAGATCTATATGGGACTAGACGAACATGTGACATTAAAATCTGTCCCAATTTTTAAGTTGTAATTGTTGTTATACTGTATGTCATATTTAGAATATGAAAGCATTTGAAGAGCCATGCTTTTAAGGGAACATTTTTTATCTGATGTTCTTCCACACTTTCATAATACAATGATAACCCTCACAAATTATTGTTCACCTCTTCCCAGGACTCAACCTTCTGTACTTTTCTGTGTGTTATGAAATTCAGATGTACATCACACTGATCACACAATACTAATTTATATTTGCTGCAGGAGTTTCTTGAGGCAGTAAACTATGTCATGTACAGATTAGGTACCGTATTTTGTAATGCACAGGACAAGTCGGTGGAACGGAAGGAACGGAAGTTGGATTTGAGCTTAAGCTGCGCCGTGAAATGGTTTCTTATTTCTCAAATTCTTTTCATGTGCTAGAGATCATGAATTGTACGTATGGTATCGTATATTCAATGTGCAAAATACACATGTCGAAGTTCAATGTAAGCAGGACTGCACTACTTGTAGTTACTTGCTCCCTCTATATATTAGCCAACAATACCTAAGCGGTATCCATTGATCCCCCATGATCCCCTTTTTCTTTTGTTAATTGAGAGCTGATTTGATGAGATAACCACCTGCCAGTGACCATGAAGGGAGGTCTAATCCTTCCTGGCTAAACTAGTGCAGATCTAGGCCTTGACATCTACCATGTGCATAAATATGACAGATAAAAGCAGCAGCCAGCATCTAGGGATGACATCCATACCTGATTTTGGAGCAAAGAAGTGTTTGATGTCTGTTTGTTTGGTTCCTGCTTTGACTGGTTGAGATGAGAGGATGAGATCGGAGATGTTTGTGATTGGTCTTAACAATCTCTGCCTCTTTGCTGCTGGTGTCTGTATCGGGAAAGAGAAGAAAGTGTTCACATTAATTAAACATTGAGAGAATTTGACATTTTACAGTGAAGTTGTTGATAGCAACATACCAGAATATTGTAAATTTCTCACTCTCCTCAGGCTGAAAATGGAAGAAATGAAAAGTAACAGATTTATTCATATTCCAGACCAAATAATATTCTAGTATGTAACTTTGAAATGTAATACGGTTTTCTTAAATTCATGATCTTAACAAGGACTTTTTTTTTACTGTAGCCTATTTTAAGAATGCTTTATTTGGCTTCATTTTCTTCATCCGGTGGCCCACTCAAAGGCCGTCAAACTCTCTAGTTTTGACAATAACTTGCTCTGGTTTAAGTCAAAACACATTACAAAACTCAGACCTCCAAGTTCTCTGTGTAATTTACATCATGATCTACATCTAAACAACTCAAAAGACGTATTTGAGTCATCTGTATGAATTTAAAAGGTTAATTAACTTACTTGTTCCTTCTTTTCTGCGGTACTCAGCCAAACATCACATTGTTCTTGTTGGTGAAGAACTGGCCGTTGCTTTCTTTTCCCCATTTTCCAATGGTCGTGATGTTGAAGTTCCAAATTTAGAAACCTTCCCTGTAGCTGTTCATTCAAATCTGTATTTAATGAGAACGGTGTGTGAAAAATCAGCGATCCAAGAATACGGATCGTTCGCATAAACAAGGATTGTCTTCGTAAACTTGGACAGACTCGTCTTAAAAAATAAGGATCATCCGCATTTTCGCAGACATTGCATTTTTTCAGATACGGGCGTTTGCGATGCAAAAAAACGGATTCTGCAATGATTTTTTTTGATGCATTTTACAATGACTTTGTACGGAGACTTTGAGCGATAAATCCTCGGGAACCCCAAAAAGGAAATGGTGAACTGGGGTTATTTTCGCAATTCTTCACATATTTTAGTCAAAACATATTCTTTCACATGATTGGTAATAAGAGCTTCCATTTCATTTTTTGAGAGGGGGGCGTTTCCCAAACTGGTCTTTACCTTTAACACTAACAGATCTTTCTTGTGCACACTCCAGCAAAGCATAGAGTCAATGCTAATGCGTATTGACATTTAGCACTGCATACTTGCTGAAAGGCAGGTATAATAGTACACAAATACACACACCACATATTGCATAGACTGCACACATTAGAACCGATGTGGCTGATTGGCAAATTTGACACTAGGTCTGCTATCACTAGACTTAACTTAGACCTACATTTTGAATTTTTAAACTATTCTTTTTATTTAGATTTTAACATCAGTTATGAGAGTACATTGACGTAGACTCTAGAATCTAGATCTAGTCTAGAACTAGATCTAAAGTCTAGAACAGTTAGATCTAATTCTAGATCTAGTTTAAAAAATTGTATTTTACTGCTATTTTAATTCTAGAATCTAGGTCTAGGTCTAGGTCTAGGTGTCATCAATTGTCACTAAAAAAGTACAGATTTTTAGTGAAATCAGTTGAGTTTTGTTGTTGTAGACTAGACCTAGGCCTACTTGTCAGTGATGTTTGAAATGTTGAGAATCAATAAAACAGCTTTTAATACAGTAAATACACAGCCAGGATAGTAATGCACCTATGTGTGATTGTGCAATTGTGCGTGCATGGAGCTTCAAATTGGGGTGCGAGAGCGAGTTCTTGTTTAGACCTATTCCAAACACAGAGATAAATGCGAGTGTGAGTTTTTGTTTATTCCAAACACAGAGATGTACGAGTGGGACCAAGCTTAAATTTCAGGAGTAAAGTCATGACGATTTTCATCAAAAATATCATTATCCTATAGATCTACATCAAGGAACATAATTCACTGTTACTCCCTGAATTCTCCTCCCTCCCCTCAATTAACCAGTCGGCGTCGTGTATTTACAAAATGACAACTCAGGAAAGGAAACGCAAACTTACACTTTTTCGATGGCAAGAGAGTTTCTTGAAATTCCCGCGTCTACTGTAGCGCCATCTTGTGTTTCGTATGTCGTGTCGCGATCGCTCAACAAAACGAGAAGTAACTCCTTTTATTTTCACTTCAGATAAGTTCGTTCACCTCCGATAATGTATTGCCCCTAGCTGAGAGACACTCGTTTTATTTAAACAAGTAAAATTTGCCTTTTACCCTCCTGATAAGTGTTCTTTCTATCTCTGATGAGCGCCCCTATCACCTCTAATGACTGCCCCCTTTTATTTTGAAACGTGACGTGTTTTTCTTTCTCATAATGCCCCTCTTGTAATTAAATGCCCCTATAAAAAATCTGATGGGTGCCCCTCTTCCGTCGACAAATGCCCATTTTCCATTCTCAAAAGTGCCTATTTTCATCTCTGGTGAGTGCCCCATTTCAGGAATAAGGAGTGCCCCATTTTCACCTCTGATAATCATACATCGATATTGTGTGTAAGGAAGTATTACGAAGTAGTGGTAGAGTAATAAAGCAACCTTCAAGGCTTGACTTATAAATAAATGTAGTTATTATCAATATTTTGTATGTACATGTATATTACTTTCAACAGTTTCATGTAGCACTTTTAAATTGTAATAATTAGGTTAGTTAGTATACTATTTATCTATTAAGAAGAAATTAATAAGTACACATTGGGTTTTTCTGATTTTATATGACATGTAGACTTTGATATATTTACATTTTTACCCTCATACTCCGGAAGGCGGTCGAAAGCATCAATGATATCAACTAAACTCAACTCAAGATTGAATTTTTTAATTTTCCATATAAAGAAAATTCTGAAGTTATTTTCCATTGGGGTTCTAAACAATTTAAACATATGCATAATTACGATATGGTAAATGGAGAGCAAGAAAGATACATGTGGATCCTCCCCCTCCCTACGTACTCACTTGTTTAAAGATGTATTCTCTCTCTCTCTCTGTATCTCTCTCTCTCTCTCTCACTCCCCCTCCCTGCCCTTCTCTCCGCCTCCTCCCTATTTAGGCATCTCCCATGAATGTGCCCCCCCCCCCTCCCGATCTCTCCATCAGGCCATCAATCTCTCACGTATCCCCCCCCCCCTTTTTTTGGATATCCTTCCTACTTATTCGTTGATTCTTATAGTATAGCATTTAAAAAAAAAATCTCGCTAAGTGTTTTGAATGTCACATCTTGTCTGAAGTGAAAATCACCCCCATCGTTTTATTTTTGTAAATAATAATAAATAATAATAATTGGATTTGCATAGCGCCTTTTCCAAAGGATACAAGGAGATGTCTCTTAGACTATCAACAATTTAAGAGGAGTGGTACATGTAAGCTTTCAGTTTTTTTTTTAAAGAAATGGCGAGTAGAGTTTGTTCCAGAGACGTGGAAACCAGCCTGTTTACGGGATTAGGGAATGAGAAAGGTAGGAGCCTATGAAGACCTAGCTAAGAGAATATATGTTCTCTGTTGCTGAAAGAGTGAGGAAATGTATACAGGAAGGGTGGTTGACATAGATTTGAAAGTTTCAAAACAAGTATCCAGTATTGTATTATATCAGAACTGGGAGCCAGTGTAGTGTGTTTCTCCTTCTTCTATTTGAACTTCTTGAACTTCCCAAATGAAACTTAAAATGAAATTCAAAAACACGCCTGGCATCTAAGACGACCTCAAAACCAAAAAAAAATTGAGCAATCTCCCCCTCTCTCTCTCTCTCTCTCTCTACCCCTCTCCCACTCTCTCTCTCTCTCTCTCTCTCTCTCTCTTTCTCTCTCTCATTCTCTTTTTCTCTCTCTTTCTTGTTTCTCCCTCTGTCTTTCAATTATGTCCTTCATATTCCCGACCTCTCCGAGTCAGGATCTTCTCAATGCTATACAGAAAACCCCGTCTCGCATATAATAATGTCCATACACTGTAGGTAGTAATATCAAAAGAGGGCGGATGAAATAATGTCTGTGAAAATGTAATTATGTTTTCAATCAATTACCCAGGGAAGCCTGGTAGCCATGCATTTATTACTCTCAAACAATTCATTTTATGCAGATGATATTATTTATTTATATCTGGTTTTCTAGCCTAACATTAAAACTCGCACTAAATAAAGTTCAATCGGTGTTGAAAGAAATAGAAAACTGGTGTAAAAGATGAAAAGTGTATTTCTCCTCTTCTAAGTCAATAATGGTCCTATTGGTAGATGGGAAATAAAAGAAGTCAAATTAAAGATTAATGATCTTTATCCCCTATCAATCATTCACATACGTTCCTAGGAATCTGGTTTGACTACAGATACCCATTTAGTTTTATTTGGGAAGTTCAACAAGTTCAAATAGAAGAAGGTGGAGAATGGCAAATGTGGGTTTTTGTCTTCTCATAGGACACTATGTACCGGGCTGGAATTCGAACCCTCAAAGAAAATTTATAAATTTCTTGTATAAACAGTATCATAAAATTGGTGACAGGATTGTAGTTATGGGGTGCTCAATAAGTTCAATAAGCTCAATAAGCTGGTTGCTAGAAGATGGATGAAAAATAGATTTGACATAACACATACGTTGTTTGGTAATATGCTCGGGCGACAGTAATAGTTGCTTCGTGCTTTAATACCTTAAATAGTTTTTACATAGCCTGGCGTAGGACTGCAATCGGGCTTTGGGTTAGGTTTAGGATAAGGGATAAGTGTTTGATCTAGTGTTGAAGATTACGGCTTACAGCGTTTCAGCGAGTCTTCGCGTCTGGTCGGGTAAACGACCTTTCGTGAAAACATAACCCATGTTCATAAAAAGCTAGGTGGGGAACCTCAAGTTGTGGAGTTTTATGATATTTTGTATCATCCCTATATAATTATATTCACGAATGGTGGGATACATTGAATGCAAACAATCCTAGTTTTCAAAGGTGGTCCTATTTTGTGAAAACAAGTACGTACGTACAATCAGATATTAACGAAGTGTCGATCGCTGGCCTTTTTACCAACTCTTGCGATCATTTTATTTCGTATTAAAAAGTGTCGGGTGGGGACACGAATTTTTTTTTTTTAGATTTGCTGAAGGTTTTTCAGAAGGTGTCGAGTAAGTTGGACCCGACACTTTGGCAGAAAGACGCTTTACCCGACCCTCCGGGATTTAGGGCTTTATTATTTACGAAAGTTCGTGTAACCAAAACACTCGATGACCGATGGAACAAAGTAAGCCGAAGTTGTTAATTACGTAGGTGTACGAAAATGACCACTTAGGAATTATTGTCCCCGGAGCGTGTGTCGTAGAGACGATCACTCTTCAGGGCAGGTGTCCGGATCTTCGCAGCTCCTCTCGCTATCTTTACTGACTTTCTCCTCTACGAGAGACTTGAGGCGTTCCATCTCAGCTACAAGAAAGGCACAGGAAAATATTGATAATGGTATTATTAGTAGTAGTTAAAGAGTTAAAGACTGTCACCACTACTGGGCAAGAAGGGATTAGACCACACAGCGAGCCAGCGAGGTCACTGTGACATTAACTCAGCTCTCATTTAACATAAGAAAAAGAGGATCATGGGGGACCAACAGGCACCGATTGGGGAAGTTTTCTATATAGAGGGAGCAAATAGCTACAAGTATGGCAGTGTGCCTTTAAAGTTACAAAAATGATGATGATAATAATAATAATAATAATTACAACAGCAACAATAATAATAATAATAATTACAATAATAATAATTACAATAATTATATTAATATCAGGTTTCTTATAAAGCCCACATAATCCGTCACGCTGCGACGCTTCACGCACTCTCGTATAATGATAAGTACTCGGGTCATAGCAGGCGGCCAAATAATGTGACGTTATCCTATATCCATTTACACATGTGTCAACAGTGGCACAGGTGGATTCATATCTTGCCATAGGTTATTAGTGCCGGGCTGGAATTCGAACCCTTAGACCCTAAACCCTTGGCCTGAGAGTCGATTGAATGAACCACTGTACCACCTTGAGATGTTAAAAAAAAATAGATCGAGAATAATACAAATCGCTAGATGGAAAATGCCGGTCTCGTGGGCCGGCCATTATTCTAAATCAATTCTGGAGAGTAGAACTAACCTGCGTTTTCTATTAGCTTGGGGAGCAGATGTTCAACGAAGTAACATTCTCTGGCGTTGGGCGTCGTCCCTGAAAGATTCTCCATGTTCCTGGATAGATCCTTATAGGTCTTGGTCTCACTGGTGAACGTGGGCCAAGATGGGAACTGTTGATCAGGTTCCTGGTCTCCTTCATTGGTACCAAGGTTAGGATTCCTTTAGCAGAAAAAAGAAACATGGGCAAATAAACATGTAGACAAATTTAGCATCCATGATTTACCATCCTTGTCATACAACCATACTCATTCATACACGTAGGCATGCACATTTCATACAGCATTACGTGCGGCATTTTTATATAATGCTCTATTATAATTACAACGGTCCAGGCTTTATTTTCCCCAAAGAAACCTACACGTCTACGTCTAGGATAAAAGTTGCATGGGTTTGAGGTCAGTTTGAGCGCTTGGGTTAAGATGGATTAAAGGGTTTGATTCAGGGTTAAAGTTACGAATTCGTTTAGTAGCCCATTGCGGAATATTGTCGCCGAAGCATGCGTTGTAGATACAATGTTAGCACCATTTTCACCTTTATCAGGATAGTTGCTGTTATTGCTTTCGGCCTCCTACCAGCATGACACGATTTCTGGTCAGAAAGTAATCAAAATAGTAGATTTGTATTTTCCCCATATAACACAAGAACAATTTGATTTCAGTAGACGAGGAGTACGTTATCATAACAGGAGTTACATCTTTATCTGGTGAATATGGTGAATTGCTGGAATGGATGGCCCTCACAGCTTTACTATTTAACATCAGTACATGACAACAATGTTCCTCTTGGGGTCCTGATATTAAATCGAAAAGAAAAATAGGATATATTTCAGTTTACCCTGTCTTGGCAAAGTTCGCCCAGTACTTCATGATTCGTCTAGCAATCACCACTTCGTCATCGGCAAGACGGCCTTGCAGCATCCAATCCTCGTCCTCGTCCTCGCCATCTTGGGCAAGGAACGCCGAACCAAAAACATACGGGACATCTTCACCGTGTGTGTCTTCAAGCCATGTATACTTGCTGCCCCAGATCGAGTAAGCAGGCGAATGCGTCATCAGGTAGGTGTAGACCTGTATCCCTGCCGCGGCTAGCTGCTGGGCAGTGCTGAAGGTAGGACAGAGAAACATTTGGTCTCCGAAGAACTGGGCCATTGGGTCTATCAGGTTTTCTTCAGGATCACCCGATGTCAGCTATCATTGTGTTATGAGGGAAAACCAAATAGAAGGGGAAACAGAAAAAAGGTGTCGACAGAACAATAAGGTAAACAAAATGATTTAACATAAGTAATTCATCCCCATTATTGTTTCCTTTTTGTAGTAATTTCTTAGTGTACGTATCTTTGAGTTGCTACAAGCTCTCTTGCTCTACGGTAGATCTACTTAACCTACATCATGGCATAACGGGTAAGGAAGGAAGCAAAGTTAAAAGTTACAAGAAAATGTAACAATTTGTCAAATGGATCAATTCTCCCTAATAATAGGCATAATGGGAGCACCTTAGTGTGAACAGATTACACTGAAAAAATAGTTTTGATGAAGGGTTCTTAAAATATTAACCGTGTACGTGGTGTAAACTGTCCCTAAGCATTGGTCCATATATTAATGGGGATCGATGTAAAGACGGAGGGAAGGGGCGGGGGGGGGGGGGTGCTCTTTTGATGTGAATATGAATTAATGTATGAACAAAGCCCCACGTTCAATAACATATAGGAATGCTCGTAGCATGTTAAAGATAAACTTGAGTTCTGGTAAAAAAAAAATTAAAAAAAGGAATTCTCACAGAAACAAACGAAAATTACACTGAATGTTCAAGATTACAAATGTCATTTGCCGAACAATTTTGGTAGAAAATGTATACTGGCTGAGTAATTAGCATAGAAAGATAGGGAAATCAAGGTAAGAAGGCCCGACACCATTTGTGTAGTCCCATATACATCTTTCTATGTACAGTGCTTGTTACTTTATCAAGACTGGGCCAAATCTATTATGATTTTGATGACTCCAGAACCTTGTAGTACACACCAATACTTACATGCTACATGATCAACTTTTTCTGATCCATTCCACACCTTTTCTTTCAAAATGCAATCGCAATACCAGAACACAACTTTATCTTTATCATTCTTATTTTTTAATTTTGTTTACAGTATTCTTAACACTTAAAACAAACAAAACATGTTATGACATCCAATGGGGGAATGCCCCCATATACCCACAGGTGCCCCTGAATCCCTACCAAACTAAACACATCACCTACCTGCTCTGCTGACAAGTAGGCCAACTTGATGAGATCTAATGCTAACGGGTCTGCCATCCGTGTAAACAAAGAAATAAAGGTGTCAAACGATGTCCTATTAACAGGCACCTTCTCATATCCTTTCAACCCCGTAATAAATGGTACAGCGAAGATATTGCCTTCGTGTCCGAGGCTACCGATCATAACATTGGATGGGTTAAAGGACCCCTCCTCCTGAGCTTGCATCGGGTCTTCAGGGAGGAAGTGGCCATCAGCAACGGGAGCTACCATGTAGAATACCATTGTGGTTCCTGTCTGTTCAAATACAAACTTAAGGTAGTCACTAAACATACAAGCTATGACTGATTATGTGACAACACAGTGGTTACATTTTAATTATTCCCTAGGTAGTTATATGTGGATAGCGCGAAGAGGTTTCGTGGTATAGTCCAACATTCACTAGACTCCAATGATTGATGTTTGCAATCTCAGGACATTGATCCAAGTTGTCCATCCTCGACACTGGTGTAAGTAAGAACCCGATATGCTAGAGCCGATAGTGGCCCTGAGGGATAGTTGTCCTTGAGGTTATTTTCCAGGCTTAAACTGTTCTGAGCATAGTTGTCCAAGGGGTAGTTTTCTGGACTGATAATCCGGTGATAATGATTATAGGAGTTCGTAAATACTTATGTATAATAGATTATTTTGTATTTAACTTTGGATTCGACAAGTAAATAATAACTGGAGACCTACTTCATGCAATGCGTTAATGTCTTCTTCTGTTATTCCTCTAAGACAAGTGAGTAGTTCGGTTGAACTGTTGGTTTCACATCCCATCGCCTTTCCGAATGCGAAGGTTAGTTCAGCATTCTCCTTCTGTGTCTTGAAAGTCCATGTTGGTGACATGGCTCCACTCTGTTTCAAATCAGAAGGTAGTGAGTAAAAATTTTAAAAAGAAGAAGAAAGACAGAAAAACCCAATCGCATAAAGTTTCGAATTATCAACTCAAGGGCAATTTCTGTACCTTATTATATTATTTTCCCGTAAAGATCATTTTACATAATATATAGTCAGGTCAAGATATGGTTTAACCCCAAAAATTGTGTCTTTATATAGGATGGATAATAAGTGATTTATGGCCATTTCTAGGTATCGGCGGCCATCTTGGACGCCATCTTGAAAATAACAGCATTCTGAACCTTCGATTTTGGTATACTTTTAGTATATTATTCCTGAGGTCGAATACTACTAGAAACCGTTGAAAAACCTTTTGTTGCAATTTTTTGGGGTTGGGGTGTTTTTTACCGTATATAATTATTGACCTGACTAATATGGTTGTCATGATCGCATGCTTTAACAAGTGATAGACAAGGCTACTGAAAGTCTATGTGATCGCGCTGAGGTTAGTTTTAAAGGTTCCTTCTTTAAAAGTAACACTTTGGGTTTTTTCGACTCTCTTCACGATTAATCATTTTATACCACGCGCATATTTGTTTACAAACCATAGGTGACTATCGACGGAAAAATTGGTTGTGCAATGTGCAGGCGTTGTCAATTTACCTATTATTAGTTGATTTGCTCTAGGACAATCTGTTAAACGCTGGTATAAACATAGATAAATCTCGCACTGCAATCAGTGGAAATTATCTCCAAGCCATTGGTACGTGGGTCTAACCCATTATGAATGTAAGGCATATAAAGTGATTAAACAAAATATTGTCTTCATCTGATTATTACCTGCATGATTGCACCTGAGAAAAGCCCAGTACACATGGGTGAGAGAAGATGACAATTTACGCTACTTGATCCAGCACTCTCACCAAAAATAGTCACCCGATCGGGATCACCGCCAAATGCTAGAACAAAATATGATTAGATTACTTTATTATGATAATGATAATAGTAATGATAATAACAAGGATTATTAACCCCAAGAACAATTACCCCCCCCCCCTCCTGAAAATGACCCCTTGTACAATCATAACCCTCCCCTGGGCAGGGGCGGCCGAGCGACTTCCAAAGTGGGGGGGGGGGGGGCACCAACAAAAAAGGGCACTTTCTGGAGAAAAAAAAGGGCACCTACAGTAGGAAATCTCAAAGCGAAAATATACAATTTTTTAGACATGGGTATATACCCCTACATTGTGATTATATTATCAGGGATGATTTCAATATTTGTTTCTCTTCATACATCATACAAGATATCGCTTAAGCATCATACTTTACAGTTGGGTGTGATGTCTGAATATGCATTTACGAGCGAGCGAGAACAATTTTAATGATCTGTGAGGTCGCAGTGCGAAAAATTACATCTTATAAAGAGGAAAAAAGCCAATCGTGATGGGGTTATAAGCACATTCTCATTACGGAAGACTGAAAAGACCTTTGATAAGTAACATAATTATATCATCTTTAAATGCGAGCGAGCGCAGCTAGTGAACTTTGGGGGAAATTGCTCTTAGTCGCTTTAAATAAGGGGCACGTTTATCGAAAGCGAGCGCAGCGAGTGAACTTTGGGGGAAATTGCTCTTAGTCGCTTTAAATAAGGGGCACAATTATCGAAAGGGATATTAGACACTTATTAGAAAAGAAAAGGAGCACGTGTCAAAGTACAAAGGATAATTATAAGAGGTGAAAATGAGGCATTTTTTCACCTGAAAAGAGGCACTCACCAGTGATGAAAAAGAGGCGTTTATGAAAATGGGAAAAAGGCATTTGTTGACGGAAAAGGGGCACCCATCAGATTTTGATAGGGGCATTTATAAGAGGTGAAAAGTGGATAGGTCCCTTATTAGAAAGGAAAAGGGGCACTTATCATTATTAAAAGGGGAATTATCAGAGTTGAAAAGGGGCACTGACCAGATATGAAAAGGGGCACTTATGGAAATGTAAAAGGGGCACTTATAATAAAGGAAAGTGTGCATTTGTTGAATGAAAAGGGGGCACCGTTCAGATTTTTAAAAGGGGCAGTTATGAGAAGGGGAAGGAGCTCTTTCTTTTTAATGGGGGCACTTATCATAAGGAAAAGGGGCACTTATTAGAAAGGGAAAGGGGCAGTTATGAGAAGGGGAAAGGAGCTCTCTCTTTTTAATGGGGGCACTTATCATAAGGAAAAGGGGCACTTATTAAAAAATAAGAGGGGCACATGTTAAAATGAAAGGTGTGCTCATCCGAGTTTAAAAAGGGGTAGTTATTAAAAGGAGAAGGGGCACTTCTTACAAAGGAAAAAGGGAAGTTGTCAAAGTAAAAGGAGCACCTCTCAGTTTTGAATAGGGCAATTATCAGAGGTGAAGGGGGCACTTATTAAAAGTGAAAAGGGGCACTTCTCGTACCTGAAAAGAGGCACTTACTAGAGAATAAAAAGGGCACTTATTCAAGATAATTTCAAGATTTATGAGAATGGAACATGGACACTTATTGCAAAGGAAAATGGGAACATGTTGAAGGAAAAGGGGCACGTGTCAAAAATAAAAGGGTACTCGTCAAAGGTGAAAAGGGGGAAGGGGCACTTTTACTAAGTAATAGGGGCACTTGTCAAAGTAAAAGGGGCACTTGTTACAAAATAAAAGGGGCACTTTTCCTATGTAAAAAGGGGCACTTTTGGGGTATCTGAAAAAGTGGGGGCACTGTGCCCCCCCCCCTGCCCCCCGGGAGGGCCGCCTCTGCCCCTGGGACAATCCACCCCCCCCCCCCAGGACAATAATCCCCGAAAAGAAAATAACGACTTATTATTTAATGAACAGGGGGTAATATTCCGGGGGGGGGATTAAGTCTCCTAGGATCTAATTTTCAGAGGTGGGGGTAATTATTATCCTAGAGGTAATTTTACAGGGAGTAATAATCCTTGGGGGTGTGAGTTTTCCGGTGGTAGTTTTGACGAGGGGATGATTGTCCAGGAGTTAATTTTCTTTATACGTATTGATAATAATAATAATGATAATGATAATAATAATACATTTAGCATTTATAAACTAAAGACTTGTATTACACTTTCTAAGGGATACTGCTAGTCGATTTCAAGTGTGGAATTTCACACCATTCCATAGTTATGGATCAGCTGCTAAACTTTACCATCGCGCAGTTTTATCATTTTAGAGTAGTGTGGAGAAAAATCTATCGATTCGAGGGTTTTGTTTCAATGTATTCATTTTGTGCATCAGATGTTTTTGAAGATGGAGTAGATTGAAAGAAGCTTTCTTCCCCATGATATCAACTTAATGGTTAAAAGGGATTACCTACAGCACCTAATGGTTAAAAGGGATCACCTACAGTACCTAATGGTTAGAAGGGATCACCTACAGCACCTAATGGTTAAAAGGTATCACCTACAGCACCTAATGGTTAAAAGGGATCACCTACAGCACCTAATGGTTAGAAGGTATCACCTACAGCACCTAACGGTTAGAAGGGATCACCCTACAACACCTAATGGTTAAAAGGGATCACCTACAGCACCTAATGGTTAAAAGGGATCACCTACAGCACCTAATGGTTAAAAGGGATCACCTACAACACCTAATGGTTAGAAGGGATCACCTACAGCACCTAATGGTAAGAAGGTATCACCTACAGCACCTAATGGTTAAAAGGGATCACCTACAGCACCTAATGGTTAAAAGGGATCACCTACAGCACCTAATGGTAAAAAAGGGATCACCCTACAACACCTAATGGTTAGAAGGGATCACCTACAGCACCTAATGGTTAAAAGGGATCACCTACAGCACCTAATGGTGAGAAGGGATCACCTACAGCACCTAATGGTGAGAAGGGATCACCTAGAGCACCTAATGGTTAGAAGGTATCACCTACAGCACATGGTTAAAAGGGATCGCCTACAGCACCTAATGGTTAAAAGGGATCACCTACAGCACCTAATGGTTAAAAGGGATCACCTACAGCACCTAATGATTAAAAGGGATCACCCTACAACACCTAATGGTTAGAAGGGATCACCTACAGCACCTAATGGTAGAGGTGTCGTGGACGAGTTGATATGTCACCGGACTGTGGATCACAACGTTCGCGGTTCAAGTCCCATCGCGGCACTAATGTCCTTTGGCAAGACATTGATCTACATTTGCCACTCTCCACCCAGGTGTTAAATGGGTACCCGGTAGGATGCGAAAGCTGATGTGGTTAGATTAGCAAGTGTGCGCTTGTAAATAAAGACGCCTGGCTGGAATGCTCCCCAGGGAGTGGAGAATGTGCATACATTAGAAGGGATCACCTACAGCACCTAATGGTTAAAAGGGATCACCTACAGCACCTAATGGTTAGAAGGGATCACCTACAGCACCTAATGGTTAAAAGGGATCACCTACAGCACCTAATGGTTAGAAGGGATCACCTACAACACATAATGGTTAGAAGGGATCACCTTCAACACATAATGGTTAAAAGGGATCACCTACAGCACCTAATGGTTAGAAGGGATCACCTACAACACATAATGGTTAGAAGGGATCACCTACAACACTTAATGGTTAGAAGGGATCACCTACAGCACCTAATGGTTGAAAGGGATCACCTACAACACATAATGGTTAGAAGAGATCACCTACAACACATAATGGTTAGAAGGGATCACATACAACACTTAATGGTTAGAAGGGATCACCTACAGCACCTAATGATTAGAATGGATTACCTACAGCACCTAATTACTCCAATTTTAAATCGAAGGATCTTAATTATAAAATCAATACTGAAAATTATCTATGCCATAACACATTGTTCTTAATGCAATAAACCATAGATGTCAGAAAACCGTCCCGAATTCATTTTTGGAATAGATTTACAATATCTTAATTTAGTTCTAAAGAGTTTGCATATAAGTTTGTATAAACAAAAAAGAGTTTGCATATAAGCTTGTATACAAAAAAAATTGTCTTAGAATAACCTCTTATTGGTGGTTGTTGTGTTTTTCTTTCTTTTAGGAGTAGCAAAAGAGAAAATAGCACTCGACAATTATTCCCATAGATAGGCCTATGAATTACATCAGATCATAGTTCTCGGTCCAATGTATGATTTTTCTTAATCCCATGTTCATACTATTTTGCAGGTGGTCTCCTTCGTGCATCTTCATTAGGGCGGATAATCCAGAAATAAAAATAACATCTTCAATAGTTTCATCCCTCCCCCTCCTCCCCGCCCCCCCCCCCCCCCGACAAGGGGAGAGGGCAGAATTAATCTGCCTCCACATCGTGTACTTTTTTTTTATAGTTGTATAGCGGGCCTTCCAACGGTGAAGAGTGAGGGGCGTACCCGAATCCACGCCAAGTTGGATACGCCAGTGCACCGATATAGAGGTGAATTACATACCTGCGATGTTTTCCTTTACCCATTGGAGCCCTAAACGTTGATCGAGAAGTCCGAGGTTTCCCGGTATAGCACCATCCTCTATCAATTGAAGAATAAAAAAGGTTATAAAAATGGTCAAAACAGTCCATGCGAGGGAAAAACATTTTTTCAAGACATGTCACTGGTTACAGCTAATATCTTACGTGTGATTGCACCATCCTCCCCCACTCACACACACATACACACAAACACACTAACAACTAGATATTTCACATTTTAAGTTGCACATTGCCAGTGTTATGTGCAAGGAGTGATCAATTCATACATGTATGTATTTGCAATAAACATAATGACATGAAATAATTATATTACATCACTTTGGTTTGTTTGTAGTTGCTTGTAAAATAAGGACTCAGTAAAACTGAGGATATGAAGGAGCCTACAGGAGCCCAGGATAGAAACCTTAAATCTGGTTGAGACTCACCAGTAGAGAGAAACCCTAGAATCCCGAGACGGTAGTTGATGGAGACGACGATAATGTCTTCGGCAGCCACCAAGGCCATGGCGTTTAACTTTTGATAGTTCTTGGTCCCCATGTGATACCCTCCACCATGGATCCATACCATCACAGCAGCCGATTTGGGCTGAAGATGATAATAATGATAATAATAATGATAATAGAAATCTTACTGATAATAATAATAATGATAATGATAATAATGATGGTAATAAAAATGATAGTAAAATTTGAAAAATCGCACCCCCCCCCCCCCCTTGAGCGCCAGGGAAGGGGTCCCATCTCCAAAAAAGTTAAAATCAACGTGAGTATCGATATGAAGAGCATGGCTACATGAACAGTCAGTTGAAAATTACAAATCCCTGTGCCTTCAAATTGTTTCTATTAATCATTGATCGTTATAAGTCAATAGGACAACACATATATTCCGAAACGCCACACACGGGTCACATGTTCATCGAAGATAGAGACTATGACTTGTGAAGATTATCTGAAAGACGATTCCGGTTTTCAGATAAGATATAGACAGACATCCAGGGGCGGATCCAGCCGTCGGCATGGGAGGGGGCCCAATTCGTGAGAAAACATTTAGCGGCGAAACAGCCAGCCGGTGAATAAGCGGAAGGGGGGGGGGGGGGTAGTGAGCACTAGTTTGTTTTTGCCTCCGAAAATTTAAAAATCGCGCCGGTCAATATTTCGCTCAGAGGGGGTGGGTGGAGCCCCCCCCCCCCCTCGGGCCCCCTCCCTGGGTCCGCCACTGCATACATCATAGTTCCCAAGCTTCCTGAATATACAGCGTGGCCCCAAAATACGTCCGGCGATACTTCCGATAGTGCGGGAAGTTTAACCGGTACCTTACATGAGGAATATTTTAGAAGAAAATGGTACTAAATTTGCCCCTAAATTAATTTCTTTCTTTTTCTTTCTATTCTTCTATAGACGTAATCTTTTTGTGTTGTTAACGATATAGAAAACATCCACTGGTAGTGTTCGTTTCAGAAAATAATGTATCATTGTGTGGTATCAGAAATGAAAATATGCCCGAGTTTTTGTGAGAGCTGTGATAAGCATCAGATTGAGTACAAACATAAAATCACCACACTTATTTTATATTTTTCAGGCATTTTGATTGACTTAAGAAATAATTAAAACACCACCTTTGTCCACAAAGGGAAACTGTGCATGATAAATGTAAGTTTCACAACGTTATTAGTATGTTACCCTCAAAATAGATGTATTATTCAAACAAAAATTATTATACACATGCAATATGTAAGAGGACAATCTTCTATAGGTTGTTGCTATATGATATGGTCGTCGTTGTGGTGGAGATTTGTTTTCGTGTGTTTATTTGTTTGTAAATGTTTGCTCTGTTTTAAGGAGCTTGAACTTGCCATAACTTCGAAATCTTTTTATATTTTAAGACGCATGATAATTGCATTTTATATATTACCTTGGGCTCAGGCACAAAGACATCAAGAAAAAGACAATCCTCCGAGAATTCAACTGGCTCGCTATCATCAAACATTAACGGATTCTTAGCCTGAAGACAGTGTATATTGTCGCCCGTCGCATCGAATTCTCCATCTAAGGTCTTCGGAACTGGTTCGGCATACCGAAGATCACCGATCGGTGGCTCGGCGAACGGAATATTCTTGAACACGGCTACGCTCCGATGGAAATTATCACCGAGTTTGCGATGCTGTATGCTGTTTCTCTCGCCTCGTATAGTCGCCCTCGTCGTACGAACCAAGGGACGATCTCCGACCGCGGCATCTTCGACTGCAGATGATGACGGAGTGTAGAATCCAATGCAAAATACCACCATTACAACAACGGATGACAACGTTAGCTCCATTTTTGTTTTAATGCGTTTTTAATTAGGCGTTGACAAAAATATAAGTGTTGCTTTAAAAAGTAACTTTATATAAGTCTCGCAGCCGTGTGCAGTTTCAGACTGCTTAACTCGAATTGAGCTTGCGAATGAGTAGATTGAGCGGGTGTGTGAACTGCCAGACAATTTGCATATACCAATGTGCACAGTTACAATCGTATCGTATTGACAAAAGGGATTTGAGAATAAGGACTCTTTGGAGTTGGTTCTATGCCCCAAGTGAATCAACAGCTAATCAGCGAGCTTGTACCAAAGATGGGGGGGGGGGGGGGGGGGGGGGGGAGCACTACTTTTTTTTTGTTGGGGGGGGGGTCTCGAAAATTTTAAAAATTGCACCCCCCCCCCCTCATTAAGCGCTAGGGGAGGGGCCCTCATCTCCCCCCAAAAGGTAAAACTAACGTGTTTTTACACGTTTTTTCCCCCGAGGGGAGGGGACCGGGCCTCCCGGGCCCCCCCCCCCTCCCTCTGGATCCGCCACTGCATCCATGTACACCATAGAGTAGGAAGATGCTAGACAAGAACGTCACCAGGTGAACCATATACAAGGCACTCTAGCAAGAGAAGCCTATGATTCATTATCGCCCAGTCCACAGGCAGAGGTTCGGCCAGATCAAGCACAGTATTCAAGCCAAAAAGAAACGTACCAAGCACGTGAATCTTCTACGAAGGAGTCCCGTTGCCGACCCTGTCCAATTAACAGAGCCACTCCGTAGCTCTGGAAGTGACGTTGCCCCGGGTTTGTCAGACCCTTATCATTACATGTTGGGAAGGAGATTGTCGAACAGACAAATAAAGGCTCACTCAACTTTCATGATTGTATTGTATACTGATAAATATTAAAAATAAAGACACAGAGATCTTTAGGTTTTTACTTTGTGCAGACACGTGCAGTTTACTGATTGTGTAATCATTATAATTCCGCATTGTTTGTTTTTATTTCCGAAACCCGTATATTTACATACATACAAGCTTTAAAAACATGAATACAAAACACATTTCAATTATTAATAAAGTAAGTAGATGTGTACAATATGCACAAACGGTTGGATAGCCCATCTCAAGACCATTTTAAAGAACGTCCTGTTCTTTCATGGGGTCCAAAAGCAAAAAAATAATATTGATTTACATACAATATCAATTTCCAATCATAGTAATTTACTAACCAACGCACTACCCCCCCCCCCCACCCCCTTATCGATCCCCCTCATGTCACCACCCCTCGCGCCACCCTCTCGATCCAGCCAACCCCTCCCCGCGCTACCCCCTCCGAAGTCCACCAGGTATATTACAAAGAACAATAATCAAGTGTGTTTACAATCATAAATGGGTATTAATATTATCTAAAAACATGTTTGTGTGTCATAACATTTCAAACTAAATTTTTATTTCTTTACAGAACATATCCAAACTTCTTGAATGTCGAGTGAGCTTAGATAATCCAATATATTTACTTCCGCGATACAGAAACGTGCGCTCACAATTCTGTGTTTTCGGTTAATGCTTCGGTCACAAAGGTTCGTACGAACGATAAATTCGTACGAATCTCCCTGTTTTTCCATTGTCTTCCCGAATTTCCATTGTCGGAAAATCGTTCGTACGGCTTTCGTAACATTTCGTAATGGCATTTGTGACCTGGGCTTAAATTAGTACTTCTAAGGACATAGTTTGTAGTCTTAAAAATAAACTTCTCTTTCAAATATACAGGTGCCAAATCTTGAAATATTTTATTCATCAATTCAAAAAGAATAATTGTGCCTGAAGCTACGGTCACACAGGTTCGTACGAATCTCCCTGTTTTTCCATTGTCTTCCCGAATTGCCATTGTCTGAAAATCGTTTGTACGGCGTTTGTAGCAGTTCGTAATGGCATTTGTGACCGAGAATTAACCTGTCAATTTCCTAAAATTTCCCAATACATGTACATGTGTAAGAAAAGAAAAAAGGAAAATGTGCTTACAAGTGATTATTTTACAGATATGATAGTAATAAATCTACAAAAGGATCATTTGTGTTAGTTAATGATGACAAGTCACAAAGATTGCTGATATGCATTATCAAGTTTATACCCAAGAAGAGTTGTTTTGAGTCTATACGGAAGGACAGTTTAAATTTAATTAATTGATTCAAAATGACAAGAAAGCTCCTATTGAGAGCTCAATATGAAAATTATGCATGATCAAAACTTCAGATATAATTACTTACATTCATACACATGTGTCGTTCTTTTTTTAAAATTTAATCAAACAATGGTACAGTTGAAAGCCAGTGTTGATTAGGGAGTATATTAAAAAACAAATTAAACAGTTGAAATATAGGTATAATCTATAAAAGATATGCATCTATTATTTGTAACACTAAATTATGACAAAGTAAGTCATTGTATAACAATTGCATTGTTTAAGCAGTCATTGCATTTGTTATCGTACTCCTATTTTAGGAGAGAGGAATTTTATGTTGCGAGTTAGACATCGTTGTATTGAGCATTACTTGCACGCAAGCGCAGAGTTGAGACTCTGAGGCATTAAACATGGAGTTAGAAGTGAACATTGTGATGGTATACATTGATTTGATATGACTTGATTAATTTATTTAATCACGGTGAAACGTCCAGTTCAGCTACTTGGCTGATTATAATTGGGCCGTACAATACATGTAACAACAATTTACAACAAATGCTAAAATAATCATACACTGTACAAATATTAAAAGGCAATCATGTGTTATGTTTAATGCGTCTTTGCACCAACCCACATACGTAAAACATAATAATGATTCCGTAGGTGTACGAAATACCCCGCTTAGGAATTGTCACCGCAGCGTGTTTCGTAGAGCCGATCACTCTTCGGGGCAGGAGTCCGGATCTTCGCAGCTCCTCTCGCTATCTTTACTGACTTTCTCTTCCAGAAGAGACTTGAGGCGTTCCATCTCAGCTACAAGAATGACATGGGGAATATCAATAATAGTATTAGTAGTAATAGTAATAGTTTCAATAATATATAATGATAATAAAAATGTATGATAAAGATAATAATGGCAATAACGGGCTTCTTATAAAGCGCAGGGGAGGGGGCCAAAGAGGGGGCCAAATTCGTTAGAAAATATTTAGAGGCGAACAGCCAGCTGGTGAGTAAGCGAGGGGGAGGGGGGGGGGGGGGGGAGGACGGGCACTATTTTTTTTTTATTAGGAGAGAGCGCCCGTCTTCTTTATTTAATAATTGATGGTAAAATTCAGGTGTTTTTCACCTGTTTTTTCCCCAGGGAATGGCCCCCCCCCCCCTTTCCTTGATCCGCCACTGACGTGAGCCCACAACATCCACGTAGACGGACAGCCCACAAAACTATTATCGTACGGACAGCCCACGAGACCGACAATGTCAAAGTTGTGAGAATGGCCACGAGCCCGACATATCGGTAGCTTGAGCTGTTGATCTTGTAGGCCATCGATCTACTGACGATTTTTCTGTAGTTTCGCTAGATGGAAAATGCCGGTCTCGTGTGCCGGCCATTATTCTAAATCAATTCTTGAGAGTAGAACTAACCTGCATGTTCTATTAGCTTGGGGAACAGGTGTTCAACAAAGTAACATTCCCTGGCGTTCGGCATCGTCCCTGAAAGATTTTCCATGTTCTTGGATAGATCCTTATAGGTCTTTGTCTCACTTGTGAACTGGGGCCAAGATGGGAACTGTTGATCAGGTTCCTGGTCTCCTTCAGTGGAACCAAGGTTAGGATTTCTTCAGCAGGAAAAAGAAACATGGGCAAATACAAATGTAGAAGAAATTAGCATCTATGTGATTTACTATCCTTGTCATACAACCCACAGGTTCATACACGTAGGCCTAAACAGTTCATACATTATAATTTGCGGCAATTTGAGATAATGCTCTATTATAACGACAATATCGGTCCAGGCCTTATTTCCCGAGAGAAACCTACACATCTAGGATAAAAGTTGCATCGGGTTTGAGGTCAGTTTTAGCGCTTGGGTTCGAACAATCTGATTCCAGTAGACAAGAAGTACGTTGATCATAATGTCGAGTAATATCTTTATTTATGCACATTTTTTTTTACCATGCAAATTCCATCAACCGTCGTGATACCATCATGGTAATGTACATGTGTTCACATAATAAATCAAGGATATGGTGAATTGCTAGATGGCCCACACAGCTTTCCTAACATCAGTACATGACAAAGTGTTCTTTTTGGGGTCCAGATTATCAATCGAGAACAAAAAATGTATTTCAGTTTACCCTGTCTTGGCAAAGTTCGCCCAGTACTGCATGATTCGTCTTGCAATCACCACTTCGTCATCGGCAAGACGACCTCGCATAAACCACTCCTCGTCGTCGCCATCTTGGGCAAGGAACGCCGAACCAAAAACATACGGGATGTCTTCACCATGTGTGTCTTCAAGCCATGTATACTTGCTGCCCCAGATCGAGTAAGCAGGCGAATGCGTCATGAGGTAGGTGTAGACCTGTACCCCTGCCGCGGCTAGCTGCTGGGCGGTGCTGAAGGTAGGACAGAGAAGGATCCGGTCTCCTAAGAACTGGGCCATTGGGTCTATTAGGTTTTCTTCAGGATCACCCGATGTCAGCTACCATGTGTTAACAGGAAAAACCAAATAGAAGGTGAATAGAAAAAGGTGTTGTAACGAATACAATGTTATTTTCACAACAGAACAATAAGGTAAAAATGATTTAACATAAGTAATTTATCCCCAGTATTGTTTTCTTCTTGCAGTAGTTTCTGAGTGAACGTTTATCTTTGGGTGGCTACAAGTTCTCTTGCTCTTCGACGGAACTTTAGAAGAAATATAGGTCTACTTAACCTACATCATGGAAAACGGTGTAAGGAAGGAAGCAAAATTTAAAGTAACAAGAACATGGAGTAATAAATTGTCACATGGATCAATATTCTCCCTAATAAAAGGCACAATAGGGGTACCTTAGGGTGAACAAATTACACTGAAAAATAGTTTTGATGAAGGGTTCTTAAAATGGGCGAAGTGCTGTGTACGTGGTGTGACCTGTCGCTAAGTATTGTTCCAGATATTAATGGAAATCGGTGTGAAGCCGGAGGGGGAGGGGTGCTTTCTTATGTCAATATAAATTAATGAATGAACACATTTTAGCTCCATGTTCATTAGCGTAATTTACAGTGCTTTTTTAACTTTAAAAACTAACTTTTATGACATCCAATGGGGGGATGCCCCTGAATCCCTACCAGACTAAAACATGTCACCCACCTGCTCTGGTGATAAGTAGGTCAACTTGATGAGTTCTAATGCTAACGGGTCTGTCATCTGAGTAAACATGGACGTAAAGGTGTCAAACGTTGTCCTGTTAACAGACAGCTTCTCATATCCCTCCATGCCCACCATAAGCGGTATAGCGAAGATATTGCCTTCGTGTCCTAGGCTACCGATCATAACATTGGATGGGTTAAAAGATCCTTCCTCCTGAGCTTGCATCGGGTCTAGAGGGAGAAAGTGGCCATCAGCGACGGGAGCTACCATGCAGAGTACTGATGTGGTTCCTGTCTGTTCAAATACAAAGGTAGTCACTAAACATACAAGCTATGACTGATTATGTGACAACACAATGGTAACATGTTAATTTGATTATTCCCTAGGTTGGTATCTGCGGATAGGCGTAGAGGTTTCGTGGTATAGTGGTACATTCACTAGACCCCAATGCTTGATGTTTCGAATCTCAGCCCAGCGCTAACGTAATTTTGTCAGGACATTGATCTAAGTTTGCCATCCTCCACACTGGTGTAATTAAGTACCCGATATGCTAGCTGGAGCCGATAGTGATGATCCTGAGGGTAGTTGTCCTTACGGTCTTTTGCCAGGCTTAAACTGTTCTGAGAATAGTTGTCCTAGAGGGTATTTTTCCAGAATGATCGTCTGGGGATAATTATTATAGTAGTTCGTACCTAATTATGTAAATTATTTTGTATTTAACTTTGGATTTGTCAAGTAAATAATCACTAGAGACCTACTTCATGGATTGCGTCGATATCTTCTTTTGTTTTGCCTCTAAGACAGGTGAGTAGCTCGGTTGAACTTTTGGTCTCACATCCCATCGCTTCTCCCAGTGCGAAGGTTAGTTCAGCATTCTTCTGCCGTGTCTTGAAAGTCCATGTTGGTGACATGGCTCCACTCTGTTTCAAATCAGAAGGTAGTAAGCCAAATTTAAAAAAAAAAGAAAGGCAAGAAAAACCAATCGCATAAACTTTCGAATTATCAACTAAAGGGCAGTTTCAGTACCTCATATTATATTATATCCCATGAAGATCATATTACGTAATGTATGGTTGTCATGATCGCATACTTCAATAAGTGATAGTCATGGCTACTGCAAGTCTATGCGATCGTGCTGAGGGTAGTTTAAAAGTTTCCCTAAATAACAGTAACACTTTGATTGCTTTTGTCGCCTCTCTCCACGGTTGATCATTTGCCACGCGTATAATTTTGCACAGACCATAGGCCACTAGCGATGGGAGTATTGCTTTGTGCAATGCACAGGCTATGTAGATTGACCCATTTTTAGTTGATTCGCTCCATGACAACCTTTTGAACACTAGTATAAACATATAGATCTCGCACTGGAAACAGTGAAAATAACCTTGAAGCCATTGGTACGTAGATCTATCCCATGATCAATAAATGTGAGGCATATAAAGTGTTAAACCAAAATATTGTCTTCATTTTAATTATCACCTGCATGATTGCACCTGAGAAAAGGCCAGCACTCATCGGTGAGAGAAGATGAGAGTTGACGCTTCCAGATCCAGCACTCTCACCAAAAATAGTCACCCGATCCGGATCACCGCCAAATGCTAGAACAAACGATTAGAATACTCAATCACTTCGGGGGTTTTGCTTCAATTTAGTGCATTAGATGTTTTTAATGATGGAGTAGAAAGAAGTTTTTCTCCTCATGATATCGACTTAAAGGTTAGAAGGGATTACCCACAGCCCCTACTTACTCCAATTTTGAATCGAACGATCTTAAATATATCAATACTTAAAATTATCCATGCCACAACACATTCTTATAAAAGCCATAAACATGTCAGAAAATCGTCCCGTATTTATTTTGGGATTAGATCTAAAATATCTTAATTTAGTTTTAAAACAGTTTGGATATAATTTTAGAATTAGAATAACCTCTATTATTGTTGGATATTTTGTTCTTCTTTTCTTTTGAAAAGAGAAAATAGTACTCAACAATTCCAATTGATATAAACTACATCAGATAATAGTTCTCGGTCCATTGTATAATTGTTCTGAATCCCATGTTCGTGCTATTCTGCAGGTGGTCTTCTTTGTGTTTCTTCATGGTGCGGGACAATCCAAAAATAAATATTACACGTTACATGTTACAGGGGACCCTCGACAAGGGGAGAGGGCAGAACTAATCTGCACAGTCCTGCATATCGTGTACTTTTGTTTAGCAGGGTCTTCCAACGGTGAAGAGTGAGGGGCGTATCCGAAGTACACCGTGTACAGTTGAATACGCCAGTGCACTGTTAGAGAGGTGAGTTACATACCTGCGATGTTTTCCTTTACCCATAAGAGCCCTAAACGTTGATCGAGAAGTCCGAGGTTCCCTGGTATAGCACCATCCTCTATGAAGACAAAAAAATAGAAACGGTCAAAACACTCCATGCGAGGGGAAACATATCTCCAGATATGCAGAATGTCACTGCTTAAGGCAATATACCTTCTTGCTAGGTTGAACCCCCTGGCTCCCGGTCTATATTAAGGCTGAAATGTGATGTACCGTGCGATGTATATACACCCCTCCCCCGACCACACACGCACAAACAACTCAAGTATTTTCTTTTTCACGGTGGTGAAAAGTGATCTGGTTTGTTTGGTGTGGTTTGTTTTATCTGCTTGCTTATAAAGTAATTGTATGCTTGTAAGTAAACAACTAGGGGACCGACGGCTTTAAATCCTCTCCGAGGGATTTGTAATGAGGATAAATACCTTACCAAAGGGCACTAGCACATCGACATGGTTTCAAACCTTGGACCTCCCGGTTACGAGACCACTGCTCTATACCACTGAGCCATCGCGTCTCCAGAGCGTGTAGACTTTTTACTTGCTTGCTTGTCAGACAACAAAAAGCACAATTTAGTGTGCATCCAGACCCCCCCCCCCCTCTAAACAGTTCAGTTCATTTATATCAGTTCGATTAATTGCATATTTCACATTTCACGTTACGCATTGCCAGTGTTATGTACAAGGAGTGATGGCGATTAGAACAAGACATACATGTAGATGTTTGCAATAAACATAAGTACATAAAATCATATTATTATTTAATTTTGGTTCGTTTGTAGTTGCTTATAAAGTGAGGACTAAAGCTACGGTCACAAAGGTTCGTACGTACGATGCGTTCGTACGAATATCCCTGTTTTTCATTGTCTGAAAATCGTTCGTACGGCGTTCGTAGCAGTTCGTAATGGCATTTGTGACCGAGACTAAAACAAGAGGATATGGAGGAGCCTCTGAGGCCCGGCATATAAATCCTAAATCTGGTTGAGACTCACCAGTAGAGAGAAACCCTAGAATACCGAGACGGTAGTTGATGGAGACGACGATAACATCTTCGACAGCCACCAAGGCCATGGCGTTGCTCTTTTGAAAGTTCTTTGTCCCAAAGTGATACCCTCCACCATGGATCCATACCATCACAGCAGCGGCTTTGGGCTGGGGATAATAACAATGATAATAATAATATTAATGATAATAATAATATTAATGATAATAATAATGATGATGATAATAATAATAACTAGACTTTAATTCGTCACTTAGACGAATTAGGTGATACGTATGATAATGGTTTACATAACGAATAATGCATTACACGATATATTATTTTGCTTCTCCCATTCATATGCTTCTCCCATTATGATCTATTCATATGTCAAGATTAAATTGTGTCTCCTTGATCATCATGGATCTAGGGAAGATAGATTGAAACAATATATGACCTTTGACCCTGTGCAGTAACCAGTTACACATTTGACTCTAATTGACATCATGAAGAACACCTTTTGACGATTTTATCTTATTCAAAGAAATGAAAATGTAATTGATAAATGATTAGCATCATTATGATAATGATGATCGTGATGATCATGATCATGATCATGAGCGCGATCATGACATCTTATTGAAAAAATGAGGGTTGATTTAGATAGCATATAATCTCAGCTACAACATACTCAAAAATCAACAAAATCCAAGCCGAAATAACGGCGATATTGCTCGCAAAAGACAGGAATGTAGACTCCAGATTTGAGAAAAAGTCATTTCCCATAGGGATTACACGTTTAGAAAACTACATGGGGTATGGACTATGTTGCGTGTTAACTAGTAATCCCACATAATTCCCTTTTTTAATTAAACTACTAAAAAGCAGTATCCCTCCAGACAAGAAAACACTTAATAAATGATCACATCCAGACAAATTGATTATGGTTAAAAACTGGTTCTATATTCTATAATTTCACATAAGATACAATGATTACAGAATTATCAGAAACCTCTTCTGTCTATCTCAACAGTGACAGACAATTAAACTATCACTAGGCCCTTGGTAGTTACTATTAATAATCAAACATAGATAACTTCCAACAGCACATTAATGTAAAGGAGACTCAACTTAGTCACTATGGTATTAATGATTACCGCTGAATACAAGTCTCGAAATATCAGGAGTCTAGCTGTTCAGTACAACTTAAAACAGTACTAAAACAAGTCAGTTAAATATCATTCCCACTGCATGAATAATAACAGTCAAGAAAATACTACTCAAATCTAAGCTAGACAGCGTTTAGATTTACTTACATAGGCACGAAATATTGTGGTTCAAGAAACCGCTAAACAAATCTCTACTTGTGTATGTGTACGGAATGCACAACACGAGAATACAACAATATATCGGTGGATCTAGACTATAGCAGATCTAGATCAGTAGACCAGGCATAGGCCTAGAACTAGTGCAATTATAAACATGTAAAATATGTGTTAGTAAGCGTACGCACTCAACAACAGGCACTCAGTCAGTCAAAATAAGGCCTCACAATGATAAACAATGCAAAGCATAAATCACAATATAATTAACGTTACGTGAGTCATTGGAGTTGAATTCAAAGTAGATCTTCTTCAAGTTCTAGGTAGATGTAGAAACTAGCTAGTCGAAAACAGTGGTCGACGAGCTGGTTGTCGATCGCGTAGGATATGCAGACGATGATCGACGCTAGGTGAATACCACGAATGATGAAGACGATGTTGAAGACAACGATGATGACAACAATGATGAAGACGACGCTGGTGAAGACAGCGATGATGAAGTCGACGATGAAGACGACGCTGGTGAAGACAGCGATGATGAAGACAACGGTGATGAAGACACGATGATGAATCAGTTAACAGATGAATACAATGATGATGCAGTCAATGTCAATAGATCAACTTCAGTGACTTGCGATGCAGGTCGAAGAATCAAATGTCGAGACAATATAGATCTAGGGCCTAGGCCTATATGAAGTCGATGATAAAAGGTTGTCAAACAATAATGCAGGTGAGAAAAACGTTAGGTCATATTAAATGTTCTATTCTCACTGCTGGTGAATTAAAGTGTCGTCAATGTTGAACATCGAGAGAGTCAAAATATATCTTGCAAAACGTACAAGATGTAAATAGGTGAGCACGTCCACCGGGAATGGTCCGGGGACGTAGCAGTTCAATCCTCGTTGGATACAATTTTCTAGGTACAAAAATCAACACAATAACAGCATGTGTGTATACCAATATTAAAACAGCTCACTGATTCCCGCACAGGAAAATCAGAAGAGCGCCAATCAACTACAGCGCGATTGGTTCAAAACAAGCGCACATGTATGTTAATAAGGCACGTGATCTAAATACTTATGAATAAATACGCGTACATCTATGTTAATTGGTCATGTGATCAAAATACTAATGAATAAACATCGTTATATAATAAATCGAGTTAAAACCAGTTCTGAGGACATGGCGTAATACCAAATCCTCGAACTCTCAATGACTTCTAAAGCGGCCATTTTGGATTAAAAACACAATATGTATACCAGTGAATTATAAATGAATGCACTGTAACATTTGTCGCTACATTAACCCCCCTACTAGACCCGAGCTTGCGTAAGCTCCGAGGGGCGAAAATACACAATTAAAAATATAAAGGAAACATATGTACAAAATACATTAATATACATGAAAATAACCACTATTTATGCGACACGTTCAATGTAGTGAACCTGAACGTACCTTTGCGGCCAGTGGACGTGGCGGCCTGAACGTGTGACACGCGCAGCAGGTTGCGATTTCACCAGAGCAGGAGCAGGCGTAGGAGCAGGTGCAGGAGCAGGCGCAGAGGTTGCGCGAAGTGCTGTGCGCAGAGGGGAGGAGACGGTAGGCTCTCCCTCTAGAGGCACGTCAGCCGCGGTAGTCCTAGCCGAAACGCTTTCCAAAAATGCGGGTTTCAGTCGATCAATGCTTACAGAAACATGCTTGCCCTTTTGCTCAATAACGAAAAACTTCGGGTTTCGTTTGAGAACCTTGAACGGACCCAAATACGGAGGCTGTAATGGCTTACGGACAGCATCGATACGCAAGAAAATATGCGTACAAGTATCGAGAGACCTATGTACAAAACTGGTCTGTGGTGACCTACGTGTCGCTGTAGGCGCTAAAACAGACATATGGTCCTTCAAGCGTTGGACGTAGTCCGCGGGGTCAACAGTATCGTGTCGCGTAGGCACTATCAGCTGGCCTGGAAGACGCAACGCCGTCCCGTAGACTAGTTCGGCAGCGGAAGCTCCGATGTCTTCCTTAATAGCTGCGCGGATACCCAACATGACCAAAGGAAGGTATTCTTGCCAACGGTTCGGCTCGGGTTGAGATTTGAGAGAGGCTTTAAGTTGCCGATGGAACCGTTCCACCATACCGTTGGCCTGCGGGTGGTAGGCCGTGGTGGCTATGGTCCGACAACCTAGCAAATTAGCTAATGCAGTGAAAAGCGCAGATTGAAACTGACGACCTCGATCATGCGTAATCGTGGCTGGAGCTCCAAAGCGAGCTACCCAGTTCTCCACTAGAGCTATGGCTACTGTCTCGGCAGTGGCATCCGCTATCGGGATCGCTTCGGGCCAACGGGTGAACCTGTCGATACAAGTCAGCAGATAAATGTGCCCTTTCGAGGGCGGTAGTGGCCCAACAAGATCAATATGAACATGTGCAAAACGGGCATCGGGGTTGGCAAAAGTGCCAAGCGGTGAGTGCGTATGACGTTGGATCTTTGCGCGCTGACATGGGATGCAAGTACGCGCCCATGTACAAATGTCCTTGTTCATACCCCGCCACACAAAACGGGCCGCGATAAGCTTTTGCGAAGCTTTAATGCCCGGATGCGCGAGATTGTGCAGATTGTCAAACAACGATCGCCGGTGCGCTACCGATACATACGGCCGCGGATGCCCTGTGGACATGTCGCACCAAATGTGCGCGTCCCCTTCCGGAAGAAGGACCTTCTCAAATTTGAGCGAGGTTGACGTGTCTGAGCGCAGAGCAGCGAGCTCAACGTCATCGACTTGGTCGGTCGCGACTACACGCAGGTCAATCGAGTTCGGTAATTGCACTGAGTCAATCTCGGTGCGAGAAAGTGCATCAGCTACCTGATTATCAACGCCTCGAATATGGCGTATGTCGGAGGTAAACTGTGACACGTAATCGAGTTGCCGCGCTTCCCTAGGGGAATGTCGATCGGGCGATGTCTTGAGTGCGAAGGTAAGAGGCTTGTGGTCTGTAAAAACAAAAAAATCACGCCCCTCTAAGAAGTATCGGAAATGGCGTATTCCGAGGTAAATGGCTAGCAGCTCTCGACCAAAGGTACTATACCTAGTCTCGGGAGGCTTGAGGCGGCGAGAAAAGAACGCAAGCGGTCGCCACTCCCCTTCATGGAGTTGCTGTAACACACCACCTACGGCGAGATCGGAAGCGTCTACCGCGAGGCTTGTAGGTAGCTCAACAGACGGGTATGTAAGCATCGTGACGTTCGCGAGGTCCTCTTTGACAGCCGCGAAAGCAGAGTCGCACACAGGGGACCAATCTAACGCCTTTCGAGAGCGCTTAGGTTGCTTGCGCAGCAAATCAGTCAAGGCGGCCAGCGAGGATGCGCACTTAGGCATAAATCGGCGGTAAAAATTAACCATGCCTAAGAACCGGCGCAGCTGGCGTAGCGAGGTAGGGCGCGGAAATTTGCGAATTACCGCGACCTTGTCATCCATCGGGGAGACGCCCTGGGCAGTCACATGGTGCCCTAGAAAGTCTAGTGCTTCGACTCCAAACTGGCATTTGTCAGGATGCACTACTACTCCATAATCACGGAGGCTTGTGAACAGCTGGCGCAAATGAGTCTCGTGCTGTTCGGGATTCTCGCTGGCAACAAGAATATCATCAAGATACACGAATACAAATGGTAGGTCACGGACGACCCTATCAATAAACCTTTGAAAGGTTTGCGCCGCGTTGCGTAGTCCGAATGGCATGCGTCGGAAATGGAATAACCCAAAGGGGGTTGTCAGCGCGGTCTTCTTTACATCATCAGGGTGTACGGGGATCTGATGATATGCGCGCACTAAGTCAACTTTGGAAAATACGCA